TTCTAGACATGGTAAAATTATCAAACCATTAAAACCATTATTAGACTTTTTATACAAATCTTAATACTTTTGTTGAAATTCAGTTAAAAATGTTTGTATCGACTTGAAATTTGGACAGAAAACTTATATTTCCCTTTTTAAAACGTGATAGAATTTTCAAAAATTAGGGTCATTTTTAAACTATTTATAGACAATTTTAATTTTGCGAGTTTTGCACTTAATTTTAATTCAGTAGGTACTCTGAGGTAAAATTGTTAGACTAACAGAAATGCTTAAACATTTAATTTTAATTATTAAAAATCTTACTTTGTAACCGAAACAAAAAAAATTGAGTTTAATATAGTTTTTTTTTTTATAAAAGAATTTTTAATTTATTTTTTTAATTTAAATTTTGACGAAAATCGTTTGACTAAAAAATTATGAGGTATAAAATTGGTTTTACAAAGATGTTTATTTTAATTTTTTTATGTGAACTTTTACTACCAGTAATCTTATTCCAATGTATACGAATAGACCCTTTTCCGAAAGGAAATTTTCTTGGGTAGTACTTTAACGAGGTAATTTTTCGATTTTCCCAAGAGTTTTCCCAGAAAATGTGAAAAACCGGGAAAAAAAACATGGGAAAACGTGGAAAAAACGTAGAAAACCCGGAAAAATATTAAACAAATATTATTAAAGAAAATTTAAAATGTCCATTTAATTATTTTACCATAATATGACATACATGATATACATTATTGATAAAGCATCACTATCAACTGAACTCCGCTCAGAATCGTTTTTAGTTGGTTTATCGTTGTTTACAGATACAAATTAATTTCCCCTCTATATCCTACCTTCCCAACTTCTCACCAACAACAGTGGCTGCTGCACCCGTCCCCATTATCTTTGGACAGCTTTTTAATATTTCGTATTGAACATATAATTTATATTTCTGATTTAAAAACAATGATGAAGTCAGAATTAGGTGAATTGAAAGTTATTATAAAATAAGTAAACTTTAACTAGTATATTAAGTTTAACATAATTTTTAATAGTATTTAACAGCCAGGAAGTTCACACCATTATATTAAACCAAAAAAACGAACACAATATGCTTCTAGTGAGATGACTTCACGAAATTATTAAGCACAACGCACAACACGTATTTTAGGGACTGCGTATAGGCAATTTTTACGACATTTTTAGAAGAATACAATAATTAATATTTTATATCAAAATTCGAAAATATTCAAATTCATTTTAAAATAAACAAACAAAATAAAACTATGTAAAAATTAAGTATTTAATTACCTATAATCAATATTGTAATTTAATATTAGGTTTAAATTTGAAAAATGCTTAATAATTGTCTTCTTAAAAACACGATAAAAAAGTGAATATAAAAATAAACGTTATTTGAAATTGTATTGATTTTAAATTTGTACCAATAAAATACAATTTCTTATAAAGAATAAAGTATAATTCATACGAAGTAATTCAGTATAAAATTCACAAAAAATGCATAATTTTAAATTATATTAATTAAAACACTTTAAAGTTATTTTATAATAGTATTTGTTTTATATATTTTACCCGAGAAACATAACTTTTATTTTTTATATAAGGTACAGTTACCCAAAAAATGATCCCTCAGAACAAAATCGTAACTACGCCATTGTTAAGTATGGAGTAGGTATACGCATAGGTACATCAGACAATCGACACTGTCGCGCTCAATGTTTTAAAATCGAAAAGACTGACTAAAAGTCAAACAAATTTTGTTCAAGTTTCCTGACTACTCAAAGTGATATACGATAGCAGCAAAACTATTTCAAAACATTTTTTATTTATTTTTTTTTTTTTCAATGAAATATTTCATATTAATTTATTGTTTAAAGTACAAAATTCAATAGAATTTAACAGGTTATTTTATTTTTATTGTACAACTATTATGGTACATTATAATAATATTATGATGAAATTATTATGATAAATTTAGATTAGTTCATAGGTATATTAACCCATTGCAAGAGTTCAACGACGAAAATAATCTATATTATGCTTATACGTGAGTCGTTATCACAGATATCTATACTATAGATACCTGTGGTCGTTATAGAGGTACTATCTGTGATAATCAGAGCCATAAGTTAATAGTACAATTAGATAATATATTGTTCAGTCTCTACACTTTCCTACCTACATGCACCATATTGAAGTTCATGCTCTATACATTAATATTATGTTAAATCAATCTGCCAGAAGTTGCCCCATTTTAATTTAAAACCTCTTTCATTTCTCCTTTATTTTTGTTATTCAACATATTACAGTTTATGTATACGTTTTTCAACATGGTATCGTTTCCTTTAATTATTAGAAACAATATTCATAAATTAATTAATTTCTAAGCTTCCGAACAATGAAAAGAAAAAAATAACCTTCAAGGTTCAAGAACACGATATTATAATAAAAAGTCACTTAATTGATCGAGTGTAAAAAAAAAAATGACAAAAAACACTTAATCCCTTAAATAAGGGGTAAATTTTAAAACTGATAACAAATTTGGCCTCAATGACCTCAAAAACATGTCACCATTAATTACATAAATATAAATAAAACACCACCTTTAACTCCCTTAATAATGGATTGATATTAGAAATGATAACGAATTTGGGTTCTGAAAACATCTAAATTCATGATTCGACATAATTTGGTGTAAAATTTGAGAATTATTAATTTTGGCCAGCTTTTTTCGATTTTAAAAGACTGGGCCGCGTTGCTATAATCAGTAGTGTAGTTTTTCTCCACCTATAGGATTTTCCCTCCTAAAATTATTTATAAAATATAAATGTTCTAGAAAAACAAATTCCAAAAAAGTTAATACTTTCCGAGACAATTAGTGTACCCACTTAAATGGATCACCTGGTATGTGTAGCTGTTCAGTTTTGAGTGAACAGAATATTTCATAAATTATAAGCCCCTGATTATAATTTATAATTTATCCATGTTTATATACAAATATGTTTACATAAATAACTGTTCAACTTAAAAAAATAAGTTAAATTCGATTTCGTTAAATGAAAAATAGTTTTTGTGATTTGTGTGAAAAAAAAAGATGATCAATTTTGCCGTCCCCGGGATGTCGCCGCTCTAGGCCCGTGCTGCCTAAACACGCCTCCCCTAAAATATTATAGATACCTAGCCATAGGTGCAACTAAGGTAAAAATTCCGAGGAGAACAATAGTCTCAAATAAATTTATTTGCTTATGTTAGAAAATATTATGTATTGTATTACATTACTATTGTGATCATAAAAAGAAATACAAATAGTTATTATAAAATATTTATAAATCCAATTATATTCGTCGTGACTGAGGTGGGGGGGGGGGTTATTTGGAAAGCTGGCGGTACTTTGCCCTCTAGTTGCGCCAGTGACAGCTACGTCAGCAATAATATTTTCATCAAATTCACCAATATTAATCGAACGAGAAAATACCAAATAATATTTCAACGACACATTTTACTCCTGCATCCGTTGTAAGTACCCGCATATTATAATATAGGTACCGCGTGCAGAGAACTTGTAGCACAATATATATATATTCATATATAGATAGATACCCTAATCATTTTGTACGTGTATTTATCATACACACACAACATGAAATGTACCAACATAACTGTAGTAATTATTGACACAGAAAACAATATTTTTTCGAGGCGTACAAACACAGCCAAAAACCACGGTTTCAGCAGAATAGCATGCGGTTTCCAGAACCCGGATTTAGCATTCGGATTGTGTATACAATGATAATATAATATTATACCCAGTATCTACCTACCCATTAATGAGCGCTCCCAAAAACTGATGATACAGAAAATAAAATATGTATAACGCACCCAGTTAATTGGGTTGAATATTTTAGATTTTGAGTGAAACGAAGAAGCTACTATTGGTTCTACTAAAATACGATGTTTTTTTTATTCCAGTTATTTGAAAAATGTATTCGTGCTTGCTATAGATTTTCTAATCTGTTGTGTCTGACCAAATCGAATAATTGAATCTACTGATAAAATTATTTTAAAATTGTATAATATTTTAAAATATTTAGATATTAAGATATTTTAATGTATTGGTTGAATTATGTTCCTTGAAGCTTTATTGTTAATAATAACTAATATATTGAATATTAATATTTATAATTAAATAAATGTATATTTATAATAAATTATTAGATAAGTATGCAGTATTTCTGTTAAACATTATTGTGTTGTAAAATTGTTTAGGGCTTTGGGAGCTTTATATGCCACAGAATATTTAAGCCCCCCTCCGCCTATGGCTTTGATAGTAAAAATTAACCCATTCATTTTTCATCTGAACGTTTACCAACAACTTGAATAAGGTATACAATTAAAATAATAAGAGATCCCCTACAAAGATATTAAATTTTCAACAAATGTATAATAATTTCAACTCCCAGTGGAGTTGTGTAAAAAAAAAAAAAAACCTGATACTGGAGACGGGTGTACCACTGTTATAGGAGAAAAGTCCAGAATTAAGGATACATGCAGTTATTTAATGTATACCTCTAAGCAACAACAAACTATTACTACCAAAAATGTTGGTTATATATGTTTTGAAAGTCTGTAATATTTGCGATTTTCATACAAATTTAATTTTAATACTTGTAAAAAAAAAAACAAAAATTAAACTTTTTTTTTTACCATTAAGTACCCTAAAATGAACTAATACGAAAAATGACCTTTTTAAGACACCAACTAAATACAATTTCCTTTCAGTAAAAATGCTCCACAGCAAGATTTCTGGTAGAAAAGTTGTTTTGACAGAAAAAGAAACAGCAAGACCAATAAATTTCTCAATATGCTATTTAAGAAACTAAAAATGTCTTCATTAGGTGTAATTTGTTTGTTTAATAAACTCATGATTGTACCCATTTCAAACTGGTAATTCAATAAAAATTTAAAAAAATTAAATCAATAAGAATAACAAGATAAGATAAATAAAAAATATTTCATGTATTTTATTCACACTTTAAAAGTATAGAATATTAGATTTTAAAATTTACAATTCAGTTTTAGTACAGGCCCAAAAGACACCAAGTGCCAGTGATGGAAACTGCTGCTCTAATCTCTAACATATACCAATTAAGTTTTCAACAATTTATCTTTAACAATTAGTCATAAATACAATTTTAATAAATATATTTATTAGAAGCGATTTCCAAAAAAAAAAAATAATATACAAACTTTAATCATTATAAAACTTCTGGAAAACTAATAGCTACAAAAATGTTTTAAACAAACATTATAATTTATAAATATATCAAAATATTTATATTTATTTATTAACTAAATTAAATTGTATAGTATATGTACATTTTTTTAGGAAAACCCAATCTTGAATTAACATGTTTTAAATTAGTTAACGCTTAAAAATAATATTGAGTACATTTTTTTAAAGTACTTATAGCTTATATAATATCTTTGATCCCAGGGAAGAGCCTTAGGTCAATTTTTAGCATTTGTTTTTTTATGATTCAGGTTTAATGTAATTTTTTTTTTTATCTAAATTGTATAAGTATATGCATTTTCAATATTTGATTGGTTTATATTACAAACTATACAAATCTGAGTTAAACATTCTTTCCAAGGATCAAAGAAAAATACAAAATGTGAAAAAAATATGATATAATGTAAAAAAATATTTTTAAATTTTCTTAATTTAATGTTTTGAAATAACAAACAAATTTATCTAAGTAATATTAATTATTTGTAATTTATTTAAACTTTTCGTAAAAAGGGACATCATACTAAAAACTGTGTGATGTCTAGTTTTTATCACATTACATTTATTTTTTATTTATTTATTTTATTATATTTTCTACACATGGAATAGGCACTGGGCTTAACTGAGTCTACTCCTGTGATGGACCAGGATCTTTATCTACATTTATATAATTAATAATTATACTTGCACATAGATTAAAATGTGCTAGTTATAATGTATATAATATTATATTATTATGTAATAAATATAATAAAATCATTTTTGTGATATGCTAATAACACTAAAAATAATAATAATAAAATTAATTCTATAATAATAAAACTAAAACTATGATCTATAGCTAATGTAAAACTGTGAAATAAACATTTAGCAAGTGTGGTACTTTTATTGAAATTGTAATGTTCTGGATTTAATAAGTATTCAGATAACATATTCACTATTATTATTCTTACAATTTTATATTGCGTACAAATTATTTTATGTTACAATTATCTATAAAATATTTATTTACATCTTGTATTAACTTTGTGAGTGGGACTGTAAAGTAAACAATGTCTTATGGGGAAATTTACTGTAGTTATATAAAAATAGTTTTTTTACTGAGAGTACATTGAAGTTTTTGTAAAGACATTAAATCGTGTAGTTGTTAAATCTTTATTAAGAGCTATTCTTAACAATGTATTTTTATTTATCTATGTTCAATAAATTATTATATAACCCCCTCACAACATCCAATTACTTCATACGATATAATTGATTTAATGATTGCTTGTACACTGAGCATATTTTTTATTGTATTTAGAATACTGAAAACAGCCTAAACATTAAAAATGTTCCCATAACTTTATTTATTTGTTACACTTAGCATATTTCACCACACAATTCTGTTTTTGAATAAATTATATACTTATTTACACTAAATTTTTCATAAGAAGATTGGTTTATAGAGATGACTTGTGACCCGGTGAGTATTTTTGTGAAATTAATTATTTTGTTATTATTGATATTATATAAAAAATGTATATACCAGATACCTAACAAAAACAAATGAAAGTATATTTATCAAATTACTTAATTTACTCACTCAGGATAATAACAAGAACATTAAAATAAATAGCAGCAGTGGTATTTATTATGTTGTAGTTGGTACAAGATAATCCACCTATTTGTCACCTAATATTAGCAATGAACAATTATCAGGCTTATTTATTAGTGATTATATTTATACAGAAACTGAAAATTAGTTTCTTAAACAGTTTACCTAGCACAGTGATTTTAATTTCCAATCAGTGGTAAACCATAGATGGTATTTTTTCCCCTAAAAAAAAAAAGTTGGCAGTGATGGGATAATAATATAACTATTATTATTATTACTATGTTGTTTAAAAAAAGTTCATCAACAGATCAAGATTGTCCTAGATCAATCAAAAGTTATCCTAGTGGTGAGCAATGTCAAAAAGGTTAGAAAATAATAGTCAAGACTCCAACAGTTATTAAACTTATGTACTAGTTGTTCTAGGCTATATAAATAAAAAGTTTATAAATTAAGTGAGTGTGAGAGCTGTCTTCTATAATATAAATATAATTGAAGAATTAATTGTGACATTCAACAGTGAAAGATAAGTTCTGAAAGCACCACACCATGTATTCAAACTATGTCTTAACTAAATCTAGATAATATTGGTGTATGCTTTGTGACAATATAAAATAATCAGCTGCATATAATTTTTACTGTAGCAAAATTAACTACAATTTTTAATAGTTGCAATAGTGTGGAAATCAGTGACATGCATTGGTGAAATAGTGTAACCCATTATTTATTGCAGAAAAAATAAACAGTTTGATTTTCAAAAATTTGGTGAAAGCAATTTTAACCCTTTGCATACTTTTTAGTTATTTCTGGATATTCATAACAATAACTCCAAAGTATTAAGATTTGCATGTTATTTTTGGTGACACCAAGAACAGTCATAATAAATAAATTTGTTTCATATTTCACTGATGTAATATACAAAATTGTTTATTGCTTTTTTTTCATAATTAGTATTTTAGAGCTATTTTGCTAAATTAAAGCTTTAAATGCTATTTACAGACATACACGGAATTTGTTATTGTAATTTGTTGCATAATAAGAGTTATTTTGCTTTGATTTTTAAATGAACAAACATATTAGAAAAAGATCTATGTAATTCAGTGGTTTCTGCAAATCTAATCAAAAAATTACAGTCCCAATAATTTGGTTTATTTACCAGTTATACTGTTTTATTATCAAATTTAATTTTGGAAAATTGGTATTTTGTATATTTTTTCAATTTAAAATACTTATATTGGTGATTTTAAGTGTAAATTAAAGTACTAAAAATTAAATTTTTTAGTGCTTTAACTATTACTAGCTTATAACTATTTTATTTGGTTTGTCTTTTACCACACAACATTACCTAGACTGTTAGAACATAATGTAGTTCCATAAGATATTACTGAGTTCCTGAGTCATAATATTTTCATTGTATCAAGTTATAATATTCATTAATAAATTGAAACATTATGAACATTACAATAAAGCTATTTCTAGATTACTTCTTCTATTTCAGCAGGGTCATGAGATTCCATATCTTCAGAAAAAATTTGGTAGTCCTCTTGATTTCCACTCATGATATTTCGAAGTGCAAGTAAACACCATTCTCGCATTACTGAAAAATTACACGTTAATGAAATTATGATTAATAACCAAGACACTAGAAAACAAGCCATAGACAACATGATTAAAATAATGGAAAGAGCCAAGCGAGGGACAAGTTAATGAGACACTACCCCCACCCTATCAATATTTTGTGAGAAATCCATTATTAACTACAGAACCAAACTTGGCATCCAAGTGTTATTTTGTTCCCATCATCTGTATAAACCAGTGTAGAAGCAATGAAGAGTGGAGACCTATGTTGAAAGACAAATATTGCATATAATATTAATGATATACCGATTTCGTGACGCACAAAAATATTTAACATAATATTTAAATGAAGGAAACCTATTGAATTTAGTTATCAATCATATTGACTGTAGAGAATGATTTTAGCTACATCTAGAGTCCCATATAAATCAGTTTAGTCATGCATGCACACAGATAAAAATAAGTAACCTAAATTATTCTGAAGAAACTGTTCTATCTTTACCAAAAATATGGTTAGGTATATTAACTGGATTTAATTTATGATCAAAATTATACATAGATGATTTAAATATTTTAAATAGTTGATTTCCAAATTCAAAATATTTCACTTTATACTTAATTATGTTATACATAAAAGAGCATTAAAAAAAAAGATACATATTTTAAAACTGTTTAGAATCTAAGGAAGATTTTCAGTAAAATTTAATATATTAGTTAAAATAAATTATTTTAAATGCACTATAATATACAAAAACATTTAAATTATAATCATATGTGTTATTCACAAAGTAAAAAAACAAATAAAATTGAAAAAATGAAATTCACTAAACTGAGAATAATGTAACTCACCTGGATTTTTGGCATCAAAGGAACAACATTCTAATAATATTGGAATAATGTCTTTATCACGGATCTGTAATAATAACATTTAAAATTTAAATGTCAAAAAATAATACAATACTTTTTAAAATTTAAAAAACAGATGATAATATACAAGATGCGGCAGAGCCGACTGACGAGTTTAATGAGCTCATTAGCCTGAGATAAGATAAGAGTAGGCCTTAATTAGTGGTATATTTTGAATTGTACAGTAATGCCATTTTTAGTCGTAATCATAGTCTGGACAGGTGTACATTGTGGTTTCGTTGTGCGTTATTACGAAAATAATCATTCTATGATCGCTACACAGAGGGCTTTTCGTATACACTTCGGCATTCCACGTAACGAATCTATTCCTTCTGCTAACACTGTTAAATTTTGGATACGGCAATTGGAAGAAACCGGAAGTACCCTAAGTGGACTGGGACATGGAGCACCCAGAACTCCCGAAAATGTCCAGTTGGTTAGAGTCAATTGAGAGGTCGCCAAGACGCTCTGCCCGGAAACACGCGGTAGCTTTGGGAATCTCAAACCGTTCTTTGAGGAGAATTCTTCACGAAGATTTATCATTCCATCCCTATAAATTAATGCTTGTCCAAGAGTTACATGCTACTGACTATGACAACCGCAAAAATCTCTGTCAGCAAATTCTTATGCGAATCCCTCCAGCTTCAGAGAATGTCTACAACAGTGTATTGATGCTGACGGCCGCCATCTTGGAGATATAATTTACAAACAATAATTTTTAAAAATGGTAATAAATACTTATTTTAATAAAAAAAAATTTTTTTCTCTAAGTTTTACTGTTCATTTTTTATAACCCTTCAAAACTCGTCAGTCGGCTCTGCCGCGCCCTGTACATACCAAATTTTGATGATTTTGATGGTTAAAACACATGTTTGTAATCAAACGTATTATATCTGTTTTGAATCCATATCTATTATGTGATATTACATCAGAATTAATAAATAGAGCTGATAAATCATTTATACGACTAAATTCATTATCTGAACTCTTTTTGCCATCTTCATGTATAACAGTCAATATATCTAGAGAAAAAATACAATATTTCATAATATAGATAATTTGATACAAATTATTGTATCAACATTGTACAAATTAAATAAATAATATTTACTAATTACATACCCATTGTCTTTTCCAACAATGGAGTATAGTTTTGAATAACATCATGAAATCTGCTTATATTAGATGCTTTAGCAAGAACATTAACTACACCACCAGTAATTTGATCTATGGTACAACTAATAAACAAATCAGTTTTTATGAACTCCATTACTTCAAATGACACAATATCTTCGTAGTAATCCAGCCAAACAGATAATAAGTTCATTAATTGATCTTTGGAATCATCAGGAAGATGTGTATATGTGAGTTCAAATGATTTATGATCTGAGAAAATGGAATCTAAAAATATCTTACTAAAAAACAAAAAAATTTATTTAAATTTAATAATTATAATAAATAATGGCTTATTATAGGCATGACTTTGTCATAAGTGACAAAATGGGCCTCTCTAAATATATCAAGACTGACTCAGTTTTCTTTAAACAAGAGCAAACATTTTTAAAACTAGAAGGGTCAATTATTTTTTGACTTTGGTTGACGTTATTATTAAATTTTTTACAATAGTACTGCATTTTTGTTAGATAACACCAAATTACTTTTTAACTTACTAGCCATAAAAATGATAATATTATAATATTTAAGTTTAGGAAAATGTATTAGCAGTATATTTAAATTACCACTGTCCTAATGTATTGTTTTAAATATTATATTAAATAATCACTGTCTCCATCATATTTTGGGTAGATAATGGAAAACCAGGTGCCCCACACACCAGCCCGGTCACATTTTTGAGCACCAGGCGCCATCCATCTGATTTCCCTGTAGATAGGTAATTATTATCATGGTCTTAGAATAATTTATTATAAAGGATTTTATGTTATTACCGTGATTGTTGTGTATGGTTCTATCACTATGGTTGCTTATAAAAACAAATATTAAATAATTAATATTAAAACAATTAAATTAACTAGTAAATATTTAACCAGTTTAATCAAATTAACAATTTAATGAGAGCTACAATTTGTATATTACTTACAGCATCTCCTTATCTCCACATAAAAAAATGCAGATATTAATTAATTAATGCAGATATAATTAAAAATAAGCCTAGTCCGGAAAATAGCTATAGTGTCTTTCATATAAAAGAATCTTGGCTAGGGTCAGCCAGCGGATAAGTTTTGAGATGAGAACATCGAGCACTTTCACACTACTCTGTTTTGAATTTTATTATAGAAATATTTTCTAAGTTAAACAAATTAACAGACTTATAAATTAAAATTGTATTCAATTATTTGAAAAATACTTGACTATCTCTAAGTACTCGAACCTGTCCACCACAGTGATAATACAATAAAATCAAGAGGCAGGTACCCGGTTTTCCACTATCTACCCGGGGACCTGGTAACTAAGACACAGCCTTAAATAGTTTCCAATCGGCACACTTACCAATATTCAATTTCCTTTTTTTTGTTCCAATGAGTCATAATGTTTTTAATAATGTAAAAATCCCTTAAAACATCCAATTTAAAGCTGACATTTTGTAAACATAGATTATACAGTAACATTATTAATGAATTCAGTAGATTGGAATGCTTTGTTGATAATATATATTTTCTGAAAAAAAAAAAACCATACTGATTATGTATAAGAAAGTGTTATTAAAAATGATTGAATAACAAAATGTATTTAATTTATGTTAAATAGGTAGATAACATAAGGACTTACTTTAATTTACTATGAAAACATAGAAATATACTATGTTGTGTTGATTTATGGTTTATAGATAAGTTATTTAAAAACTGCAGTATTATACTAGAGTTCAAAGGTTCGCTCACAAAACATTTATCAAAAAACCATGAACATATTTCTACAATTCCAGATTTCAATAATTCTTGTTTAGTACAGTCTTGTAAATCCGGTGCATTATTCCGAAGCCAACGAAAAGTCAATGACACGTTTCTGACTTTTTCGTCGTCCAGAGGCACATGAATAGACTTTATAAGAGTCAGAAAATCTATACGATTTAAACACGCCTCAAGCAATATTGCTTGTTGATTCATCTTCGTTGTTTATACCGACGATTTTTTTAAGTTTTAATCGTTCTATCAATTTACTAAATAGTCGAACCACAAAACAGGAGAGTCGAGAACTCGAAACTATTACAGTAGCACACATAGAATAAAGCGCATACAAAATGTAAACTACAACCACGATGTGTAGGTACGAACGTATAGAACACAGTATAATAATAATAATAATAAATAATGAAATATAATTAGAAATTCCATGGAGAATTATATATGTTGAGACGGCCGATTGTCGGCCACTCGGGAGCCGTTCTCTTATCACATCGTGGTCCATGAGGAAATAATTTGTAAACCGTTATCACTTTGGTGCGTATCTCTTTTTTAATAAATTACAAACTAGTAATTACAGACATTAAAATATTAGAACTATAGATAACAATATGACTAAAACTATGAAAATATAAAATACGTACTTCTATTTTATGGCTCCATGAGTAAACTTTTTTGTTTATCATTGATTAATATTTTATATAAACTTAATATTTTTTTATGCGTACATAGGTAATTTTATTTTTTTTGATGGCATGTCCAAGATTCAATAGAAGCTATTAAAATTATCTACCTACGCGATTTTTAAAATTCATCAAAATATTATATTATACAAAATTAAACAATGTATCTTTATAATTAATACTTTTCAGTTTACATATAATATTGTTATGTTGTATGTAAATAAATATTATAATAATAGTATTAGTGAACAAGTGTTAAATATTTTAACTTATGTGTACATAAAATAGATACAGTGATATGAAAGGAAATTATAAACTATAAAGAGTGCACTGAGCTAGTGAATTTATTTGTAAGACCCCCTTTATGTTACAAATAAATATTGACAAAAAAAAGGTCCGGCACAATTAAATGTGTAACTCTAGTTCTACCAATAATATTTATTAGTCAGTAGGTAAAATATTTCCTTATAGGTAATTACATACTATTTATTTTATATAATCTAAACAGTCTTAACGAGTGTAAAAGAGATCTTATAGCAAAAACCTATTTTAAATATTAGGTAATTTGATTTAAATTTATATTTTTTACATAAATACTCAAATGAACAACATTGGGTTTCCTAGAAGTGATCAAGAAGAGCTTGAATCTATATTGGATTTAACTAGAGGCAATTTTTTAGAACAATTCTTAAATGATCTCAAGTCATTCAGATCATTAAAATAATAACCAGTCACATTAATTGGTAGGTAATGGAAGAAAATATAATTTGACACTTATCTACTTATCCTATGTTAAATATATTATATATATTTATAGAAGATATTTATATTATGTTCAACCAAATATTGCAAAAATATTGATATCTGTCTCACTATAAGTACCAATAACAATTAAGGATCTACATTCAAGATACAGACCAATCCAAGGGGAGAAAAGTTAAAGGGGTTACAATCCTTCCCTATGTGCTATGTATTAAATGCAAAAAATTAATATGAACTATTCTGAATTGTAACTCATAACTAGGACTGGGGACTAGTAGCATTTGCATATTTCATTTACACAGTCAAAAAATAACAATGAGAAACAAATACAAATGCGTTTTATGATTAGACAAGACTAGATTTCTGATGTAGATTTCTTTTGTTTTTAAGACATATTTCTTCATTTTATACTTTATAAGAAATATGTTCAATATTTTCTTGATCAACATTTTTATTTCATTTAATAATATAACCAAAATTGTTGAATTTCAATTAATTTTTATCATATAATACGATTATTGATAGTACACAAATTCACATTTTTCGTAGAAAAAATTTATGATAATTTTATTTATAAAAAGTGAACAGATCTATATTAAAAAATTTCCAATGGAACAATAAAAATTCCATAAACAATTGCAAAATATTTATATTTATTAAATAATAAATTTATTAAAATGTACCTATTAATTGTAATTAATTAACTATAATTAAATCAATACAAATTATTTATATGTTTTTAATTATAGCGCTAACAAAAATATTAGAAAATATAAAAAAAATAATAATAAAAATATAAAAATATTAGAATATATTTTTAAATGCCTTTTTAGATCTGCAAGTCCTCTGCCCTATTCATGATTAATACAATAATTATCATTGTACATTTACACTACTTATCAACTAAGTATGAATAATTTACATTTGCTATATTTAGCTCTCTCACTCATTGAAAAATTCTGTATACAAAACTGGATAAATCATTAGATTATTAAAATATTAACAAGGAAATATCTTGAGAATAAAAAAATTAATAAAAAGTTTTTTTCTATATATAAAAAAAAGAATATACTTTGAAAATTGAGTAAATTATTTACTTTTATTAATGACTCATGAAATTGTTATACCTACAAAATATAATTAATAATAACATTATAATTCTTTATATAGGTCTACAGTCTATGTCTATAGGTAATTATAACTTATATTAGATACTCTATACAATAACTATACCTACTTACTAAGCAATTATATAATGTACATATTATTACAGGTTAAGATTAGGTTAATAATATGTATTAAAATGTAAAAAAATAGTATTTAGTATTTTTAAAAATGAGTGGTTAAAATGGTTAAAACCACTTAAAATGCCTTTGAACATTTATATCTAGGATTTAAATACAAAACCAAAATATATACATGATTTGCCAGATATATTTAAGATTGAACCTTTCATAAATTTAATATTTTTCATTGTTTTAAAATATCATTAATTTCACAGTGTCAATAACATAATTATACATATTTTTAACAAAAAAAACTTATTTTATAAAAATGTTTAAAAAACATGATACAATATCATCTTACCTTTTAGGGTTTTAAATTATTTCTTCAATGTAGATATTAGATTATTACTATTAAGAGGATGCTCACCAATTATAAAACATTTTGTCTATGTCATTATTACAAGTATTTATTATGTATCGCCAAATTTAAATATATTTGCATAAAACATAAAAACTACAATTAAATTAATTACGTGTATTAATGTACACTTAATATTAAAATAACATCTGTGACAGCTGTTTATTCAATTTTATTTTATAAGTATTTTAAAAACACAAATTATAGAAGTTTATGATTTGATAGGTAATAGGCACCTAAATTTTTTAAAATAATTTTTTGAAAAAAATATAAACACTGAGTCACATATAAAATTGTTTACTATATTATTTTATAAATAAAATGATATACATTTTGTATCTCTAGTATAATTATTATACCTATCTATTTTTAAATATGTTCCCATAGAACACTTTTTGTTACAATAAGTACAAGTAAAATATGTTTTTTTACCCTGCATTACATGCACACTTAACAAAATGACATGGTTATTTTATTGTTTCAGTTATAAGGTATGAATTATATTGTTCTACATAAATATATTATGATTTTTATGATTTAATTGATTGAGTATATTATTCAAGAAAATTGAGTATATTATATTATGTATCCCTTCAAAATGACCCTGTGCCTGTAATTATATTGTATCAAATAAAATTTGATGCATGCAACATAGGGTTAAGTTAATTTCCTATTAAGTCTGTAAAAATTTAGTATCAGGTGTTAGGTACAATAAATAATGTTTAATAAAATAATATAATACCTAAAATATTTATTAACTACCAATTATATCAAAAAAATGTTTAAAAAACCTACAAATTACTAATTAAACATCATAGTTAAATATTCTAACATAATATATATATATATATATATATGTATATATGTATTTGCATAATATTTTTTTTTATCAAATAACTATTTTCATTTTATTTTTAATCTATACACATTGTTTAATATAATATAGATACCAAAATAATTATTGAAAAAAAATATAGTCTTAAACATGTTTTAAAGAATTTGTTTTATATTGTGTTGGAGAAAGCCCTATTAAGAACATTGCTTTAGAAAAATCTAGATTGTTAAATAAGGAACTGGCCATACTTTCTGAAGTTATTTTTGAAACATCACTAGTATCAAGTATATCTTCTGAAGTTACATTTTTAGTATTACATGACTTAATATATGATTCAAAATTTTCAGACACGGAATTTGGTATTTGAAAAAATGATGTAGACAGTGAAAGTTGGCGTGATGAAATTGAAGCTAACAAATTTTGAAAATTATTTTTAGCTATATTGCCCGAACTCCCAGCACATACTATTTCACTCAAGAAATTCCATAACAGCCTATGTGTTACATCATCCTTTGGAAATTTGTTCATTAAAGATATCTAAAAAAACAAAAAATATGTATTAATAATACTATTATTATAAATATAATTTTAAAAGTACCTTTAATTTTTCCAAATAAGTTACGGTGCCTTTATAATTTTTCTTAAAATTGATGAAATCTGGGTCATATTTGTTGAAATCAACACATTTTTTCTTAAAATAAAAAGAAATATAGAAACAATAATAAATTGTGATGAAATATACGATTAGTTTTAAAAAGAACCTTACCAATGCTGTAACAATATCTACAGTTAATAACTTTTCTGATTTAGTACTAAAATGCATATTCATTGGTCGTCCATAATCATGTATTGCATTTTCAAAAGATGGAAGTACCCAATAACATTTAATTGTTGAATCAAATGATGATTTGCCTTTATTATAAGGTGCTAAATCAATAGGTAAATATAATATTTATAATTTCAAACAAATATAGGTGTTTTAAAAGTTAATTGATTCTTACAGCAAATTATTCCAACACATGGTATGTAAGATTCAACGGTCGGCCCTTTTATTTGAACTTCATAATCTAACTGAGTTTCAATATCTCTTAAAGTAGGTGTAGCTATGGTTTCTGGATGTGAATGGTACCATCCTACCAATACCAAATTTTTTTCTGTAAAAGTATTTCGAATTTCTTCTTCAATTAATGAAGTCAATTCTGTATCTTGTAAACGGCTTCTGAAGGGATATGCATTTTTCACTGTAAGTGCTATAAATTAATTTAAAAAAAATATATATATATATATTCATTCAAATATTATTTTAATAAACAACAAACTTTGGGTGGAAAAATCCCAATTTCCAGCAAGATATCCAACAACTTCTGAACTTGTTAAATGACAATGGAAATCCAATAATAATATAGCATTTTCTGATATATTAACATGAAATGGTTGAACTTTATTTATGTAGGACCAATTTGTACATTCCACTAATGTATTGAGATTTCTGTAAACAGTTTAATTAATGAAGTCTTCAATGCAATTTATTATAGATGTTTTTATTCATTTATAATATTCACTATCTCAAATTGATTTTATTCTGTGTTTAAATTTACAAATGATTACTCAAAATTCAAAAATACAATAATAGAAAGTCATTCAACATATAGGTATATGAAGTTTGAGGTTTGTAATACTTAACTATTGCACTTACTGATTACTAGATCTTGATAGAATTTCACTAAATTGTATAGGTTTTTTAACATCAATCAATGGAGGTAAAGATAAAACTTCATTTTGAATTTTATATTTTACTAAATCTGATTCCAAATTTTCAACTGAAACCATTATTTTATTATATTATAAGCTCTTATTGAAATTATATACATCATAATTTTCCATGTGGAAAATTAAATAACAACAGAAAATTATATAGATCACTCAGAATCGTAGGTATAATAATATTACCTTGAATTATATTATGCTTCAAAAATTCTACATTTGAAGATTCTCTTTTTCTAAAATAAGCATGTTTAAAAGCATCCAATTTTTTTCCTTTATACCGAATCTACAAATCAAATAATTTAAGTATAAAAACAAATTGTTAATATTATATTCTACATATTACATTTATGATTTAAATTAGATACTTAGTTATATATTTTTATTACCATATACCTAGTACCAATAATAATAGGTAGGTATAGAATTAAAATATAGGTAAATCAATACTATTCAATATTTAACAATCAAAATTCATAAATTTAAAGATTAAAATAAATAATTATAATAGGTAACTTAAGAGAGGTAGGCAAATAACTTTTGATAAGGACCAATATTAATAATAAATTATGTTTTTAATAGATTTTTATAGAAAAAATGCATGACTGAAATAACATTATTTTAACTAAATTTATTAGTACAACAGTATTATGAATAATTTGAGAAAATTATGTACACCTCTCTAAACCTTTCAAAAATCATAGAATCTAAGCACCCTGCATAACTAGTTAACTCCTTCACATACTTTCCTACTAGGTGTGCACCAAAACAAAAATTGTACTTCTTTACTTAGGCCTTCTCCTTGTAAGCTCAGATTTCTTTACAATATCAAAAAAAAATACATACCTACCTATCACCTATAACCCCTATCTATTTAGTTATTTTGTTATTAATATTTTCGATTTTTAAGTTTCTGTAGCTATTATTTATTACATACCTAATGATAGATATAAAAAACAGATTCTTTATTTTGGCCAATTTGGTGTAAGAACAAAACATAAACCAATGCACAGTAGGATGGAAAGCTCATCTGGCACCCCAAAACTATTTTAATCAAATTATCATTATTGATAAATATATTTTAAATTGATAATTAGGTAAGTACTAATTGAATTGATTGATCAATTCCAACATTTAGTTATTTATGTGTATTTTATCATTATTTTTCACTCTTTTGAGATAGTTTAGAGTGCCTATGAAGAGTATACAGTCTTACAAGCCATTCTAAGTATTCAAAGTAGTTCCTGAAAATTCCTAAGAATAAAATATACATAGAATCAAAGATACCTTAACAAATACAATAATCATAGGTCATAATATTCATAAATAATCTTAAACAAATTTGAAAATCATAGGTACATACCTACAAAGACATTTTATTGCTAACCTGCATATTCAGCTTTCATTTTCCAAAATTAAAATGAAACAATTTTTGAAATGCCAACAATAAAATAATTTTACTACCTAATGGCTAGTTATTAAAACATGTAAAACAATTTTGTACCAATCTACAAACATTAGTGATTGGACATCTATAAACATTAGTAATATATTAACATGTGTGCACATATGAAATGATAATAATACCTATATTATTGTATTTATAAAATCAACAAATTTTAGTACTCTAGATAAACTTTCTATCCCACTGTGGGACATACACATAGGTACCTACTTTTATTAGGCATATGACTTTCTAAATTTCTGAATATGACTGGCGTACTATTAATAATTATATGATTACTTTTAAATTTTTTTAAGGGCAATTATAGGGTTGATATTGAGACTGGCATAGTGCAGCATTTAATTGCATCTATAGTACAATATAATATAATACTAGGTACCTACATTAAAAAAAATTAAAGTATTATTAGTTTGTTATACTTTTTCTTTGTAATATTAGCATAATATACCATTAAATATTGATCTTAAATTACATATTTAATATTATATCAACTTAAATGATAAAAAATCTACAACACAAAATTTAAATAAGTAGGTAATAATTACTAATGACAGATACATACAGAGGACCAACCACATCCAGCCTTTTTAATTTTATTAATAATACTTTTGCAATTAAAAGCCCAGGCGCTAGGAGAGGCAAACTCAATTGAAGTTTCCACTGATCTGATTTTACCATCTGGTAATAAATCTCCCATGAATCTTTGACCCTAAAAAATATAATGGATTTACATTATTTTAGCATTAATAAAATGTTTAATTTAATAGATTATGTGCCTAAATATATTATCACTTGTAATATATATACTTGACAGAAATAACTAAAATCTAACGAATAAATACCTAATCTAGTAGGTAACCATCTATTGAGATTTGAAAGTAACAATAATTTTAAAAATGTTAATCTTCAATGAAATTCATTTTTTTTTAAATAACTATTTGAAAAAAAAACCTAATATTATTAATTTTTTTTTTTTTTCATCATATATGTGTAATTCTTCTAAAACTGAGTTAATGTAAATGTTTTTTTAAATCTATATTAATATCAAAATTTATATTACGGTTATTTTCTAAAACATGTTTAGCGAAATTTGAATTAGAGGCAGTCTTTTTTAATTTTATTTCTAAAATATGTTCTTTATATCTTATTTTAAAATTTCTATTTGTCCTACCTATATAAAATTTATTATAGTTACATTTAAGTTTATATATACCAGCATTTTCAAAAAATAGAACTAAAAACTTCACAAAAAATCCTCTTTTTAACTTAACCTAACCAATTTTAAAAATAATATCTTATATGAATACATTTTAGATAATAAATAATACAAAAATAATTTATATTTCTTAACATACCTATGTCTAATGATAACTAATTTTAAATAATCTCTCCTATAAAAACAAATTATTTCTATATTCTATGTAAAACAAAATTATTTTTTCTTTGTATTCCTTCATTTAATTTTTTATATCCAGTCGCGTTTTTCATTTTGACTGTGATATACCTGATGATGAATTTTTAATTTAAAACCAGTAGTTTAATTAACTAATCATAATATTTCAGGGCATTTATTGATTTATTTATTTTATTTTTATGTATAAACTTTTAATTTACTATATTTATTTACTTTATAAATTATTTATTATCGAAGTTTGAATAAATATATTTTGAAATGCTGTGGTTTTTACAATCTTTGTTAAAATTTAAACTTATATGCTTCAGAAAAAAAAAATATCTACTTCATAACATTCAAATTTTTTTCTAATCAAATATAACTTATGATTAATCTCGTATAAAATGTTCAAATATTTTAGATCAGCCAAAAATGATTTTTACGATTTCCATTTAACTTTAAACTTAAAATGCTTCAATAGAAATATATATATACACTTCATAACGCTAATTTTTTTTTCAACCACTTAGCATAACTTATAATGAATCTCATATTAAATTTTCAAACATGTCTGTTGGATCTACACAATTTTATCATCCAGAAAAAACCAAATGGAAAGTAAAACCTCGAAAATGTCAAGTATCTATAAATAGGTAAATTAAAAATCGTTCGAATGTTTTGAAAATTTCAGTACATCTAGAAAAGACCTAAATAATTTAAAGTCTCTATTTTTATCCAAGTTCTATCAAAATTGAAAATAATTAAACTGTTTTTCCGTAAACTTTGCGCTTTTGATACATTTTTCTCGGTTTATATGGAAATCAAAACAACGACCTGCTTACTAGATATATAGGTATATTTCTTTCAGAATGGATGCTACACGTAAATATCTGAACAAGATTTCTGATTAAAATAACAAATTCGAAAATAATGAAACGTTTAGGGTCGTAAAATTGTCCGTTTTTGTCGTCCATTGTGAAAATTTGAAAATCAAGAAACGATCTGTTCATCAATTCAACAGCTAAATCTAAAATTCTACAAAAAAGTTCTCTTGCAATTTTTTGTTAGGAGAAAGATATTTTATATGTTTTATAAAAGTACAATAATTGCATAGGCACATCAAATAAAACCAATACATTCCTCGTTCGGTTCGGAAAATCTAAAATAATTATTCTTATATGGTTGCATTTAGGTATATATCACGATCGGTATACCTGTAACAAACCAACGACACTTTGACGGGGGTGAAATAAATAATATTTTCGTTACCATGTACTCGAGCGACAGGACCGAGCAGCCGGGTTGGAGTATATTGGTATCTAACAGCATTTGCAAAGTGACCGTGCGGCTGCACGAGTTGGGTCGAGCGCGGCGCTTGGACGACGACCGGCCGTCGGACGTGGACGGGCTGTCGTCGATGATTTCGCATGTATTAGCCATGTTTACGACGAACAATATCAAAGCCGGAACAGGTCACGGGCGTCCGAACTGCGGCACAAACCGCCCGTCGTCCGAGTGCGGTAGTCCAGTAACGCTGAACGCCATCCACCGCGATGTACACTCGCCGGTACCGGAGGCCGCGCCAGTGCCCACGTGTCTAAAATTATCCGCGAAAAAATTCAAATTTAAATGATTAAATTAATTTAATGATAATAATAATAATAATAACAAAGACAAAATGATAATAGATGCATGAATAATTATTATTATCAGCAAGTGCCTGTAATAGATAATAGGGCCGTTCGTTTTGAAAAGTTAGTGTGTAGAAGTGTCGTGATAACGGTTTGGTTGATAACCGGTGTACTTTTACAAAACTAACTTTTCCGGAATGACTGTGAAGTACCTACTGAAATAATCACATATAAGATAACAATTATTAAATACCATAGATTTATTATTATTATTTTATTCTGTGCATAATGCACATAAATGATTTAAAAATTAAAATAAATTGTAATGATTACAAATTAAATTTAAATATTATGGTAGCCGACTTCGCTGATGATAGAGTTATATACATTTCCGAAAAACACCCATTTCTTGCCAGCCAATATTTGCAGAACCATCTAAACCTACTCTCTGATTGGTATTCCAATTGGAGAATTAAAATAAACAATGACAAATCATCCCACATCACCTTCACTCTCAAACNTTGCTGGTGTTCCTCAAGGCGCCATCTCTTCTCCCATATTGTTTAACATATACACATCGGATCAACCAACCACTTCTCAAACTTCTGTAGCCGACTTCGCTGATGATAAAGTTATATACATTTCCAAAAAAAAACCCATTTCTTGCCAGTCAATATTTGCAGAACCATCTAAACCTACTCTCTGATTGGTATTCTAACTGGAGAATTAAATTAAACAATGACAAATCATCCCACATCACCTTCACTCTCAAACAATCCACAGTACCTCCAGTTTATTTAAACAATAAAGTTATTCCTTCCTCCTCTAATGTTAAATATTTGGGTCTCACTCTCGATAAACGACTTACCTGGGCTTTACATATTAAGCAGAAACGTATCTTGCTAAATGCCAGACGAAGAGCGCTCTTCCCACTTATAGGAAGACAAGCAAAAACTGACCTAAAAACTAAACTGCTGCTGTACTAAACCCTTCTCAAGCCAATTTGGTTACACGGTATCCAATTGTGGGGTGTAGCAAAAAAGTTTNCCCTCTATAGCCAGTAAGTGTTGCCGCTGGGTGATTACTTCTTCATGTCGATCTCGCCTTTTTTATTTTTATTATTATTTTTTTTTTTCTTCCATAATTCCTCAAACATGCTTATTTTAAAAAGTGTATTTACAGATTGTATGTGTTATAATTAAAATTAAAAAAAAAAAAAAATTATGGATATTTTTCGGTCTTATGATTCCTCATCTTCCAAAGACGATTTAGAACCTCATATTTGCAAACAACTGCATTATCATCGTCTAATAGTGCGACATATTGACTCTGGAAGTTAAAAACTTCCATTACTAATAAATAATAACTATACGATTTCTTCAATGAACAACGGTATGAGTTTTTAACATATTTTATGTGTAACTCAAATTGTGTAATGCGTTTGTGCAAGTAATAATAATTGATAATTCTGATAAGCACACCGAAAATTCAATCTCATACCTGCACATTTGCTAGTATGAATAGGGTACACACTGTCACTAAACCAACACATTTTTAAAACGAATATCATGTACTCAAATACTTTTTCAAAATAAATGTCGGTTGAAACGAAAAAATTTAATGAAATTGTAAATATTGTAATTCAATATGGTTCCCAGAGAGGCTGTGTTGTAATTAGAAAAAATAAAAAAACAAAATAAATAGGTATAACATTTAGATAGATTTGCTCAAAATTGTAACTATATTTGAGTAGCATAAATCAGCATTTGTTATATTTTGTTGCATTTTAAGAATTCTAAATCATAGATATTAATCTGAGGTATGGAACTTACCATTAAACATTCAAATTTTGTAATTTACATACTACTTAATATTATTACAATATCAGCAATAGGTAGATAAATAATACATTTTATTAAATAGATAATATTTGTTTAAAAACCAAAAATATAATTATCTTCAAGTACTATACAAAATTAATGAACATTTTTTTTTTTTATGTCTTAACAAGTTATTGAAATAATATTATGTTTTCTTTCTTTTATTTTGGACAGATTAGTATAAAATCAAAAATATTTCAACTTGAAGTTTTGACTCAATTCTCATCAATTATTTTTCAAATAAATGTTGTAAACGCTTAGTTAACCTATAGTAAAATAAATTAAAATATTATATGACAACTACAACAGTTAATAGCTAATTTACTTACACCATGGCAGCTGTGAGTTCACAATTTTCAATAATAATATCTAGTTCCAAAATGTTATTTTCCATTTGAGACAAAATGTTATTAAATTCTTTCTTACGAACATTTTCCTTCTGTTCAATTAGATTCAATATATTTTCAGTAGCTGAAATAAATAATAACTAAATGTATGCACAAAATATTTCAATAGTATTGTATAACACTAACATTTAACCTTGTGAAACTGTTCAAATTTAGACATTACTTCACTTAATATTTCAATAGTTTTTGAATAATGCTTTAAGACTTTTAAGTTCCAAAAATATATAGTATTTGGTCTGTAAAAAATATCACAATAATTGTAAATTTTATTAATGCTTATTAAACCTTATTATTTCAAATACTTTGGATCTGTTATTAATTTAGGTGTATTTTCAACAACAAATGCAAAATTATCTATAGAAGTTATAGTTTTGTTAATTGGATAACTATTATCAATTTTGTCCATGTAAGTTACATATAATTTATGCATATCATTTTTTACATCCATTAATCCAAAATCTGATTTTTTATTGTACAATTCTTTTAACATGTTACACACAGACACTTTTTTCTGAAACTAAAAAACAAAGATATATGTGTGAAATATATTAAAAAAAAAAAAACAACCTACAATTTCATCATTTAAATCATTTGTTTTTTTTAAAATATCATCAATCATTTTAAATGATTCTTTTTGAAAAACCTTATTTTCTTGAAATTGTATTGTCTTTGAGTCATCATAGGAATCTATAGTGTTTTTAATTACAAATCGTAAAGATTCTTCAACATTTTTCTGAAATGCTAGTAATTCATCACCAGAACATGTAATATTTCTAAGCTATAAATTAATATAAAAACCAAAATATATTATGAACATCAAATGTATCTATTTACTATAATTATAAAATTTACTTTAAATTGACTTATAATTTCATTCTTAACTCGCTGTGTAGTGTTTTTCAAATGATTTATGGTATTTTTCTTTTCTGTTACTGAACTAGATAATTTTGATTTTAACTCCAGTTGTATTTGAAAAATGTTCCCAAGAGATTCATTAAATACATTTTCACTGTCACTTTAAATATATAAAGGACATATAATTTTATAAGAGAATAGTATACAATTAAATAAACAACAAACTATAATTACCCGTTGCACTCAACAATTTCTTTTGCTTGTGTAATAATATCATTACTTTCATTTATGTGTTTCATTAAATTATCTTCAATTGTTTGGAGCAAAATAGCAGGGCATTTTTCACTAGTTGATGCAAATATAAAATTGCTTAATTTTTTCCCAATTTGTATGCTTTCAATCATTTTACCTGATTGTTTAATTTCGTCCACTTCGGTTAAACATTTAATCAAAGAATCCTACAATATATTTAATATTACATGACATATTTGTAATTTGTTAAATATATTCAATAATTTTACCTCATAATCAGTTTTAGTTAAAACTTCATTAGTTTCTGGTGAAAAATGAATACACATATTAGATAGCTCTTCAAATTGTTCAATAAACTTTTCATAATATTCAGTTTGGTATTTAGTTAAATAACATTTATTTTGTTTTAACTCAATATTCTTCATTAAATTTTTCTTATACTGCATTTTTTCATTTATTTCATCTTTAATTTTCGTGTTATTTGCCTCAGCAATAACAATATCCTTCTGGATACTATTTAATTTTGTAACTAATTCTTCATACTTTAAAGCATTAGTGTAATCATCATCACATTCTACTTTTGCCTATAAGTATGAATTAAATCATTTATAAATAAATTCAATTTTTCATTGCTATTACATAAATTTATAATTAAATAATTTTACATTAATTCAAGGAGCTATGGAAAATAAATTTCTATAAATCAAAATTGTCTAGTACAATTACTTATCCTAAACTTATATGGAAGTTAATAAATGATTTAACAAGAACAAATAATAACTGTAAGTAATGATCAATTTTATGAATTAACATTTAATAAGACTCTTTAATTACAGCAGTAAAAATGTTTAATTCATATTTCCTGAGAGTTAGGGAAGACATGGCAGTTAAATTTTAACAGAGTGTTAAACTTTTCTTTTAATTTAAATTTCCTGAAAAAAAAAAATAGAAAATACAGAAATCTCTACATCAATAGACAATTTTAAACATAAAACAGTAACTAGTTTGATAAAATAAACTATATATCACCAACTCACATTGTAAACCTTTTTAACTATATAATAAATATATCCTTAAAACAAAGTTTTTCCTTCATAAATTAAAATTTCAAATTGTCAAATGTTTTATATAAAACAAGTAATAAAAAGAATATTAAGCTATAGACCAATTTACTATGCTTTGTATTTAATTTGCAAAAATAATAAATAAATAAATCTAAAAATCAATTTGGTTATTATCCTGATAGAAGCACAACTGGACCTCTAATGCTATGACCAAATTTATATACAACAAAATGAACTATTATAAAAAAATAAATATCATTATAAAACATATACTTTCTTTATTCCACTGAGAATCTAAAGTTTAATAAATTACCTGGTATAGCACTTAAAAGCATTCTGCTAATATATGCTCTTATGAGAAAAAGAGTTTAAATTGGAGATGGAAGCAGCCACTGTAGTAGGTAAGAAGTTGGGAAGGTAGGATACATAAAGTTATTACATTTATATCTGTAAGTAACAATAAACCATTGCTTGATGAAAGACAATTCCAAGCATAGTTCGGTAGTACATAGTTTGAAGTGCCGTAATTTTTTTTTTTACGATTTTCGTTTAAATTTGATTTCAAAATGCTTTTAAAAAAAAGTTGTCTGATTATTTTGAAAATTTTACCACGTCTAGGTAAGTCTAATATATATATTATTATTAAGTTTCAAGTCTCTACGTGTATTTATAACCCAATTACAGCAAAAAAATTCCAAAAATTTAAATTTCTTAAAATCTCAAAAGTGTCTCAAAAGTTTTGGCATTAATTTTTTAATTAAATCATTATTTGTGGTAGAAAACGTAGTCCGTGTTTTTGTAAAATCATGAAATTGTACATTTACCTACGTTTTTTTCCACTTAGGTGCATGATATTTAAAAAATAATGTCGAAAATTAAAAAAATGACCTCTTTAAAGTACAATCTATACAACTTGAGCTTTCAGAAAAGGTGCAAGAAATCGAAGCAAGTTTACTTGGAAAAAACGTGTCCACAGATTAGAAAAAAAAAGAAAAATATAAATATCTTAGTAAAATCAATAGCTCATTCGCTACGCTCGGAATCTAAAAGATTAAAATTTGCACAAATAGGCATAATCTAATTTTAGATTTAGATTCTATATAACATGAACAGGATTTCTATTTGACTCTGCTTCTTTTTACATAATTAAAAAAAAAATATACAAATGCTAGAAGTCCCTAAGCCTAGTTATAGTGTGTATTGTTTTCATTAATAAAATGTTAATTTACCATTAATGGTTTTTGACGTTTTTGAAGTTTATGTAACAAAATAGATTTTTTGATTAATTCTACTTCTTCTTTGGGCAAAACATGTTTAATAATATTCCTCCACATATCTCGACGTTGTGGAGGCACTAACCTGCATAAAATAAAGTGATTATATTAATTGTATTTCCTAATAGTGTAGGTAGTTAAAAATATGAAATATGCTTATTACTTTTTAAGCACTTCGTCTTCAACACTGCCATCAACTTCTAAACCTAGGTTGTTAAACCATTTCTTTAAATTAATTAAATCTTTATCCATATTGCAGCAGCATAAAACTTTATGTACAAAAAAAAGTAAAAAAATTAAATATTATAGACAAATTTAAACAATACAGTATTTTCTGACACAGGCTTTCAATAGTTTCAAATATTCACTTTGACATTCGTTTAAATTCAAAATCATAGGTATTCTTTCGTATTATCGTACATTCGCATCTACTTAATCAATTTTTGTTTTATGTTTTTAGTTTTTAATAACCGTCAAATGGCGCGAGTCTTTTGTATTCTGTTCATAACATTGATATCATTACATGATAATATCACAGGTATTAGATAATAGAAAATGATAAGCTGTAATTGTCGTTACTTTATTAAACAAATTTTATTTTAATTTGGTATTATCAAATTAATTATTATTTAAATAAGTAGTAATATAAATTCTTTTTTGGTATTAGTTCGGCTAACAATGGAGTTTACCGTTTCCGTCCATCTTTTCAGGAAAACACCTTTTTGTTTGATTTGATAAAACCATAGAAAACTGAAAATATTGAATATAATTCAATACAATAACATTTATTGAACTAACACAATTTTTTTTTAGTCTTAACTATTTGCAAGTCCCAAATTTGCATACTTAAATCAATGTATGGTTATTTTAGTAATATTGTGAAGTTAAATAATTGATCATGAACAAAGACCCTGTTCCGAAAATGTCAACATCGAAGACCGTTAAAATACACAAATCAGAAGGTAGTGATTCTGTATTAAAATCAATATTATTTAACCAAGTTTGTGATTGAATGAACTATGATTTTAATTTAGTATACCTTACATAATTTACATCTATGATTATCTATTACCATAAGTAATACTTACCAAAGTATTTTGTCTAGAATTGTATTATATTCAATTTAAGTGAAAGACTTTATTGTGATCTATCTCTATTCGTTTTAATTTTTCCTTGTCTTAATTTGATTTAAATTTCTTTGATACATTTTAATAATAATATAAATACTCAAGTCTAAATTACTTATAGTTTAACCTTCTACATATTAATTAGGTATTATCATTGATAAAGGAAATATATTGCTAATTTATAACTACATTATAATTCAAATCTTTTTATTAGATTCTAAAACAATTACGGATGTTGAAATTATTAGATGTCTGTTGTATTGTTTTCAAGGAGTTAATAGTCAATGGATAGTGTTTAATGAAATTCAAAAACAGTTTGTAGTCACGGCAAAAGTAAATTTTGATTTTACTCATGCAAATATTTTTTTTTTCTTTTAAACTAACTTTTTTTTTAATTTGCAGTTAGACTTTTACCAAACACAAAAAGTGAATCGTTTAATGGAACTTGGATATTTGCATAATATAATTCAAGAATTTATTGAAAGTAATGATAATAACAAAAATGGATCAATTTCTTCAGGGATCTCTTATTGCTTTCGTGAAGAGATTTGTGTATATTATGACAGTATAAATAAACTACAAAAAGAAGTTAATAATTATACATCACTCTACTAAGAATCAAATACTTTGATATTTAACATGCTATTCATTTTAAATATTTTTACTTATATTATTAATTTAGGTCAATGAAGCATATGAGAACAATAAACAATATTCACTTGGAAACTTATTGTGTTGGTCAGTTCTTTGGCTTGGTCAATTACAGGATTTAAGCTATGCAGTAAAAATGTTTGATGGTACTAGGCGTGGAGGGGAATTAGTTTCTATAATTGTGCCATTCGCATACTGTGCTAATCCTTATTTACAACAAATGGCCAGAAATATTATAAAAGTTGTAAGTGATAATAATCAAATGTAATTCATGGTAATCATTATATTTAATATTTCGTTTTCTTGAATATGTGTAGTCTACTAGACCTATTATGACAATGATTTGTAACTGGATGATTGATGGGGAATTAGTTGATAATTACGATGAATTTTTTATATATCAATGTCCAGATATTAATAATCTTGATATGTGGAACAATAGATATACAATTAGGTATAAATCATCTTGTTGTTTATTACCAAATATATTTTTGCTGTTAAATTATTTAAGCTTCATACTTTTAGAGAATCAATGATTCCTACATTTTTTACCAAAGAAGACGTTAATAGAATTTTCCGTACTGGAAGGTATATAAATTTTCTACATACCATTTGTAAGAGTAAACCTGATTTAACACAATCTAGAAAAGTTTTAAAGGATTTCAGAAATTCTGGAAGTATGTATATTATACATAACAATATACTTAAATATTGTAGAGTACCATAATTTATAAAGTTTTTATCTTTTAATTTTATTGAATTTAGATAAAGATTTATTCCCAATGTTGGAGAAAGGTAGCATTATTTCCGATTTGATTAATGAGGCCTGTACAGAGTCATCAACTGTAGTATTAGATATTTTAAAGGATAAGTTTAAATTATTTTTACATTTTGAAGGTCTTAGACGATATATGCTACTAGGACAAGGGGACTTTGTAACAAGTTTGTTAGAAATACTTCAGTAAGTAAAAATTCATTAATAATTAAGTATATGCATTTTAAATACATAATTTTGTGTATTAATGTACTAAAGGCCTCATTTGGATAAGCCATCAGGTACACTTGGACCACACATATTTCGACAATTTTTAGATACTGCTGTAAGGTCAAGTAATGCTCAATTTGATGAACAAATTATTTTAGAAACACTCAATGTAAAACTGTTACTTACATCAGGAGAAGATTGTGGTTGGGACATTTTCCAACTGGATTATTCAACTGGTGGTCCTTTGGAAACAGTATGTACAAAATTAGAAAAAGAATCAAACCATTCTTAAATGAAAATATTAAGAACCCTGCATTTCTAGACATTTTGACCAACAAAGTATTTTTCTTATTGTGAAATCACATAACTAATCAACTAATTAACTTTTATTAGTTTTTTTTTTTACAGTATTTGTTTACAAAAATAATTAAATGACTAATATAATATGTTTGTAATATTTTTAACTAAAGGATTTTTTGTTTTTAGATTTTTGAGTTTGATCGAAATGGAAGATACTCAATTATGTTTGTATTTTTATGGCGTTTGAAAAGAATAGATTTTGTTTTGTCACAGATGTGGAGAGAACTAAATCTTTTAATAAAAACTTCATATTATATAGTTCCAGGTAAAATAAAATCATAAAAATGTAAATTTTTAAAACAGCTAATTATAAAAGAGGCAATTACTTTTGTATATTTAATTAAATTCTTGATAATTTTTAGAAATACGGAGTGTCTCAAAATCTACAAACAATTTAGTTGCCCAAATGGTTCACACCATACGTCAAATTCAATTTTATGTTTTGTTTGATGTCATTGAAACTGAGTGGCAACATTTCAAACAAGCTTTTAATAAAGCAACACTATTGGAAACGGTTATCGATGCTCATAATCAGTTCCTGAAAAATATATTTAAGCGATCAGTACAAACTGAGGAAACTCATGTAAGAAACCATTATAACTGGCACACTCAGTTTTTGCATTATTTAAAGTGTGTTCGTACTAAGAGATTCCACTAATTCAGGGGTCCTCAGCCCATGGGCTTTATTGTATTGATTGTCTTTTTCTTATCTAGTATTCTAGAAAGTGGTGTTCTCATGTACATATACATACATATATTGATCATACGTGCATAATATATAGGTGTTTTTATTTTTACCTTCATATTAGTTTAGTAGGCCTTTAAGTCTTTTTTACGAAATTGGTAGTCCGCACAACTAAAAAGGTTGGGAACCACTGCACTAAATATCTCAGTTGAATGACTTGGTATTAAAATGGAATTTTTGGAAAATGATAGAGAGTACTGAAATACACATTTTAAGACAAATTTCAAATTTGTTATCCTTTCAGTACATACACATGCAATACAACTTACTTTTTTCTTGGTTTAAAATTGAAATTGTATGATGATAATTTAATATTATAGATGTATTACCTTCCTTAAAATGGGAATAACCTTTTTTAATATATCCATAGATAATAAAGATAATCAAATTTTGATGTTTTTATTTTATATTACTCCCAAGAATAAAGACTAAAAATATTTATATTTCAACTAATTTTTTTTTTCAGTAGAAACTTAAAAAAAACTTAATTTTATTATTTTTGAAAAGCCATTTTATATTTTCTTCTAAAAATGTTGAAGTATCAATTTTATTTTTCATTAAATTTGTGGCTATTAATAATTTTTTAAAGTTTGAAAAAAAAAGTATACAGTTCATAAATGAATGTGACTATACTTCCTGTTGCATAATTATAAGTACTTTTCTCTTAACTTTAAAAAATTATTAAAAATTACAAATTTACTAAAAATAATAAGTTTATTAAAGTTTTAAGGATTAAGTTTATTTATTAAATAACATTTTCAGAATAATAAACTATACAATTATTAAAAAATAATAAGTCAACTTTTTTAGTTTTTTACTAAAACGTTCATATTCAATTTTAAATATTTGTAAACCTTATCCCTGCCAATAATTTATAAAAAAAAAAAAAAAAAACAGATTTGATTTTAATTATCTTTATTATCTCAGGAAATATTACAATGGGTATATCTTCATAGGACACTTTATGTACATAATTGAAATTTTGGTATTGGCTATACAAATCTACAGTATTATAGAAATTTACCTTTAAGTCTCATTAGAATTCTGGTATTAAAACTCCTGACTCTCCATTTGATCCAACCACACTTAATCATATGTTTTACATCTTTGTGAAGCAACTATTATTTTGAAAAAAGGATCCTAGATATAGATTTTATATAATCACTTTTTCTTCTATAAGTCATTAAAAGTCACTTTTTTTAGCAAAGCCACTACAAGTTATTTTAAATTTTCTTAAAATCCTTTATAAAATAATATAATATGATGTTGATGATCTTACATATATTATTAATATATGGTTACAAAGTCTGCAATCATAATTATTATTTAAACAAAATAATAAATTAAACATTTATATGAACATTAACATTAATATTTTTGAAAAATATAATCTTTTAAATAAACAGAAAAATTGGGATTTTTTCATTCTGTAGAAAACCATATTATAATATGCTGTCTTCTTTTATATCAATTTTAAAATTTTTATCGCCTTCAAAAATTATATTTCAAACTATTGGTGACCCTGTAGATATTTAAAACTCTTAACCTTGCATATGAAAAGAGGGATAAGGGTAAAGTAGGATGTATAATTTATACTGGATGTTTCAGGATTTGTCAAAAAAAATGCGCCAATTATTTGAATCGGTGTTGGAACTCAGAGGCATTCAGGAAAGATTTCACAGCCAATCTCAGTATGAAATGAAGAGGCGTAAGGATCTTGAAATTTACATTGAAAAACATGGCACTTGTAATGAAATTGAAAACAATGATATCCATCTTAAAGAAGTTTTCTTGCTAGAAGTTAATACATATGAAAATATCATTAAAGAGATCTATTTATCATATAAGGCAAGTATTTGTTTTAGATTCTGAAGAAAGCGAAAAATGTTTTAATTTTTATATGATGTGTGGCTTTTTTTTTCTGTAAACTACTCCTATCAGAGTTTTGCTCCTATCAAAAATCAACAAGAAAGTATTTTGTAGACTTTTGGATCTAATTGGTACATTGAAAAAAAATATATAATTTTTATATGCAGTTTTCTTAATAATTTGGAAAAATGTATAGGAAAAACAAACAAATTAACATTTTTGATTTTATTGTTTTAAAATATTTTTCTTGTTTTAATTTCAAGAAGAGTATCTCATCTGAAGCATATTTTATCTAGTTAAATAGATCTAGTCAGGAGTTGGTTTTAATTTTTCTTGTAGTTTTTTTTTAATAATTCAAAAATAATTAAAGTTTATGGCCTTTCCATTATTTTTGCTTTGTTTTTTTTCTTGTTATTCAGTCAAAAATAATTGTAGAAACCTAAAACTTTCATAAGATATTTAAATTTGCAATATCTAAACATTGTAAAAATATTTTATAGGTTTTTAGGTTATTTATACCATTTTACCTTTTAAATTTATTTTAGTTTTTGTTAGGTTTTATGTGGATTTATCTCTTTAAGAGAAGAAATCAGAATACTCCCATAGTACCTCTACCTGTTGTAAATGGTGACAAATGGAAATGCACCAAGTGAGGCAACTTGTGTAAAATTCTACAGTATGAAAACTTTTAAACAAGATTTTGGCAAATTGCCCATCTTCAATGTGTACAGGGAAGACAGGTGAAACCAGGAAGATGTACCAAGGTGCATGGTGTTTACAGATGATATAGCTTTGATAGAAGAAAATCTGGAATAAGTAACAATAAGCTTAAGGAATGGAAAGTAGAATTTAAAGGCAAAATACTCAGGATAAGTAAAAGATAAATATGAGTTTGGAAGAACAGGGTAAGACAGCTAACAGCTAACGATAATAAGCAGTTATAGGTGAGATTGAGAGTTTTAAGTACCAAGGCTCTTTGCACTAAAGAACAGTTCATTTTTATGAGGATGTAAGACACAGAATAAAGTGGAAAGCTGGTAGGGTGCTTTCAGGCATGAAAGCAAGTAACTAAAATCACTAAAAGTCACTTTTTATGATGAAAGCATTCTGTTTTACTTAGTATAATTTATTAATAATTTTGTTTACAAGGTATATATGTGACAATATAATAAACAATTTTAGATTCCGAGCATGACAAGGAATTTATTGGTTATATAATGGTGTATTTTTATTTTTAATTTTTAATGGATCAAAGAGTGTATTAGTTTTACAATAATAATGTTTATTATTATATTTTTTTTCTGTAGACAACTTTTCTGCCAACAATTTTGCTCCAATTTACAATATCACTTTTTCTATAAAGAAATTTGACTGGGGTGGCACTTTAAGGACATAATTTTTTGATTTTCCAAAAAGTTTTTTCAATAAATGGAAAAATGGGTTTAATATTAAACAAATATTATGAAAAAAAATATATAATACCTATTTAATTATTTTACCACAATATGAAATATATATTGTTGACAAATCAACACTTTTAACTAAATTCCGCTCAGAATTATTTTTCGTTAGTAATGGTTAATTGTTGCTTACAGATATTCATTCAATTTTCCCCTTTATCTTCTCAACTTCTCACCTACAAATGGCTGTCATTTTTTTACTGTGTACACAAATTTTACCAGAAATCTTGTTCCAGTGTAGTAACTTTTCAGAAAGCTAATATTATCTAATTGGTACTTTAGAAAAGTCATTTTTTAATTTTTCAAGCGGTTTTTATAATAATTGTGGAAAACCTAGAAAATGGGATAAATGGACAAATATTCATAATATAATGATTTCATAGTTTTAAATTTTTGTAACTTATGTTTTTTACTAGAAATCTTTCTTGAATTAAATAATGATTAAATAATAATAATGATGGTTTTTTATTACATTTTGGATCTAGTTAATCAGAGAGAAAGTTTGTTTTTAATCTAACAAAGTAACAACCATAGTAACTAATTACTTCATAATGATTAATATAAACAATAATATTTAGTTCCTAGTATTCTTATTATAAATTATATTCAAGCATTGTGTTTTTGTTTTATTCTAGACTGATTTGGGAAAATTTTTGAAAAAACTTATTAAAGTATCATCAGATGATCAAGAAGCTTTACATTCATTGGCAAATCGTATAAATTTCAACCATTATTATAGTAAAAATGATCAAGAACTGGAAAAATGTGCTACTTACATGTGTAGATCTCATAAATAAATACGATTAAATTGTATGAACTCTACATACATTTTTTTTTTTTACATTAATGTATAAAAATAAACTTAAGTTTTTATTTAACATAAATGTTTGCTTTGTATCCTAAAATGGGGTGAATAGGATTGACTTTAGAAATTTGTTGAAGATTGTGAGTGCAGTATTGACAATATGGTATTATTTAAATTGTTTTAGAGAGCCCAGGTATAGAGAAATGTATACACATTCTAAAAAAATTTCAAATGTTCTATTTGCATGTTCCTACATTCCCAATTAGAATAATGTTTATATATATATATATATAATTTTTTTAAAGTTTAATATTATAATACTAATATTTTTAATCTATCATAGTTTTTACTAACACTACTCGTAATAATAATAGTAATGAAAACATTCTTAATAAAATTTTTTTTTTACTTAAGAAATCTTGTATTTCCTTTTTTTTTATTAAAATTATTCTTTATATCTAGATTAGTACAATTTTAAAATTTAAATGTAACTTTTTTTAAATTATAGATTGGTAGACATGGTTTCACCATTCATTAGATGTTAACTGATCCAGTGGTCTTTTCTTTGAAAACAAAATGCTTTTTAAAATGCTAACCTCAATATCACATTTTTTTATTGATTTGCTCAAGAATTTTCTTACCAAAAGTGAAAAATCGAAAAAAAAAAAAGAGAAAATATATGAATGTATTAATTCAAAAATATTACGGACTTTTTTTTTCCAGTGAAGAACTTTTCAATACAATTTTTCCGATTTACAATGATAGCAATTTTACTACAAGTAAATCTGACTGGGAAGTTAAGTACTTTAAGGACGTACATTTTTGATTTCTCAATAAATAAAATAAAGAGAAAATAGATACAATTATTACTAAAGAAAATATATAATACCTATGTTATTATTTTACCGTAATATGACATAAATATTGTTAGCTGAGCAACACTATCAATTGAACTTAGCAATGGTTTATCGTTGTGTACAGATATGCATTAAATTCCCTACTATATTTATTTTCACATTTACTGTTCTAATACAGTGTCTTATGAGTGAAATTTTGACTAGTGATCACTTATTAATCTTTTTGCTTAAACTAAATTAGCTATTTCTTATAGACTATATTTTGTTATGGCTTAGCAGACCTCCTCTATTTTAATTTTTCTAATTTGATAACTGTTTATACTTGTATAGGTAAATTTGTTTGTTTAGTTATAAATAGAGCCGGGATTTATATGCATCTGAATTTTTTTTTTCAAGAGTAAAAAATAGCTGGATAAACTACAAATTTGAACTATATGGTCAATAGATCCGAAATACAAAGTTTTATTTTGCATATTTTGTCATTTTTCCATATGTACTACATATTTCTGTATTTTACGATTTTTCATTATATTATAGTCGAATACCTAAGTGTTTCAAACCCATTTGTTTTACTATTGTTGGTTTACCCCACATATACCTATGGTTCCTAATGAATTTGTTTTCTTAATTCTTATTTTATCTAATCACTTCAAGAAAAAGATATTTTGATCGGGACTAGTTGTAATTATTTTTGTTTGCATATTTTGCATATTTTAATGATAATCAGTGTATAAATGCATGCATATTTCGTACGTTTTTAGTGCATATAATTCCAGGCCCTAATAATAAATAAATAAAATGTAAGTTAGGTATAATATTTTAGTAATAGAACAAAACTATCAAAGACAAATGTAATAGACTAAATGAGAAATAATGATTTAATGATTTTTTTAAAAAAAATTAACGATTTAAGTTACAAGTACATGATATAGCAATACTAGGTTACCTATTGTTTTATTGTTAAGGTTAAAAGACATATGTGAATTACAATAGAATAATAATAATAATACATTACTCTTCTATTTTTTTTTAAAGTATTAATTAAAACTAAAGTTATTGATCTCATATGGATTTGCCCGTGCTAGTGTTGAATTTAAAAAAAATTCAGACAAATACAAAAATGCCAGACATTATCCTGTCCAAATTTCAATAGGTATTTTAGCGTTCCTGCAATCTCAAAAGAAAATTCTTGGAAACTTTAATTCTATTAATTTATTTTAGTGCTAGTTGATGCACAATATTTTTTGTTTTACCATACATGAATAAATCTGAAGGTTTTCAGGCGTGATAGCTGGCCACACACAATTGCCTATGTGAGAAGCACAAATCTACACACATCTATAACAATTTTCCTTGTGCTCTATTGAATGTCATTGCAAAAGTGAGTCACACTGGAAACTGTAAACCTTTAGAATTAAATAGCATATCTGTTGGGATCATTGGAATACATGGCAACAGTACATCTTCCCCTTTAAATTTTCCATTGAAAATTTAATATAATATGCATTTTCAAGCTCTTTAAACACAATTTAAATTAATAATAAAATATAAAGTATATAATTTGAAAAAATTAAAAACCAATTTTTATCATACTGTAAAGCTTATATTGTAAATTAATATGTAATATTAAAAAAATAATAAATACGAATAACAACCAGAAAAAAAATACTAATAAAAATTAAACACTAGAGATAAAAATGATAAAAATGTTGTGGTGCATATTTTGGTGTTTTTTTAAAACTAAAAATGCATACATATTGCACTTATTTTAAATCCGAACCCTATTTGTATTTACATTGAAAGTCTTGTACCATTGCAAAGATTTGGTTAATTGATGTTTCAGAGAAAAATTATAGTCACTCCAATTTTCAATGTTAAAATGTGCTGTGGTATATCTGGCAAATAACCAAATGAATTCAAGAATTCAGTTGGGTAATTGACCACCTATTCATGATTCATTACAGTATCAATGGATTTACTTATAGGCTATCATTTTGCCTGGTATTCTGTTTTAAATATTAAAACTGATGGCATTGATATTGTTGTTTGAAGCTGCTAATATAGCAAGTGCACTCAGCCACAGATGATTTTTGTGATTTCTCCCAATATCTGGAAAAACTTTTTGAACTAATTTGTCTTTGGCTGATGCCATGTTACAAAAGTTTGTTAGCAATGTGATACATTGTGTAGATATGTCAAATGCCATCTTCCCATTCCTAATATCCAGTAATTATTTTGCATTATTTTCGTAGTTGCATAATTGTAAAGTTGAACATGCATATTGATTTTTAAAGTCAATTTCTTTACATATCACCATAAAATTGATGATTTGAAACTTGCATTAAGTTCATTAGTGGATGTTGAACGTGGTGTAACTAGAAGAATTTGTCAAAATTCACCAGACAATAAAATAAGTGCTCCACATAAAGGTTATCCTGTCCCCTCAAATAGTATATGGTATGATCAAGCACTTCCAGTACTTTTTTGTGAAACATTGTGCATTTGTCCAATATAGTTCACATATGTTTAGAGAACTTTGCTCATTCCAGAATTTTTAGTAACATTGCTTGTTGGCTTTTCAGTGATTTGCAAATTCAACGGCAATTTTAATGCTGAATGTGTTAAATTGGTCAGATATCGACTAATTAATTTAAATTTAAAAGACATGTAAATATTGAAGTAGATATGCGAAACCTTTGAAGGAGTATACTCAACAAAAGAAGATAGCTATTTATTTTACCTGGAAAGGCATAAAAGTAAAAAGTAAAAATATCAGTAAGTACATACAATATTTAAACAAACATATATACATACCCAAGATAATCAATAAACTAACAATAAAAATTTGATTTTCATATCAAAAACTACTTAAAAACCAAATGTTGAAGAATGGATTTCAATAGCTAAAAACAGACAGTAAAAACATTTTGAAAAAAACTATAGTAAAATTGTTTCAGTAGTTTTTAAGTCTATAAAGAACACATATAAATACATACAATTTTTTATATATATATATATATACAGATTTATAAATTTAACAAACTGGTATGGTTAATATTAGTAGAGGCCACATTTATTATCTTGCATTGGACCTTAAAATGACTAAATTAGGTACTGGCCTAAAATGTGTGTTTCAGTCTTTCAATGAGAGTTGTGGATTTTCTGGTATTCACACATTGATGTTAAGTAATATGCAATTATTACTATAATTCTTATTGGCATCCAACAAATTCAACAGTATAACTGAATGTGTTTCCTATAGTACCTATAGTGAATCAATTGTCTATTATAATATTTGCATTTAAAACATAAAGGTACATTATATAATTTCTTACTTGTTAATTATCAATGAAAACAAAATTCAGAATCCTGAGATCTGAATGAATGTTCCTATGTACATTTATAAGTATACCTATGTACATAAAATATATTGATATGGTGTTCCAAAGCTCCTTAATTTGGCATTAAATAGGTACCTATATAAAACTATATGCATATAGTTTACCTAAAATAATATAATATAGCTATTAATAATTATTGCATATTAATTAAATATCATATTTTGGAAATTAATAAACATCAATATTAATAGGTATGTGTACTTTTTTTTTATTTATCGGGAAGAAAGGATAAAGTAGCGTTAAAAATTATAGATAGATTACATAATAATGTGCCTATATCTCAGTAAAAAAAAAAATATTTTTGTCTACTTGGTTCATATTTTTAAGATACAGATATATTATATAGTATTGAGAGATTCATTATTCAGCCATGTGTTAATTTTACTCAACAAATAACAATTTTATTCTCAGAGAATTCTTTTATTATTATTTATAATCTGAATAGTTAATTATAACAATAAGTTAAGTCAATTTTTAAAACTTATACTGGGCTATAAGAAATTATAAGTTTCTATTATAACTTGTAATTAACTAGTATACCTGCTAAGTAAATGCATTAACTCATTATTTAATTATTTATAAATTATGTTTTTCTATGTTAACATGCCAGAAAAAGAAATAGTATGCAATACATTATTAAATCTACAAAATGATCCACTAATATATTGTAAATAGAAAATTAAATCTATAAAAAAAAAACAGAAATATAACTTAGAAAAGGTTACACACATATATATATATATATGTATGCAATTAATATAAGTTATATATTAATAGGTACTGATTAATTAAACATAGGACTATTAAAATATAATATGTGCCTACTTATTTAATAGATAAATAATTTTACTTTTCTTCTTCTCCCTTCCCTATTTTCAACAACACTTAAGTCTGCTTAAATCATGTAACTGACCATCACCATTTCTTTCATGCACACCCCAACTATCTCCACATAACTTTTAAACATATATATCCTAATCATATTCTCTCTTACCATCCTCCTCCTCCTAATCCACATTTATGTATAACAGCACTGTTACTATTTTTCTACTTTTTTAAATAAGCTTATTTGTATTAATGTACAAATAAATTTTAAGTGATATTTGTGCAACTACTATAATATAACTAAATTTCTAAATTCAAAATATACAAGCTGAAGTACAACTATTTATAATACAACTAAATTTCTAAATTCAAAATATACAAGCTGAAGTGCAACCAAAATTTATTCAAGCGTGGGGGTCCACCTATATAATCATGAAAATATCTTCAACACATTAAATTCAAAATTAAATACATAATTTGTATATATAGGTTTTTAAATATATGGCAAGAACAAGGGGGTCTAGCTAAGGGATCTCCCCATCTGGTTGTCTTTTGTACTTAGATCTATAAAATAAGCAATTCAAATCTTAACTACTTAAAAATTATTTCACAATTCACTGTGTATACATTATATAAGCTTATTGATAATTGAAATAATTATGTTAAAATTAGATTTCTTAGGACAGTTTTAGCCTCATTATATAAATTTGGTAATTGTAGGCAAGTTACATTTTCTAATTGTTTTCGCAAAATATAAATTAATAATTGAATATAATCTTAAAATAAAATCTAATACAAATGAATTTAAAAATGCACCAGCAATTCTCACTTTTAAAAAAATACTTAGCAAAGCTAACCTAAACTAATGTTTTACAGAAATAATTGTAAGTATACCCAGTCATTATATACCCAAGGACATGTTTGAGATTTGAGATTATTACATTCCATAACCTAATACTCAAATAAGTGTTGCTTATAAAGTCTACTGTTATACAAAATGGATAGTAAGAATATCTACACACCTAAATTTGAATAACAAAATTTAAATGTCATGTATTCTAATATTTTAAAATTAATAATCGCACTTCATTTGAATACATAAATATATGTTCATTAAATTGTCAACTATAACAATTCATTTTAGGATAATAGTATAGTTTAATACATTATATAATACTTGACATAATAAAATATTTCAGCTTTATAATAATTATTTTTAAGTTATATTTTTTAAAATGGGCAACATTTTAATTATACACAAATGCTGGGGTATAAGACAAAAGGCAAGAGAAATTAAAAAATGTCTTAATTTTAAATTACAACATAGTTATTAAGTACATATTTATGAAGAGATACACTTTTTTAAGGTACAATTGAAAGATAAATACTAATCTAGTTTTAACTTTTTTTTTTTTAATATATATAAAAAGTAATAAGGATTACAAAAATCATTTTAATTGAATATATTTACAAAAACTCACACTCACTCACAATTTTTTTTTTAAATTTATATACCTAAATTGGTAATTGTATATTTAAGTCAATATCAAAATCATGCACAGCATAAAGGTCATTTGCTTTCATTGTACTTTTTTGAGAATCACCAACAACCTAAAATATTTTTGAATACAAATTGATTATAATTCAAATGGGTATGTATAATTAAATTAAATTATGGCCAACCTTAGAATCATTGGATTCAACATCAGTTTTAGAATCATCTATATCTGTAATCTCAGAACCTTCATTACCAGAACTTGGCTTAGCTCTAAATTTCATACATGGTTTAGTACTTCGCCGAGTGAATGGATCATCTATTTTTTTTCCCTTATTAGCTTTTAGTTCTTCCTATAAATAAAATATATTTATAATTTTAACATTAAGTAAATTACATAAGCAATTACCAAAATGGCTTTTTCTGCTTGTTCAACATTTCGTTTGCGATTTCTATCATTTATATAAGAAATACTAGAAATTGTACTAGTTCTCATTTTGTCCAAGTGATTAGCTCTTTCTTCTAATTCTGATAGCTGCTGTTCAATTTTTGAAACTTCTTCTACTTTCCCCCTAAAATTAATTATTTGTACAATATTATATAACTATTACTAAAGTAGACTCACAAAGCTTGTGCATCATCTCTTTCCTTTATGAGTGAAGTTTTTTTCATTGCATAATTGTGAGGGTTTGTTTTGAATCGCTCTTTCTCACGAACAATCTAAAAATATATTTTAATTATTTGTTTTTGCCATTTAATAAAATGCAAAGGTAACCTTTTCAACATCTTCATCTTTGAATTGGTATGCTAACGCTGCTTTAATATCCCTAATTTTAATATTAAGTTCTTCTATGGTAGGTAATAATATTCGATTTGAATGACAAATATCTTTCCATTTAATGAATTCACTCTCTGTAAACTCTTGATTACTAATAAACTCCAAACGAAATACTTTTTCATTGTTACCATGTCTAAAATACAAAATGTTTAAATGTATGAATATGTAGGTATTAATTGCATACATTATATATATATACCTAAGTCGTAAGCCTTTATTTGTTCGAGTACTTCCTAATTGATATACTTTTGCTGTTTCACAAACATCACAAATTTCAGCCACCTAAATAATAAGTTATTGGTTAATTTAATACTGTAATCCGGGCTGGAAAACATTTTTTTTTCTTTTTGTTTATTAATGTAAAAAATATAGTTTTTATTAAATAAAAACCAAAATTGTTATTATTATATTAATATCATTGTATCGTGGCATAGTTTATTTCCATTTAATTTTTAATATTTTTAATTATTTTACTCATTTTTTGTTTCTTTATTATTATTATTATTATTATTATTATTATTTTAATTTTCGAAAACCTTGGTAAAACCTTTCTGGACAAAAATCAAAACATTTCAATGTTTCCCAGCCTTGGTTTTAATGAATAAAACAAAAATCATACTCGATAAACAGGGACTCCATTAAAATTTCCAATTCCTATTCTAACGAAACATCCCATAACAGTTTTCTTGAATGTTGGTAAATGCACAAATCTAAAATCGCATGAAGAAATTAATGAAGAAAATGTTACCTTTTAACAATTTGTTTTATAAATTACTTTTCCATCTTAAACCTGGACAATCTGATTTTATTCAACTCGTCTCTTTTGGTAATATAATGCATTTTGTTCTCACTAAACATTTTATAAGGGCATATATATTTATCGAGTAAATTTAGTTTATTATGGATCACTTTATCTTACTTAAAAAGTGTATCTGAATCAGAATCTGAAGAGTTAAGGCGCTTTTTTGAAGGACGATCATTGCTTGAAGCAGAATCACTTGAGGAATTACTGTCATCAGAGTATATATCTGAAGCTTTTAATTTTGTCTGATTTTGATCTGATTCGTCATCAGATTCATCATCTAATTTTTTTTCTAAATCTTTTTTCTTCTCTTTTTCTTTTTCTTCCTCTGAAACATAAATATTATTATTATTATAATTAGATAGATTAAATATTTATTTTTAAAAACCATATATTATAATAAGTACTAAAGTTTATTATACCTCTTTCACGTTTTTCATCCCGCCTTGCTTTAAGTAATGTCATTGCTGTCTTTTTGTCATCTTTAAATTTGTTTTTTTCAATATTTTTCTTCCGTTCTTTTACACGATCTTTTAAATCTAGAGGTATAGAGTTTGTTGGTGATTCACTTTTGTTGTTTACAGCCAAGTTTTTTTCTAATGATTTTTGTTCTTTCATTTCTTTTTTCCTGGCTCGTTTAAGCTTTTTTTCAATTTCAAATCTAAAAAAAAATTAAATATAATATCTGGTTAAAAAAAAATAATAATTTTCTTTTACCTGGTTTTCATAGTTTCTCGTGCTTCAATACGTTTAAATATTTCAGTTTCACGTTCCTTTTCTGTCATTTTAGCTAGACGTTCTTTATCTTCATCATCGCCCATTAACTGCTCATCAAATCCATCATTAAATTCTTCATCAGTATCAGAAGATTCACTTTCTATAAAAAACGAAAAGGAAATAAGTAAATAAATATCAGATAGAGAACATAAATAGTGCCATCTCAAATTAGAAATTAGTAAATAGTAAATAGTAAATTAAGTAATAATATTCAAATACACTCACCTGAAATACTTTTTTCTTTAGTTTTACTTCTAGAATCAGAGTCGGAACTATCACTACTATCTGTCGAATCATCAGACACACTCAATTTTTTACTAGGCTGTTTAATATTTTGATTTTTCTTTGATTTGTCATCAGCTATTTCACCTTCAGACAGTGATGAAGAGTCAGAATTATAGGAATTATTTTTGGATGTTTTTGACTTTTTCCTATAATGACGATTGGACGGTGGAGATGTTTTGGATCTCTTTTTTTTTTTACCCATACTGATATCCTGTTGACAGAAAATTGACATATGACTGGCAAACTAATCGTTAGCTACCTATTAAATAATGTCATTGATTATAATGAATAGTAATAATTACATCGTCACTGCTGAATTCAGACGACTCGTCAGAACTGATGGTCTTCCTGTGTTTTCCCATTTTACACTCGTTTTATTGAGAACAAAGATTTTATAAAAATTTACAAACAAACATTAAACAATGCTCAACCGTCAGTGAGTAAGAAACCGAGTACCAGAGAACAGCGATGAGCACAATAGAATGCACAAACAAATTACGACTTGCGAGTTGGAAATTTACGAGAATGTACGTTACCACTACCTTGACAAAATAATAATCATAATCAGCGCAGCCTCGACGCTGTCCGTTATGATTATGCTAAGGTTTCCAGACGAGCCAATAACACATTTACTCCCGATTTTTGTGCGTCGGCACTGCAATCGTACTGATTACTTTTTTTGGAGTTTATTTATCTTATCACCTGGAGAGAAGTTACAATTGCTCCGGGTAAATTTGTTATCCGTCCAATCACAAACCACAGAGTATAATATATAAATGTAATGCACAAAGTAATATCTAAGTACATGATCTCAAGGTGTTATCTATACACATTTAAATCGTATATTTACCATTGATAATACAATTCCTAAAAAATATTTTCTTTTATTATTTAGATAGGTACACGATAACACTCTTGGTTAATATAACAATATACTATGTGTTAATAGGTAGTAATAGGTACTCATTTAAAAACTTGATAGATGATATTTTTTTGTTAGACCTTGTTCTAAAACTCAACGTTGCCAATCAAATTTCCATCGGATCCAACATTAAATTATATCGATTGTTTTGATTGTTATTTCTTATGTATATGATAGTCTCTATATCATTATCATATTTGATAACAAAAGAACAATTTTACAATATTAAATTATCATGTTTCATTATTGAACACAATGTAGATACTTGATTATGCAACAACTATTCAACAGATCCATCGTTTGGTTGAATTTTAGTAGGTTTAATTTATATCTGTAAGCACCGATAAACCGCACAGTAAATTATTTGTTGATTAAATTTTAAATAGTAATAATATAGAATAGGAGACCCAGTTAGTGATAATTTAGAAGTAATTAAAGGAGGGGTCAACATAAGCAAGACGCATAAGTGGGGAAATAGAGGAGTTTAATAAATAATTGGATAAATAAAAAGGAGTATAAAAGAGAGGAATGATTCTAGTATGTCGAGAGGGAGAAGGTACTAAACAATTATTTATTTATAAAGGTAAAAACTTTTGTACAATCTATAGTTAGGGGAGGAGAGGTACCTGCGCCTCCTTTCTGGGTCCGCCACTAGACATTAAATGTGGGCAGTATGTTAATACAGTGTCCTACAGTGGTGTCCTTATTTTTATTTTTATTTTTTTTTAATCGGGTTTTGTGCGAAGATATCACATATGGAGAGAAAAATTAAATTTGTATTTCTATCCCTTAATTATTGAAAAAAAATTAACATAATAATAAAAAAATAGTATTTTGTCAAAAATATTATTCAAAAAATTATAATGTAACACATTCATATCCAATCAATAGTTTCTTAGTAATAGCTGTTTCAATTTCTAGAAAATTGGTATGAAAACAATTAATTTTCAATAGAATAACACGTTACGTGATAAGGAATCACAATCAGCACAGTAATTCTTTATCTTCTATTGAATATTAATTGTTTTTGGTCTTTTTACACTTAGGTATTTTCTATACAATTAAGCCACTATAACTAGAGTTATAATATAAGATTACATATTATAGAGTCTTACTATACCTAGAACCCATTAATCGAATATGAATGGTATAATACAATCAAAAATAATATTATATTTTACAAAATGGCTATTTTTTGAATTGTAAAAAATAGAAAATAAGTTTTTATAAAAAATATAATTTTTCTCTCCATATTATGTATCCCCCCCCACGAACAAAACCCGATTAAAAAAATTAATATTGACGAGTAATAACTTAGCGTAAGGATAACACTAAAACATTCTGTATGTGATCGAGCCGGGTTTCCGAAAACGTTGCTATTTACCCATACATACCAAATCATTAAACTAATGGATGTGGCATTGGAGATTTGGAGATTGGACATTAGGACCCATATTTTAAGCTAACATAAATGATACGATTGTTAACCGCTAGATAAGCGTGAAGGTAGAAGTTAGGAAATAATAAATCAATATAATATCACTACATCTCTCTTGCATAGTTATCACTTTCTTTGTCATTGATGCACGTACAGAAAGAGAAAACGATAGTTTCCCTCTCCGTTTACAGCAAAACGCATGTATGTGTGTTATATGATAGCCGCATCCATATGTTTAATATCTATAAATTCACCAAAAACCATAGAATATTCTACTGCCGAGTGCCGGCGTGACGCATATTCACGTTTTTTATATTTACCATATAAAATGTTGTTCGCTGATTGACCAGTTTATGTTTACAACCATCATATACCAGTAGTTACCATACAGTTACAATATTTATAATTCGATTGATCGGTAGTAACAGTGGTTACTTAATAATTAATACTTATATTGCTTTGTATCATATAAGTGTTCATAGCTAATATAATATTATCTATGTAAGAATTAGAGTATTTTAAATTATCACTTTTTTGTACTTTTTTAATAGTATAATATTATTATTATTTTAAAGTTATATACATTAGTTATTAGTATTTAGCATTTCTAGTATATTATTTATGTTGAAGCTACATTTACTTAAGCTGAGAAGAAATTGAATGCACCCAAATAATCACCACGCTACGCCTATAAACTTCCATATTTAAACTCTGCAAAAGATCTTTTATTAGAGCGACATTGTAAAAAAAAAAAAAAAAATGTTTATGTTAATAGTTTGAATTACAATGATATAACCTAATATTTATATTGGCTAAATAATAATATAAGTATTTTTCAGAAATACTATCAATATTAAACATATAATTAGTTATTAGACTACACAGAAATTCCTGAATCCACAAAAAACACTAACAATGTATGTAATACGTCCATAGTGGAATAGAGCCTTAATCCATACACACAAGGTAAATCTTCTCTATAGGAAATAAATCTTGTAACCGTACACTATAGAGTAATACCGCACACAAACTACAGCAGACTGTTACTTCAATAACTTGTAGATAGATGACAAACTTCAATGATAAGAATAACATTTATAATATAGCAAAGTACTTTAATACTTTTTAGTTATTAGTTATAAGAGTACAAACTATACATTTTAATAAAAATAAATAGTAATTTTTTTACCAGAACATCGAACTATAATATTAATTTGACATTTGTTTATTTCAACTGTATATTATTAATAATATAATAAATAAACTAATTCATATGTACAATTTTTATCTTAAGTAATATTTTAAACTATCAAACACGTATAGTAAAAATTATTTAACAAAATGAATGTTCAAAAAGCAATACCAAGGATAACAAAAAATTATAATTTTGATATTAGATTAATTCTTTTCTTTATTAGACATTATTAAATTATATCACTTTTATCATTGTATAGACCTTGTTCAAAAATTTGTTGAATTGATGAAATTAAAAGTTGTGCAGTGTCTAATCTATTTTTGTATAAATGTTCATGTTCTGAAAGTAATAAACAATGCTTTACTAATGATTTAAAGTATCTGATTTCTTCCCGTTCCTTTTTTGAAGTTTTGCGATATATTAATTCATGTAATAAACAACCATCAGCACTAAAAAATTCCTAAACAAGTAAATTATATAAATAATAAATAAAAGTAGGTGTTTATAATAATTGCAGGGACAGAAGTAGTCAATGGTTTGAAAATAAGTGAGAAAAGTGACTAAAATGTGACTAAAGAGAGACTTTCATACAAAAATAAGTGACTTACATCAGTGGCAGGATTTTTTTTCAGGAGGAGTTTTGTTTATAATAATTTCCAAGAGAGCACAGCACTTATTATCGGTGCAGTACTTAATACCTATTGGTAGTACTACTACTAGTACCTAGTTACTATTATTACTGAATAAATTATTTTTGATGAAATTAAGTTTTATTTTATTCTGTGATATGCGATATTATGTTGTTGAATGAAATATTTGATTTAAAAAATGTAGTGATGTAGTGAAGAAAGACATTTCAGAAGGGTTAAGATTTCCTAACCCCCCCCCCTATGTGTGCGCAACTGGCTTACATTAACAAAAAATATACTTATTTAGCATCATTAGTAGTAGTTACTAATAGTAGATAATAATTATAATATTATGATAGATTAGGATTAGTATAATGGTATGATAAGTTAACAACCAGGCTTTATTAAAGATAATAAAATATTAAAGTAAAAAATAAAATGATTAAAATGGTCAATACTCATAAATAAATATGTGAATATATAAATAAATAAATAAACTATGATATATGTATTATACGGTTTTCGAATTAAAAATTCATCATCAAGTATATCACAGAGTCAAAATGTAAACCGTGACTCACATTTTATACATAAATTATATTATGATACTTATTATTATACATTATATAATACTCTATATATAATTTTTTTTTTATATATTTATTAAAGAATTCAATGATAATTTAAAGATAAATTATCATTATAACTAAAACAATTGTTTAAAAATATGCCAGTCTTTGTTAGTATTAGTTTAAACTTATATAAGACTTTGAATTTTTTTATCATCACAGCAAAATATAACAATATAGGATACCAAGATCTCCTCACAGATATCAATATAATAATTAATTTTTTAAAAAATTGTATGAGAATACTTAATAAATGACTTTAAGTGACTAACTTCCATCCCTCCAATTTTGTTAAAGTAGATTATTTTATAAAATAGTTTTTATTTGTTGACACTGGTATTAATAATGTTATATTTTTTACCACAAATATTTAGGTTTATACACATTCATTTTCTTTAAAAATGTTATATTTTTAAACTTTATACTAACTTTACAAACAGCAAAAACATTGTGGTCACTTGAACTTGCTTTGCATATTTCTTCTTCAGAAAAAGTTAAGCATCCCGATCCACAATCAATGTTTTCACTTACATGTATCACAACTTGTAACAGACAAATTACAAATTAATATAGATAAGTAATTACCTAATTCAAAATAATTTATTATGCATTAAAATACCAATTGAATGTAATATTGAATTTATTTGTAAAATATACCTACTTACAATTATCTTTGGTCTTCATGGGATCATTGTTAACAATAATTACGTCACCCCAGTCAATAACTTTAAGTGATAGAAATGATCTTGAGGTAGGATCTATTTGAATGGCTATGTTATCCGCTGTTAAATCAGTGAGGTAAAATGAATAATTAGAATGTGCTGTACCATCTGTTAGCTCCAATGCTAAATTGAGTAACTCTTTGGCTACAAGTAGTCTATTAGATAAATTCATCTCTTTGAGGTGATACTGTAAAGTATAACCACAGTTTTCAACAAAATAAACTCGACCACAAGTCATATATAAATGTGGTATGTATTTGTATCCATTCAGTATCTAACAACATATAACAAGTGTAATGAATGTTTGGAATTTTGTATCTGTAATAAATGTTTAATAATTTACTTGCTTTCATAACTAATAATTCTACACTCAGATGTGCCGCAGTCCATGTTTCAATCCGTGATTGATAATTACTGTTGTTATTAACTGAATTAAAGAATCTATGTAGTAATGAATGTGATTGTTTTTCATCTTTTGAACATAGTATTAATCTTCGAACTTCTTCTGTATATGGCAATAAATGCCATTGATTGGTATTAACAATTGTATCAATTAATGATATGTTAACCAATTGTTCAAATATTTCAAAATAATGATGAGATGGGCTTTTAGCAACAGTATCTATAACAGTCCCATTTTCTAATTTTAAAGTGCCGAAAAATATGTTTTCATTTGGTTGGACGGACCAGAAATTAAACAAAGTCTTTATCATTAAGATGAATGTAGATAAATAATCAGTTTGTAGACGCATATTTGCATGCCTTTTGTAATCTAACCGGAAATCAAGCATATAACAAGAAGTATCAAGTCCTAGACATAATGATAATGTACACAATGAATGATTTATATTATGCTCAAACCTATGAAGTAATTTTTTTTCGGCATTTTTATGATAAGATACAAACTTTATTGCAATGAATAACGCCACAATAGAAATGACTAATAGATGTCTTGAAATCATTTATGATAATTTCTTTTAATGAGAACTAGTTTATTATAATAATAAAAAAACATACCCATAAAATTAAAATAATATATACCTATATATATATATATATATATAAAAAAATTAAAAATATGTAAATAATTTTCAATCACGATAAAAATGTAAGTGATAATATATTCAATATTAATCAAAGTGGATTAATCCACCTTAATATAAACATTAAACAATACACATTTATTTATATATAATGAAAATTTTAACTTTTAGAAAAAAAACAAGTTTTATAATCTTATCAGACAAGAGATAAGAAATTTGCATTTTTTTTTTTTTTTTTTTTGTGAAAATCGAAACATCCCTACTTTCCCCAGGTGGATAGTGGATAGCTATTTGCTATTTGGCCAACTACATATACAGATATTAGCAATATACATAAAGTTGACGTTTTTAACATAGATGAATATAGTTACAACGATGAGTAATTACATTATAAGATACAACATAAGTATACGTAGCACGGTTTTACAGTGATAGTTGATAATAATAATAACACTAACATTAGTAATACTTAAGGCGGTCTGCACACGAAGCAATTCCTAGATGACGTAACGGAAAGACAAACGACGCTACTCCCAAGCGACGCGTATTTTACCGCACGACTTGCAAGGAAGGTCGTCCGTCGCCTGCGTCTCCCGGCTTAGAAGTATTTTCGAGTGTTTGAATCAAACAACTATGAATATGGCCGAACACGCTTTTAATATTAAGTTCAGAACTTTTATTTCTCCCGTCGGTGGCGATCTTTCGCGCGGAAGTCAAAGGAGCGGCATGTTACGCGGCAGCCAACAGTACGAATGCGAGTGTTTATATTCTGCTCTCTCACTTCTCAGTTATATTATTAATATAGTAATAATACATTAATGTAGCATTTAAACAAAAATAAATAAACAGTAAGTGTATGCATAATATACATACATTGTATATATATATATATATATATACTTACAAAGTCTATTAAAATGAATATATGTCATCCACCATCTTCTCTGGCGACGACGGCGTTTATTTTTGGAAATAAGTCGTACTTTGTGGTAAAAAAAATTTTTTGAGCAGAGACTAACTGGCTTATTACTTTTAAATATTCATCAAAATGAAAACAATAGTATAGAAAATATTGTTGATCTAACCGCTTGCAAAACGCTGTTTATAATAAAAGTATTTTGGACTTGGTCATCTGACTTTCATTAATTATTGTTATTATTTTTGTTATTCATATTATCATTATTTTAATTATTATTTATTTCATGTGAAAAAAATTAATTTTAACTTTTTATTTTATTTTATTCTACTATTTTATTGCATGTTTACAATATATCTGCAGTCTTTAAGATTAATAGAAGTTAAAATTGACATCTGACATGAAGGTTTTATGTTTTTGTTAACCAAAGCGGTAGTATTCAAGAGTAAAAATTATTCACCCCCCCTCCATTGAATTGACCCGAAGACGCCCCTGAGTAATACTATTAATTGAGCTCTGCTCAGAATGGTTTTTTGTTGGCAATGCTTAAATTTGCAATAAATTCTTGCTAAATTGCTTAAATTCTCAATATCCTACCTTCTGAACTTCTCATCTATAATGGTGGACCACACATCGTGCGAAATATGTCAGTTTTTTTTTCTTATCAGTCATTAATATTAAATTTAATTATTTCATTCCCCCCATGTCATGATCTGAAGATGCTTCTGATGTATTCAGTGACGAGTCGGTGGCGGCAAGATAGCCGGGTAAGGTTTGTTTAGATTTACTCGTTTTTAAGTATCATAGGTATTTATACTTATTCAATTTTTAATAATTATTATAATTATATTATTTACATCTGTAAACAACTTTTTTACCTAAAAAATATGCTTCAGATTTCAAGTGTAGCATTTATTCAAAAAGGACATTTTGTCTAGTTGGTGCAATAATAAGTCGATTTTAGATTTTCCTGGTTGTATTCTTATTGGGGAAAAACCAGAAAAAAGGGCGCTAGCTGGGCTATAGCCTCTCCCTTTCAATCCGGCTCTGTCTATATCTAATTATCTGAGAGTAGTAGAGTTCCAACACTATAGTTAAATTCCCTGCCTCCCAATTTTGTGTTATAGAAATATCTTTTGTAAAACAATAAATAACCGAGTAGGTACTCGTATACTATTACTCTATGTACTATACCACAGTATTATAATGGACGAACACATTTTCGTCTGAACACGGCTTAGAGCATCGGTCACCAAACTTTTGGACCTCGCGGACCACTAAATCCATACTCTAAATTCTACGGAACACTTATATTTTTATAGTGTTTACAATTTATATTATAAGTTTCATATCCTTATCCAGAAATAATAGCTTTTTACATAACTACAGTTTCACCAACATCTTATACTAAATTTAATGCTCACATGCCAGTAGTGTCGGCCCGATTTTGGGGCCCGGTGCAGAATTTTGCGGAATGAGGGGCTCCATAATATATATATACATGTGTATTGTATATAAATATATCTATATTCAAAGGGGAGCAAGTCAATGGAAATAATTAACTCAAGTTAAGTTAAGAGGACAGAATTGATAAGTTAAAAGTTAATATGAAAAAAAATTAACTCAGTTTAAAAAAAAGTTATTTTTTTTAATAAGTATATAAATCACATAATGAATGACTACGTCTTTTTAATTTCCTAAATTATAAAAACAATTTGATTGAATTTTTATCATAATGTACATAATGTATATACCCTTTTACTTTATATGATTATTATTAATTATTAATTAATTATACACATCTCAAATTAACACTTTAACAAATATTATATTTTAATGGCAAAATATCATCATAATATGTGTCATGTATATTCTTTATACGATAATTTAGTTTTCAAGTTTTTTTTAGAATTATTTTCCAATTTCAAGAATCTGGTGCCTGGCTGTATTTTCTCATCAATAATTATTATTACTTATACTGCTAATATATTATAATACAATTGTTATTGTGTATAATTTAATGGCTTATTGCCTATCTAATTTAATGAAATATATCAATGTACACAATTATTTTATCAAGAAAAAAAAACAGTAATGTTTGTGTTATTATGGTATTGAAATTATTTTTATTTTATATTAATATCTACGTATAAACGAAAGATTCCAAATTTTTTTAACTGTATGGATTATTTTTAAATCAACTGAGAAAAGCTAAGTTATTTCAACTGTTAATTAAACTAGTTGAGTTCATAAGTTGATTAGAAAATAAACTAACTTTTTAGTGCTCACCTTTGTCTATAGTTTTTTAATTATATTTTCTAACGGAATTTATTTTCATATAATTTTATAAACTTTAAGGTCCTGTTAGAAATCTGAATTTGTACCTTTTTTATTTATTTGTATATAAACTAATGTAATCAATTTGTATTTTGATATTAGACACAAAATGAGTAGGTTCTTACTTAGACACAAAAAATATTTTATTAATTAATATTTTTATTAGTTATGTATAATCGGTAGGTACTTATTATATTGATTTTTGTCGATAATAACCCGTGTCTTTAAAAAAAAACACAGCCACACGGGTCGCAATTTTCGTACTATTGGGGCAATATTATTGTAACTATGTATAGATAAAGTGATATTCGGAATATATAATTTGCCGCACCACTTGCCCCCCTAACCCCTAGGGTGGACCCTATAAGCCAGATGTGTCATGGTGCTTTTGGGATGAAAACCAATTTGGTGTGAAAAATTGTCATAGTGTAACCAATAAATCAAGTCAACCGGTAACTACTTATTGTGAAATAACTTATCACTGCCGAGGGTTTAGGCCCTATTGTAATTATGATGACATAGAGTTTTTTTTATAATTTTGAACAATGTTATTAGCGTGACAACACGCGCTCGCTGGAAGGTTATTAAAATACCTAATATTGCCAATAAAGTTCAAATTTTTCTGCGAACCACCGGTTGACGACCGTTGGCTTAGAGGACGTGTTTCGCACTGTGCCACAGAATCGTGGTTTTCTTATACTTATATAACTCGAAAATCTCGTAACTATTCATTATTGACACGCTATTTATTTTGTCGTTCATTGGTTTAATCGCTCATTTTAAATGCTTAGTTTCATTTTTGTTTTTCGTAGGTACCTAATGCCTACGTATACGAATAATGATGTTTTTCACTAAATACTCGTTTGAATTATTATATTTCGATAATTATTTTTATAAACCTGTTTGTATAATTTGGCGAGTATAATACGTTCGTTATCTGTGTTCATAAGCAACTATTCTTGTTGATATTTCGCCTTAGTCATAGTTTGCATCCACGGTTAGTGTTTAATTTTTTTTTATTTTGATTAAATTCATTGCATTTTTCTTTGCTAATAGAAACTTTTTTAAACTAGTAAAACAATTTTTATCTTAATGTTGGTTTCTACATCAACTGTGAGTATAATATTAATATTTTAAATATTTATATCAGTTAATTTTATTACAATTTTCGAATTATTATACAATATTTATGTTATATTCTATATTTTGCTGTAACGTAAGTAGGTAATATTTAAATAATTAAGGATGCCATGATGTAGTATCTTGTCTATAATATTATATATTAACATATTATATAAATTAGTTATTATGTGCAGTAAAGTACATTATCATCTAATGTGCATTGTAATGAAAAATAAAATAACAGATTTTTCAAAATTATTTTTACTAAAAATTTGTTGAAATCAACAAGTTACATAGAAAGTTAAACGATATCTAATTGAATATTAATTTAATACATTTTTTATTGTATATACTTAGTAATATCTATGTAAATTTAAAAGGTTATTTTATTTTAAAAAATGTTTTCAGAAGTTACAGTCAATTAACAGTTGAATATTTGTATGGATAAATTGTTATGAAAATATCTTTTAAATAGAAACATTTATATTTTATAATCGTGTAAGTTATAATATAATTAAGGTCAAATCCATCTATACAACTTTTTTTGTTATACTTAGGATGCGAACTGTAGTGTTTAAGTTGAGATTGGAATAACAATCACATAGATAATATAAAATACAAATAACAAATTGTGTAGAGGAACATATTTTCGAGTACATAGATTCTTTTAAAAAAAATAATATTATAAAAAAAATTAAAGCAATGTTAGTTTTTGCATTTTTTGAATGGATTACATTCTTTAAATATTTTTCATTGTGATTAAAACTTTAATTTTAATCTAAATGCCATAATTTATGTTCTCTTCTTCTTCACCTTCAACCAGCTATTTGTGGACTGTGGTCGATCACCCTCGTCATAAACTTCCACTTGACACGATCTCCTACTGTATCTTCGCATTTTGTACTGGACTTCAAATCAATTATAATTCTTAATAGCATCCAAACAATTATTTTTCGGCCTTCCTCTTATTCTCTTTCAACTTACGTTAATTTTCATTACATGGGCTAAATCGTCTTAGTTTATTTTCTCCCATTTTGTCTATTATCAAAGCCACGGTTATTCTACTTCTTATACTATACTCGTTCCTTATCCTAACCTCTAGTTATTACACTTATCTACATTAACATTCTCATCTTTGCTACATTAATTTTGTGTTCTAACTTTTATTTGTCTGTCTAACGTCTAACACGCCAAACCATATAACATCTCATCACACTCTTATAAAATTTATCTCATTGTAATTATCTTATTACAAAGAATATCTTGCGCTTCTATCCACTTAATTCAACCACATTTAATCCTATTTATCATATTCTCTCCAAAGCCACTATTAGTTTGTATAAAGATCTTAAGTACTTAAAACTCTCAACCTTATTTATTGTTGTTACTTGTTTTATCCCATAAACATCTTGTCCTCTTCCAAAATCATATTAAAATACATCTACTGTTGTACAATTTATGTTCTGGTAATGTAATTTTATTATGTCATGCATTAATAAGACCGAGAAATACATGCCGGTAGGTATCACATCTATTTAAACAAAGAATTATAGTAGATATATTCGCTTCGTACATATTTATAATTTATTAATTTTAAATAATTTAAAATGTAACTTTTTGTCAAAGTCAACTCAGTGTTCTAAATTATAAATTCTCACCGAGACCGTACTGATCATTGAATTTAATCTTTATCAGATGACTTACAATAAATTATTTTCAGTTGATCTTTATTCATTTAATATACCTATTTTATAATGTTGGTTTATCTATAAGTCCGTATACATTTTTTTTTATGTAATAATGATTGTTTCCATATTAACAACAAAATAAAACTTTAATTAAAATGTTAAAATCTATTATTGCTTAGTTACAATATACTTTAAAATATAAATATTTTGTAATAATTATATTATTATTTTTGCAGACAAATCTAGCTTAATATTTATTTTAATAATATAAAAACCAAAATATACACAAGTTAATTGAAAATGAACAATAAATCACACTCAATATTGACTAAAGACACAATAAATAATGGAAATAGTGTACAAAAAAATTGTTTTTGTCCTTTATGTGATATACACATGAATAGAATAAAGAGGCCGCTTAATACACATCAAGAAAATAATGAAAAAGCATTAGATGGGATTAAAGAAGCAAGATGTTCTATAGATCGTTTACAAACTCTTTGTACCAATCTACATCAAACGATGGATCATAGTTCAGAAAAACTACTTAAGTTAAATCCATATCCAATTTTAGATACTGACCCTACCATGGACAATTTAAATTTTTCAACTACACTGCCAAAAATTCACTCATTAGGTAAGAACATGTTTTATGTTAGCTATTTTCATTTTAATTTCTTTAAATTATGATATAAATTCTATCAAATACTAGGTGTATTAGATACCCACAATTTCACCCATGTGCAGTTTATATGTCTGTGCAGTCTAGTTAGTGTATGTACCATAAATTTTGGACCAAATTACTACCTATGGTGAAACCTCCTATTGTAAAACATTTTGACCTTTCCTGAAACATTACATTTGAAAATGATAAATCACCAACCTTTAACAATTAATGATTAATAACCATTTCCTTCCCCCCTCCCTTATCATTGAAATATATTTCAACATTTTTCAAGATCCCACTTTAGGAATCCCATGTTAGGCCTAAAGTCACTTTCTTTATCAATCATCTCCCTTCAAGGTGTCACTGTAATATTTTTATCAAAAACTGATTTATTATAGAGTTTAACTTGACACCCCTTTTAACATTTTACAAATTGGGGATAGAGTGAGTTTTATCGATTCCAATACGATTTACTCATTTAGGTTATACTTATGTCATAGGTTAAGTTATTATAATAATATAATAGTTGGTTAGTTTTTCAGAGTAAAATTATAGGTGGGAGTCCTCATTGAGTTTCATCTATAACTAGGTGTGAGAACAGTCACTCTAAATTGTTAAAATTGAAGTAAACTTTTATCCCCTAATTCAACCCTCTAAGGGTAAAATTTAAAAAAATCCTGATACTAGTGTTTCTTAATTTTTAACCAAATACAAATTTTTTTTATGAATTTTATTTAAAAAAAAAAATGGTAGATTTTTATAAAAAATTCCATCCCTTATTCAACCCCCTTATCTTAAAATCTTACCCCAGAATCTTAGCGGATTCCTACATCATAGTAGCTACCTATATATATGACAAATTTTAGCCTGATTCATGCAGTGGTTTGAGTTGGGCATTGATTGATTAGTCAGCCAGTTTAACCTTATATATAGATATAAATCAGTTAGTAATTATATTATAAAGATAAACATAAAAATGAATTAGTACATAATAGGTAAATAAATACTAATAATTAATATTTTTATGTAAGGTAACAAAATTATAGATCATACAACACAATCTATGTATGATATAGAATCAACAGATAGACATAATGAGGTACTCCAATATCAAATTAATTCAAGACGGCGAGAAGAAAATAAAAACAATGTAGGTCAAGAAAAATTTAAAAATATTGATCAGCTTAACACACCAATCAAAAAATATGATAAGTTCATGAGACATGGGATTAAAGAAAAAAGATGTTCTATAGATCGTTTAAAAACTCTTCGTACCAATCTACAAACAATGGATAATAGTTCGGAAAAACTACTAAAATTAAATCCATATCCAATTTTAGATACTGATCCTACTTTGGACAATTTTAATTTTTCAACTACACTGCCAAAAACTTACGCATTAGGTAAGAACATGTTTAATGTAAGCTATTTTCATTTTAATTTCTATACATTTTAATTAAAATAAAAACTATACATTTTGGTAGTAACAATTTTATCAAATATATCAATTAGTAATTATATTATAAAGATTAACATAAAAATTAATTAGTGCATAATAGGTAAATAAATACTAATAACTAATATTTGTATGTAAGGTAACAAAATTATAGATCATACAACACAATCTAAGTATGATATAGAATCAACAGATCGACGTAATGAGGTACTCCAATATCAACATAATTCAAGACGGTGGGAAGAAAATAAAAACAATGTTGATCAAGAAGAATTTAAAAATATTGATCAGCTTAACACACCAATCAAAAAATATGATAAGCTCGTGAGACAACCACCTGTTCATCGTCAGCGTAAAGTTGGTCTCAATTGACAATTATTATTATTTATTATAAATCCATTTATGTACTATTATTTTATTTAGCTATTACCAACAGTACCTTCTAAACCTCTTAATTGTACAAATTCTTTGGTAAAGACAAGTGGCTCATCTGCCACCACAAATAGTCATTTAAATAATCGAAATTCAGTTAATAAAGATCTTATGAACGTTCCGAATCAAAAATTACTTGTCAATCATGTAAGAATGTCTACAATACCTGTAGAAACAAAAGAACCATTAATGGCTACTGATGATTACAATAAGGTTAATCCAAGTGACCCTATGAGCCCTAAAACAGAAATAATACTTAAAAATAATAATAACTTCGAAAAAGAACAATTAAATCTTTCTGATAGAAATAATACAAAATTAACTCAGAAGACAAGAAAGAGGGCTGAAATTATAAAAAATACTTCTGTATTTCCTGTTAGGTAAGAATAAAATAAATAAATAATATTTTATTGTTATATCTAATTATTTTGTTTCAGTTCTTTGAATAATCATTTATTAAATTCATCCATGGAATTGACATATGAAAGTAAATAATATCTTAAACATTATACTATTAATTGTCCATTTATTTTTATGGTATATCGTTTCTGTTATAGACAAGCAAACAAATTTAAAATCATCAATAATACAAACCCCCATTAAGAATTTAGAGCCAGATCATATCCCTGATCAACAAAATAATTTTAGTTTTGATCATATGTTTTCGGGTATTCAAATAAAAAAAATATATATTTGTCAACTGATTTTATTAATATTTAATGATTTGTTTAATAATCTTCAACGTAATCAAATTATAGATCCTCAAAAACGAAAAAGTAATTCTGAACAGCATTCAGCATTAAGATCAAGTTTATTTTCAAATATGCCTCCTTACATAAGATTTGCTTCTCATGATGTAAAAGGTAATTTAATTTATATATTTAAGTTTAAATTGTATACAATTATAATTGTGTTTCATAAATATTTTAGGAGAATCTTTTCCATTACCTTTGCAAAGGTTACTAAAGTGGAAACTAAGTTCCATTACTCCTATTGTTGTACGCCGTACTATTCAAAACAGTGGTTTTAAACTAGTTAGAAGTGAGCATAGTATAGTTAATAATGAAAATGATCCTTCTGCCATAGCTAATCAATCTGATCAAAATACAATTTCCTTACAAAATTATTGTGGCGTTACACCTCCTATTGTTGATACACTTGATGGTTCCTATCCTTTATCCAATGAATTAATGATGTTACCTCGTTCCCGTGAGTTTATTTCTTATATTTTTCTTTGATTTCAATTTGGTTTTATTTTTAATTATATGTATTAATAATTGTATTATTTTATTTGAATTCATTTAGAATCTAATGATTGGTTTGGTACTTGGGGTAAACATATGAAATCATTATGTTTCAAAACACTACGTGAACAACAAAAGTTTAATCATTTTCCTGGCACTTTTCAAATTGGACGCAAAGATAGGCTGTGGATAAACTTGCATAGACTTATGTTAAAGTATGGTAAAGATCAATTTGGTTTTATACCCACATCATATATATTACCACAAGAAGCTACATTATTACGAAAAGTGTGGGATGAATGTGGAAATGATGGGGACAAATGGATTGTTAAACCAGTATTATTTGAAATTTAATCCCTATAGTTTTTGAACATAAATGAGCAAAAACAATTTTTTTTAGCCAGCATCTGCTAGAGGAACCGGAATTCGTGTGATATCAAAGTGGAATCAAATACCAAAGAAAGTTCCTTTGGTTGTTCAAAGATACATTGATAATCCATATTTAATCAATGATACAAAATTTGATTTAAGATTATATATACTCATCACTTCCATCAATCCACTTCGATTATATTTGTATGACAATGGGCTTGTACGATTTGCTTCAGGTTCAATATTTTTATTATTACATTACTGACATTTTTTTCACTTATTTATTTTTAATTTTAGTTAAGTATTCATCTGATATTAATACTATATCTGACCGGTTTATGCATTTAACGAACTACAGTATTAACAGACTTAGCAGTCAGTATACTCAAAATGAAGATGCTGATGCTTGCCAAGGTCATAAATGGTAAATATTTTCTATCAAATATATTTATTTTAGGTATGTCCTTCTATTACCATTATAGAGTGCTACTGTTATTATTCTTTAGGACATTAAAATCATTATGGACATACATGGAGAAAGAAAGAAAAATTGAAGTTAAAAAACTGTGGGAAAGTTTAGAAGATTTAGTTGTCAAAACAGTTATCAGTGGTGAATCACCAATGAGTCAAATGTGCCGGTCAAATTTAAGTAATAGATATAATGCATATGAGTTATTTGGAATTGATGTTTTATTTGATGAATATCTAAAACCTTGGATACTAGAAGTAATTTTTTTTAAATTTGCAAATTCAACTTTTTGGAAAAAAATTGATTTTAATAATTGTACACACTATGATGATAGGTTAACATATCTCCTTCGCTTCATTCATCATCTCCACTTGACTTAGCAGTAAAGGGACCATTAGTTAAAGACTTAATGAATATGGTTGGTTATCATATACCAAACAAAATGTCTCCTAGCACACAAGTAAGCTATCATAGCACATGAAAATATTAATTTAATACAATCAATTTTAATAATTACTCAATATTAATTAATTTAAAATATTTGTTATATAGAATACTTTAATGAAAACGTTAGGAGTTCACTCACCACTATGTTATGATAAAAGGTTATATACATTCAATTTATCAGTTAAAGAACATGATAAACAAGAATATTATACAAATGTTGAATCTAGAAAAGAAGTAATAAATTTAGTGATTCAATTATTTACATGCAAGTTATTAACTAATATTTTTAATTTGCATAGTACATTAATAGCATATTAGATGATCTATTGCCAGATGATGTTCGACATCTTATTGCATATGAAGATGAACTTACACAAGTAGGATCGTATGTATTTGTATTTATAAATAATCAGTGGTATATTATAATAATGAAAGGAATATACTATATTCAATTTTTAATTCAAAGCAGTAAAAATCTTAGTTACACATATTAGTACTTATTACTCAATAGGCACTTTTACATTCACATTTAATCATGTATTTTATTTTATTTTTATTTTTATTAATTTGTATTTCATAAAATGTCTAATTTATTTATTGGTTGATGCTCATAAAGCCATACAATATATATATGTGAATATTCACATGTATAACACAACTTGGTAGTGTAGTGCACCATAATGTGTGGTGTATTTAACAATAATATTAAGCATCAATACTATTTGGCCACATATTAGGAGTGTGGCTGTGAATAGTTTAGTCATGCATATTATAGGGGGTAGCAACAAAATGGCGGAGAATGAAAGACCACATTAGAAATTGACGCCAATTAAATATTAAATTTAAATTGAATTTTAATTTTTGAGGTAGAGAGATGAAATAAATAACAAGTTGTTGCAAATTTAAGGAATTTTTATTGGATATAAAAAAAATTAATTGTGAAACAGAATGTCGGATAGATGGCATCTGTGAACGGAGATACATTCATTGAGACGCTTTCTAAAGATTTTCATCACCTTCTTCAACATTTCCACTGGAATTAATGCAATTTCTTTTCTAATTGCTTCCTTTAAATTGGGAAGAGTTCGTGGCTTGATGACATAAAACTTTGACTTCAGATACCCCCAAAGGAAGAAGTCGCAGGGCGAGAAATCAGGCAACTGGGGTAGACAAGGAATGTCAACATTTTGAAGACCAAATATCTGGAAAAAGTTAAACGAATGAGATCCATTGAGATTCTCAATGCAGTATCTTGTAGGAATATAAATTTTAAATGTTTCAGTAAAATGGTATGAAGGCTCTGACTCGAAATTTCGAGCAGTTGACCATCGTGAGCTTTTCTCAACAGAAATTTAAAAACATGCTACATTTTCTGGTGCGCCAACATGCATGCACTACAGGCACTACACCTTGAGATGTTGGGCAACATTGTGCGACATCCCCTCCCAAAGTTATGCCAATTACAAATGTGGCCTTTCATTTTCCGTCACTCTGTACTTGTTCATAAATAAACTTTGGGTTTAATTTACTCGTACTTGTCACTTCTACTCATACTATCATTATTTTTACTGTTTGTATAGGTAAAAATGGGTGAACAATTAAGTTACTAATTTTAAGTACTAAGCACCATGTAAGCCTTTTTAACAATTATTTTAGTAGAAATTCTCAATATATATAATTAATCTTTGGTTTATGTGACCTCTGGGACGACTTATTCACACAACTCCTTTTTTTAGTTATCTGTTTTTGAATTGGTTTTATATTGGTCTTTTTTATCTAGTTCTGTTACAATACTACCTAAAAAAATAAGTTGGCTAAGCCATATATTTCTAGCATTTTGAATTTTTCTTGATTACATACTAAATTATTTTTCTCTATACATAGTATTTTTGTCTCCACTCTTTCCAGCTATATTGGTTCAAAGAGTTTTTTTTAGTATTATTCTTTCAAATATTCTTCTTTGTGTGTTGGTCAGTGGTATTTAAAATTTTAGTTCCCTTTCTCTTTCCAAAAATCAGCAATGTTAATTACATTGTATTGTATTTAAATTTTTTTCTTAAAATGTTTTCCTTTTTTTCTCTTATTGATAGCATTCCTGCACTCACAGTTTGTGTCTAGTTAGTCACTTGTGAGTCGTGGGAGTGATTCAGTCAATCATCTCCCTATATTGTACTTTAGAGTTCTATTGGACTCGTTCCTGCCACTTTATTATTTTGTTACTGTTAGCAGTTCTATGATGGGTTTACTAGTTTTAATGATACTTTTCAATTTTTTTAAATATTATTTGATATCTATTTTGACTACCTATGGTTTGCCGGTAATCACAATTCGGTTATCTTAACTACCTAGTTAAGTATCCAAATCTGGAGTTATTTTTTTCAATTAAAAGTCCAATATAGCCTACTTTGAACATACGCACATCCATTAGTCAAAAATTATGTTACCAGTGCAAGCTAATGAACGACTTTAATCCTCTAATTACTCTGATTTGTTAGCAAAACTATGTTGGTAGGTAACCAAAATAGTCATCAGTGGTAGTCGAGATAACTAAATTGTTACACCCATTGGTAGTTCATCATACACTTTCAATTGAAAAGTATCATTATAATAAATGTTTTTCTAGTCTGCTAATAATTTGAACTTTGCCAAACTTGGATGTCCATAGTTACTTGTCTATGTTTTTCTTTTCTCCATTGCTGCTATTTCTATTTGGAGGAGGAAGCTCACTCAAAATCTGTATTTTTCTATTGGCCTAAGTTTTAGACAGCCACTAATTATTATATTTATTTGTTAACCATCCCTATACTGAGCTGGCACACTCTGGCTGAAGAACAAAAGGCTAGACTGGTCATTTGATGCACCTTGGAGCAAATGCCCTATTTCGCTCTTTCTAATTTTTAGATTATATTATTCTTTGTTGCGATTTTTATCTCAGTATTCTCTAACTATACTTTATATTTTAGAGTAGGATCTAGTTTTACTCTTAAGTACTTTGGGTTACCCAGATCTATTTTTCCCTTTGTTAGTCAATATTGAATTTCCTCTTTGCTTCTATATATTTAAGATGCTATGGACATACTTGTGTAGTTTTGTGTTGTTTAGATTTGGTTTCAGATGGTTTCATGCATAGTATTCAGTTAATGCCACTAAAGATTCCTTAATTATTTTTTCTGTTTCTTTAAAACTATTTCCTTGTGCAGCTTTATAACTACTGCTAGATACAGTATAGATACAGAAAATGTTTCATTGCAAATTCTCTTGGTTGATCATTCTATCTGTATAAATATTAAAAAGTAGGTAGTTGCCCTGAGGTAGGTCATTATTTTGTTTTTTCCATTTCCTTTAAGCATCAATTGCCTTTATCAAAATGTTTTAGTTTATATAACACATGTGACATATGTTTAATTGACAGTTAATAATACTGAACTGTATTTTTTTTGAAACTTTATTTGCCGTTTAGAAAAACTATAATTTAGAAAAGTATACATGATTATTGTGGGTTCCTTTATAGTCACTTTGATAATTACAGAAGGTAAATCACTAATTGTAGGTAAACAGTGTACAAATGATTAGAAGTTATGGCCATTTTTGGTGATCTTACAAACAATCTTATAGAGAATCTTGGTATTCTGGAATCAAGTGAACATAGTATTGATCATTGATTTACTCTCTAGCTAATTGCCTGTATTCTAAAAACTCCAATACTCTGCTTTAAATATAATATAATCAATAGTATATATGAACAACTTACTAAAACTATTATTAATTTTTAGATTTCAAAAAGTATTCCCTACTACTTCATCATTTAAATATCATCAATACTTTAATGGCTCAAGGTATTACAATATGCTTTTTGATGCTTGGGAATGTAAATATAGTAACAAAAGAGAAGAAGGTAAGAGTTTAAACTTCTTTTTCTAGATGTCAACATTTAAATATAAGTACTGTTGGTTTTATAAAATGATTCATTATTTAAGTTAGAGATAGCCATACATGGCTATATTTGTTCCAAAAGCATTTTATATTCTTATTTATATATCTATTAATATTTTAAATTTTTGTAAAAATGAATATGTATTACATTCAACTTTTAAAATAATATAATAAATTAATAATTCACCAAATATAAAAAAAATATGCTGGATTGGACTACTTTGAAACCTGGACCAGGAATTAAAAGTATAAAAATAGTTTTGATTTAAAAATAACATCATCAGCTAATAGAATAGCAAAGGCAAAAAAATAATTTGTGTCTGAACATAAAATAACAGGAATACATAGAAAAAAGTTAGTTTTTACACACTGAGTAGACCAATTTTATTAGAAGAAATTATATTAAGATGAGAAATTGTATGTATTATATAAAAAAAAATATTGGTATAGAATATAATTTTTGAATTCTGACTGTATATTCAATGTGTTTTGGATTGTGAGTGAAGCGAAGCAGCTTATAGTTTTACAAAGATGTTATTTTTGTTTTCTGTAGACAACTTTTCTACTAACAATTTTGTTCCAACTTATAATGATAATTCAATTTTTAAAAGAAAATTTCACTAGGGAAGTACTTAAAAAATATAATTTTTCAATTTTCCCAAGAGTTTCCACAGTGAAAATGTGAAAAACCGGAATAAAACATGGGAAAACCTGGAAACATATAAAGCCTATTTAATTATTTTACTATATTATGGCACATATATGGTTGGCCAAGCATGAAAAGCAATTGAACTCCACTCAGAGTCGTTTTTTTGTAAGCAATGATTTATCTTTGCTTACAGGTATATGTTAAATTATCTATAACAGTGACTGTACCCTTCTCAATTATCCTAAGACATCTCTTTATAAATTTTTTTTTATTAACTTAACTATAAATATTTAATTTTTCCAATACATAATAAATGTAAACATCTTCTTGGGTAGGTATTCAAATCTCTTAGGTCATTATGTATATACAAATCAACATTATGACAAGGTATTCTCTTAAACATGCCATTAGAATTAGGAGAAGCCTTGGTTATTCTATTATGTAAAGATAATATTTTGTGTGTAGATGTATAAAATTCTAGCCTGAGTGTTTATTAATGTATAAAAGCTCAGGTAAGCTCAGTTTAAAAATACTTTTCAAACTTCTGCCAAAATTAAATAAATACTGACATTTAAAATCCCTGCTAGTTTACTATTGAGTTTGTGATATATTGTTATCAAAACTAATAGTTTATGTAATACCGCAAAATTAGGAGAGTCGTAGAATTGTTAGCGTGAGTTTAAAAAGATACCCTAGGATAGGTGACGGGTGCAGCCACTGTTATAGGTGGGAATTTAGGAAGTTAGGATACAGTAGGTAATTTAATGTAAATCTGTAAGCTACAATAAACCATTGCTAACGAATAATGATTCTGAGCAGAGTTCAGTTGATAGTGATGCTTTATCAACAATATATATTACGTCATATCATAGTAAAATAATTCAATAGGCATTATATATTTTCTTTTACAATATTTGTTTAATATTGTACTGATTTTCTGGGTTTCCCATGTTTTCCATCTATTGGGAAAATTCCTGAGAAAATCAAAATATGACCTCCCTAATGTATCACTCCAAGAAAATTTCCTTTCAGAAAAGAGTATATTGTATACATCGGAGTAAGCTTTCTGGTAGAAAGTGCTCACATAAAAAAATAATTTAAAAAAGCATCTTTGTAAAATCAATACAACCTTCACACCACTAAAAAAAAATGTAATAAGTCTGTGAAAAAATCCCAGCCTGACACATAATAAATTCAAAAAATCCAGCCTTTGCAGGTTTTTAGTATTTACTTACAACCTTACAACTCATCTAACTAATTCAGGTCCCCTTTTTGAACTATAACATGAAAAAATAACCCTTCCACCTTTAAAAACCTTTGATTTATAATATACTAGGCTTTATTTTTGTTTTTTTATTTATCTGTATGTTTATTTAATTTTTATTTTGCATATATACCTATGTATATTTTATATTATATTATAAATCTGTGGCTTTCTGTAAGAAGAGCCAATACTAAAAAAAAATTCTTAAAACTATGGACCTAACATTAGATTTTTTAAATCTTGCACCCAGTTAAATGTATATTTCTATTTTTATAATTTTAGATTTTGAGTGGAGAGAAGAAGCTTATGATTTTACATAGATGTTTGTTTTTTTTTCTGAGGACAATTTTTCTACCAGTAATTTTGTTGCTTTTTTGATAGCAATGTTTCTGAAAAAAAATTTCACTGGGGAGGTATTTTAGAGAGGTCGTTTTCCATTTTTTCCAGAGTTTTTTAAGCAAATATGAAAAACAGGAAAACAGGGAAAATCAGTAAACATTAAACAAATATTATTAAAGAAAATATAGAAAGCCTATTTAATTATTTTACTATACTAAGGCATATTGTTGACAAAGCATGAATATCAACTGAACTTGGCTCAGAATCGTTTTTCTGAAGCAATGGTTTATCATTGCTTACAGGTATACATTAAATTACCTATAATATTGACTGCACCTGTCCCAATTATCCTAGGACGTCTTTTTTTTTTTTTTGAAAATAATTTATAGAAAAAAAATTTAAAATAAATGATATTGAATGACTGGGATTTAGCAGATCATTTAAATCTAACCCATCATATGTTAAAACTTTTCAAAATAAAGTATTTATATTTGTATACTAGATTAAAAAATCTGATTTCAGATTCAGAGTAAAGCAAGGAATTTACTGGTTTTTCTCATTTTGAATGTTATGCTTATTTTTCTAAAAGCACCTATAATTACACAGCAGGCTGTAATCACATTCACTAATTGCTAATTATTATTATAACTATTTGACTGTAAACTTTTCTTTCTCTGATCTTTAAAAAAACTATTCAAGTTTACTAATTTCATACAAATAAAACGTTTTTTAATTTTTTTATACCAAAATATAAAAAATTAATAGAAATATAAATATTTATAATCCTTATTCTCATGAGTAATATATGCATAAAAAAAATAAAAAAACAGAATTTGATTCTTTATTATTTCAGGAGATATTGCAATGGGTATATCTTTTTGGAACGCACTATATATCAGCATACTTATTGTTTTACATAATAATCCCATTATATAACTAGGTATTGTATTATGTATGTATATGTATACTATTATTTTCAAGGTATTGCTCTGCTTGATATGTTGTGTCAATCAAAAGTTCACTTAGAAGTGCCAGATATTGATGAAGAGCAATCAAAAGTAATATTTTAAATAACTAAAGAATAATTTTTAAGTATATATACAAAAATAAGAATACAATCATTTTTATAAGTGTCATATGAATTTGATATCATATTATTTTTACTGGAAAGAATAATTATTTTAAGTTGAAATATTTACAAATATTAGTATTTTATTAATATTAGTAATATATTATATTGGTACATGTTTACAAACTTAAGTTTAAAAATTATGTTTTTATTGAATTAATATCTAATATAAATTAATCAGCATTATGTTAAGTAATTTTGGTTTTTACAGTGCCTAATACTACTACTTAATCTAAATATACTTGGATATTAAAAGTGCATAAATCTAAAAATATAAATTGATTATCTACTTTTAAACAGTTTTTAAGATTTAGAATTATAATTTATTGGGATGTTAAAAAAACAATTCTATCTGAAATTAACAAAAAATAATATAAAATAGTAATAAAAATACTAATTTTGATATATTTGGGAATTTTGGAATTTCTTTTATATGGAAACAAATACATTTTAAATTACTTATGTCAAATATTTTTCATTCATTATTATGTTTGTAGTTTATAAAAAAATTAAAATAATTATTAAATTATCTTAATATTTTAGATTGTAAGTTGAGTGAGAAATGTATTGGTGAAAAACTTTTTTACTAGATAATTTTGCTCATGTTTTCAAATGTAGTACTTTGTCTGAAAGGAAATTTTCCTGGGGTAGTACTTTAGAGAGATTATTTCTTTGATTGGAGTTCCATAATAAAAGAAAAAAATTAGAAAAAACGGGAAAATCTACGAAACGTATTATTTTAAAATCATAAATATTACAGCCATTTAAAATATATATAACCAGGAGAGGCATAGAGGCCGCCTCTCCTCCTAAGCCTATATTTTTGTTAAAAACAACTATACAAATTATGTACTATCGAGTATTGCAGACATGGACATATAAGTGTGTAGTTATCTACCTACAATCTATATACTATGAAATATAATAAACTTATAAAATATATTTTTAAAACAGTTTTCTGAAAAATATGACTTGGCTTTCTCCCAACCAAGTCTCCGGAGCCGCCCCTGTATATAACTGACCTCCACTCAGAATCGTTTTTCATTTGCGAAGATCAATTGGTGTATATAGATATACATTAGATTCCCCTCTACGTATCCTACCTTCTCAACTTCATAAAATGCATACAAATTTTAGGAACTATTAAGTACAGATTTATGTATACATTTCATTTTAGAGATTTTATTTGTGATCAAATTATAAACAATTGAAAATGAACAAATATACACGTGTTATTATGTCCTATTTCCTGTTTATAGGATATAATGTAATTAGGAAACTAACAGTCTTTTATTCTTACATTAACTAACTGATATACCTATTACAGATATCATACAGTGATCAATCTAGCAAAAGATTCTCATTATCTCGGAAAATATAAAGATTTTTCAGAATTTGTTTTGTAAAAGATTTTAGAAACATGCAGCTTTACATATTATCATATATTTTAGATTTGAATCGTAGCGATGACTTTACCTACTATATATTATAATGTGTTTTTTTTTTTATGTCTGGTTTTTACTAAAATTCTCGCTCTGATATGTAGTGTGTAGCAACATTTCTGAGAGGGAATTTTATCAAATTAATGTTAAAAGAAGTTATTTTTCAATTTTTCAATAGTTTTCGTAATAATTGAGGTAAACCAGAAAAATGAAAAACAAACAAATGTCAGATTAGGTATGATTTCATTATTTGGAATTTGTACTGCTTACGTTTTCTACCAGAAATATTTCTTCATAAAAAAACGACAACAGGCATTTTTTAATATAATTGGCTAGTATTTTTTATTTTATTTTTATTAAGCAAACCGAAAAAAGAACGTAGAATGAACGAAAAAATTTACGAAAATAATGATTTTATTTTTTATTCAATATTGTTTTATGTTGTGATTCAGTTTAAAATATCTATGGACATTTGAAATAAAAATAGTAAACTGAAATTTGCTTTCTATAAGACGTGATAAAATTATCAAAACATTTTAGTCAGTTTTAAGCTATATTTTAATTTTAAGAGTTTTTTTAGGTAATTTGTATTCAGTAGTTGTTCTGTGATTGTTAGGTCTAAATTAAACAAAAGGAAAAATTAACAGGAGTTTCATTATTTCAAAATTTAGTGTCATGTGGAATTTTTTATAAGGATATTAATATCAGGTTTTGACAAAACTAAAAAATTATTATGATCTTTCAAAACATGCATAACTGAACTCCACACAGAATCATTTTTTGTAATAATAATTAATCGGTGCGTACAGGTATAAATTAAATAATTTTTGTATCTCACCTTCCTAACTACCCACCTTCAACAATGACTGCACATTTTCCTAGTATCATCTATTTTTTTTTTTTTTTTATTAATTTTCAATTATTCATAATTTGATTACAAATAATATCTCTTAAATGAAATGAATACATCATGCACTTAAGAGTGCATGAATATTTTTAATGTAATCAAATATGATATAATTAAAAATATTAATGGGGCTACTTTAAAACATTATTTTAAAATATGTTTTATATATTTAATGATAAAAAAGAATTTTAAAAAAAATGTACTTTATACTTAATTGTTCCTGAACATTTTAAATAGATATTATTATTAGTTTTAAAGATATATTGAAATTTTCAAAAATTATCCAGCTCACTTATCAAGTAAAAAAAATTTTTAAAAATTATATGACATGACTTATGAATTATTATTAAGTTATTTAATTCATATTTAAAGGGTATGGATACATTTTTTTTTTTTTTTACAATTTTAGTTTAGTAAACAAAGATTTACTCAACATTTGTTTTTAAAAATTAATAATCAAAATAAATGGTAACCATTTTGTGGTTTTGAATCCAAAAATAATTTATTAGTTTTATAAAAACACTAAGAGTGACATTTCAACCTAAAATTGTTTTAATAATAATAAACTTGTAATAAAAAAAACTAAATTGTTTGTATTAAATTAAAAAAAGAAAAAAAACGAACATACTTCGCACAATGGGTGAGTCACGGTTATAGATTTAACGTTGGGAAGAAAGAATATAGAGGAGAGTTCAATGCATATCAATAAGTAACTATTAATCGTTGCTAACAAAAAAATGATTCTGAGCGGAATTTGGTTTTGCATGTTTTAAAAGGTAGTAATATTTCAGATTTTGATCAAAATTTGATATTAAAATCCCCCCCAAAAAAATTCTATGTGAAAACTTGACTTTTACTTATTGATCAATACGTATAACCTTATAATGAACCTTAAAAAAATGTTCAAGCCTTTCTGTTTGATTTAACAATTTTATATACAGAATACCTACCAAATAAAAATTATATAAAAACAACTAACAAAATAAAAATGATTTTATCACATTTAGAAAAGGCAAATATAAGTTCTCTGTGCAAATTTCAATTCCCCACAAATATTTTTAACTGAATCACAAGAAAAAAACAAAATTTAAAATTACAAAAGTATTTATTTTGTAAATTTTCCTGGTTTTCCTCGGAAAATCAAAAAATTAGCTCCTTAATTTACCAACTAGATGAAATTCCCTTTAAGAAAAAGTGTTACACTTTATACACCAGAGAAAGATGACTGGTAGAATTTTTATATACATTATAAAAAAAAAAAAATAAGTAAATAATAAAATAAAACCCATTGTAAAACCAATATATTTCTATCTAACCTACCTTTATATATTCATTAACAATTTAGTTTATTTTTATTTTTTGTGTGTTTTTAATACTTAGTTTTCTTCTGATTAAGATTTATGACACCCTCCAAAATACACAAATGGAAGTTGAAAAAATGTTGGAGGAATCTGGCAGTGATAAAATAAGTGACAAACATCAAGAGGTCATCAGATTATCTGATAACTGAACATGTACACTTATGTACATTATTTTATTCTGGTTTTAAAAATATACTATTTTCACAACTATAATTTGTGAGTTCAACTGTATTTAGTTTATTATTAGTATTAATGTTTATTTCATTTAATTAGGTACATTAATTATATTTACATTTTGGCATTACAATTGAATAATTATAATATAAATATATTAAACTGTGCTCAGATAAGGCTGTAAATTTTGGCTAAACAGTTTTATATGCTTTAAATACTTTGTGGTACACAGCAATTTCATAAAGTTATACTTTTAAAATTAAAACAGAAATTGAATGCACTAGGTATATGATAAAAGTAGACTTAACTGTGATAATTGTTTACATAATTTTATTTTGTGGTAATCACAAAAACAAATATAAAACATATATACTAGAGAAGTTCAGAAAGTAGGGTTAAGAATCTAAAAAATGCATATATTACATTAAAAATTACAGAATATATTCCAAAATATGTTATTATTTCTCCACATAATTGCTGTTAAGGTCAATGTATTTCTGAAATCTGAAAACCTGAAAAAACAGGTCCTGAGTGAACTGGGTGGTATGGGGTTAAACTTTTTTATGACACAAGTCAGCAAACTCCTATTATCTTCGGTTTTTTAACCTCTTAAGGTTTTCCCAATATGTAGCATCATTGATAGTTGTCCCTTTAAACATTCAACCAATAAAATTACTTTCCAGTCCTATAAAACAGATGCTAAAGGTTCTTCTCTGAAAACTGGAATTAGAATTTTTTTGGCTGGGAGGTGGGTATGGCACCACTATAAAGACAGCCTTTTTGATTTCAAAAGTATAGTGGCACACCTAAATTTTATTTCTGTTACAATGATGTTTAAGAACGTTTCACCCTCCTTTTGATGTTCAAGAAAAGACTGAGTGAATTTCACACAGTAGGTGGAGCTAATTGACAATTAAATAACTTAATAGAATACATTATTTTATTATATATATTTATTTAATGCTAAATGATGCCACTACTACATATCTTTAGTAAATAAATTTATAATAAATTACACATTCTACTTTTCTAATGTAACATTTGTTATAACAATTAAAAGTGTGTTCTTAAGCAAAATTTGTTTAGTATACATAATATAATATTATTGTTTATTGAGAAAAATAAGTAAATTAGATTAATGATTTTTTTAAACTAATCATTGTTTATTTTTTATAAATCATGATTTTTAATATTAGATAGGACTAAATAAAACCATTCAACTTAACTATCCTAATTTATTAATCCTCTTAATTTATTTATTTATTTTATAAATGCCTGTAAGCTAAAGTACAATAAAAATAAACTACATTAATCGAACTTAAGTATACATAAAAAGATATTACAGCATAAATAAAATACATCATAATATAATTAGATAATTAGAATAAAGTAATTAATAATAACAATGAGTAAATAAGAATATGTAAAAAGATTTCAAACATATATTAAGAAAATTTGGCTTAACAGATGTAAATATCATGTATAAAATAAATCAAATTTTCTTAAATTATTACATCCTCTAGTTATGTGATTCAAGGGAATAGCCGTATGAGGTACAATAAAATGGAATAGAAATAAAGTAAATTATGATTTTTTTAAAATAATCATAATTATAGTTTTTTATAAATCATGATATTTTAAAATTAGATAGGACTAAATAAAACCATTTAATCTAACTATCTTATATTAATAATCCTCTTAATTAATTAATTTTATAAATGCCTGTAAGCTAAAGTACAATAAAAGTAAACTACATTAATCAAACTTAACTATAGAAAAATGGTATTACAGCATAAAATATATCCTAATATAATTAGATAATTAGAATAAAGTAATTAATAATAACAATGAGTTATTAAGAATATGTAAAAAGATTTCAAACATATATTAAAGAAAATTTGGCTTAACAAATGTAAATATCATGTATAAAACAAATTAAGTTTTCTCAATTTATTACATCTTCTAGTAATGTGATTCAAGGGAATAGCCGTATGAGGTACAATAAAATGGAATAGAAACTGTAGGATAAACAAATACCCAACAAAATAATTTTACCATAATTTGTAATAGGGAAATATTTTTTTAAAAAAAAAATATAATTAAGTTTTATATATATATATATAAGTTATAAAAAGTGACTTATGTTAATCACATTATTTAAATCTGGTATTATCTTTAAAAGACAAATGTATTATTATTGTTATATTTGATCATAAATTATAGAATATCTAAATATTATGGTCAAGTGAGGTAGCTGTGATATGAAATTGAAATTTTCAACTTGAATTGCTTGTTCTTTACTTGAACATGTAGTTTAAGATATAAAATCCTTAAAATTATTTTAGTATATATATATGAGGTATATAAATAAAGTAATGAGACTAGTAATGCAGCGTGCAATCTAGCATCACTGATGGGTTTGTGTATGGATGGGAGTTAAGCTAACATCTAATACATTTTCAGTAGGAATTTAACTCCCTAGGGTCTTGTATTAATTTGAGATTAAATATAAATAAATAAATAAATAAATAAATAGATTGTTTTCATAAATCAGTATTTTCTTGTGAGTTCTTAAAATAAATGACTTTTCAGAAACTTCTGCAGACACATAAATATGATGGTTTTTTTAAGGGCCCAAGTTTCTAGAGGGCTTAAAGCATTATCAGAATTCAAATTGTTGTCAATTTTTTCATAATTGTTTGCAGTTGTAGGCTGTTCACCTTAAAGTTCATCTTCAATTGACTTTCTACATTTTAAAAATGTCTTAAATCACCAAAAACCTGAGCCCTCGGAAAAATATTGTCTCTATACTTCTGCTGAAGTTTTTAAAAAATTACTGTATTATTGTTATTGTACAGTATGTGACAAAATCAATATCAATTACTCACTCATAAAAGTACTTATGCTAATAGAAAAAAGTATTTATAAGAATATAAACATTAAATATAAATAAAATAATTATGAATTACTAAGTGAAATAATTAAAATGATGAGTACATTATAAATAAGGAATTGTGTTTCATTTGTATAACACTTGTAAAAGTATAAAAGGTATGTGTGTACACCAGGCTAAATAATTAATCTAATAAATAATATTACAAAAAAATAGGATATAAAAACATAATTCAGAGCGAAGTTTGGTTAATCATGTTTTAAAATGCTATGATTTTTTTACAATCTTAGTAAAAATTTGAACTTTGTAATTAAAAAAAAAAATCTTTTATTATGCTCAATTTTTTTGGCTACCATTGATAACAATAACGAATCTCATTTTATATTTGGGATAAATTTTGACATATGAAAAAAAATTGTATGCTTATACAGTCTATAAATATGAAACCTGAATTTGCCTATAAATACCTCTAGCAATAAATATAGTTATTTTTAGACTGTGTAATTAATGTTATTTCCATATTGATATTTGATAAAAGATAACCAATTCATAATAATACAAGTTTCATAAAACTGCACAGTTTGTAATAGCATTGAATATGTCAAATTTTATGCTTCGAAATCACAATTTGTGAACAATATTAATTTGAAAAAAAATGCCGCAGAATAACATTGAATGCTTGTCCAAGAAGCTTAGGGTGAGTATGCTTTTGAAAAATCACTATGCTTTGAGTAGTTTAAAAATTTCAAAGTGGCAATTTTTATGTGAGAAGTAGAAGACCCCAGAAAAAGTTTGAAGATAGCGAATTGCAAGAATTGTTGGATGAATATAGCTCTTAAATATAACAACTCACAGATTAATTAAATTTAATAAGTGAAGCTGTCTCCATACACTTGAAAGCCATACGATTAAGATAATGGGAAAACAAATTTCATGTGAACTGGGTTAAGCATAGTAAGAAAACACAAATACTGTGTCTGGTGGGATAAGAAGGGTATGATCTATTACGAGCTGCTAAAACTTGGTGAAACTGTTAATACTGAGTGTTACCAACAACAAATGATCAATTTGAATCAAGCTTAGTGTGAAAAATACCAGAGTATAAAAAAAACAACTTTGCTTCATGATAATGCATCATCACACAGCAAAACTGGTCAAAGAAGAAACAATTGGGACATTTAGTTAGGAAATACTTTTGCATGAAGCTTATTCATTTGATTTCTATTTATTTATATAAGGGACACGCACTTCCTGAGAAGCGCTTATGAAAATGTAAGAAATTGGCTCAATGACTAGGTCATCTTAAAAGAATAACAATATTTCGCATCTACAAATTACCACACAGTTGGGAAAAATGTATAGCAATGGGCAATACTCCAAATAAAATATTTGCTATCTTTTTCATATAATAAATGTATAATTTTTGTAAAAAAAATTCAGGTTTTATGTTTTACTGATCTGGTAAAACCAAATAAAAACCTAAAAACTTGAAATGTTCAAATGACTACAAATAGCTTAAAAGTTACCAAAATGTTTTGAAATTTCTAATAAAAAAATCGTGTACAGACTGAAAAAAAATGCATATTTCATTTCAAAATCAATAATACATTCCTCACTATGCTCAGAATTAAAAAAAAAATTCAGAAGTTTTAATTTAATAAATTGGAACAATAAAAAAATGTTCAGAATAAAAATTGTCTTGCAGTGTACATTCTTTGTGGACATTTGTATCCAATAAATAATATGATAGTGTATTATTTTTAAACACCATAGCTTTGTTGTCATTAAATGCACACATCACACCATCTTCAAATTCTATATTAAATATTGTTATTGTCCGATATCGATTTTCCTCTGGAGAGTAACAATGCAATCCAATTGTCTTTTTATAAGATACTGTGAAATCAAAAGTGTTTTAAAACATAATATAACTAATACCTAAAATTGCTTAAATAACTTACCAAGTATATATACCGAGTCTAAATAAACAGTTGCAGAGGTAATTATTGGTTCAATATTCATGACATTAACATCCCATTTATAATTTGATGGATTACTTTCATCAAAACTAAAACTATGCCACTTGGTACTAAAGTATTTTTTTATCATAACAAACTGGCCTTGATACTCCAAACAAATATACTTGCCTGACATGATTTCCTTCCCCCAAGTAAAACACTCATTGTTTCCAATGTGTACAAGTGTATTATTATCTAATATAAATGAAATTACTATTAATATAAAAATTACCATATAAACTAGAATATATAATTTACCTTTATCTAATCTGAAGTGTTCCATTACTTTATTACGTAGTCTGTGTTTTGTTCTTCCTCCAATTAAAAATAAATCATCTCCACAAAAATAACCAATGCCATTACGTCTTTTAGAGGGAACAAAACTGTATAAAAAAAATGTACTCGTTAAAGAATTTACACAAGTTAATAATAATATATTAATTTAATTGTTAAAACTACTTTTCTAATTTAATCCATTCCTTGGATAATAAACTGTATTTCCAGCCAGATTCATTCCATATTCCTCTAAAGTAGCCAATTTCACCACCCATAACATAAATTTCCATATCTATGAATGCACGAAATAATTAATAATAGAATAATAAAGTAAAAACAAAATTATTAAATGGTTAATACTTGTAAATAAATATATAAATAATTTATTTTATTTTGATTACCTTTAACCATTACATGATAACCAACTGTATTTGAAGGTAATGGATCCACTTTCAGGAATTTTGAAAATTGCAATGTTTGCCAATCCCACTTCCAAATATGCGCATCGCCATCATCATCATTTTTTACTGTACATAAGACATTGGGAACATTTCTTATTGGTCTAATTAAGGGTTTCATTGACTCATTGCCTTGTATATTATAATCAATATATTGTTTAATTGTATTTTGCAAATTTGAATTTTTTGTTTTTGAAATACAATTATTTAATTGATTTGCATCCATCAAATTAAACCGCACACACTTAGAAACCATTTCATACTCAATATCGTAGTTTTTTGAACACCATTCAATAACCAAATTAAATACATCCATTTCGTCATTAACATTTAAACCATTGTCATTAAACAAAAGTAACAAATTTGCTCTGTTCAGTTGATAAAACTGTTCTCTGTTATTTGCCAAAAGTGTTTTAAAATTATATAAGATATAAATACGTGCTTTTTCACATAATTCAGACAATGCAAGTCTAGAAGCCGATAATAAAATAGGTATTGCATGACATGTAAGCATACTCTCTTTGATAATTGTATTAGATTTTTTAATTATATCTGTGAATTGATAAAAAATCGATGTTTCCAGAAAGCGAAGTAATTCATCTACACCATCAATTACAACAGTATTATGTCTCAAACTATGAATAATACTCATAAAATGTGTATAGTCTACACCCTGCAATTTGAAAACAAATGTTTTAATTACAATTATTAATTAAAAATATAACCTCCCAAATATTACTTGTAATTGTATTTTATCTCCTGATTGAGATTCCATGAAGTTACCACCGAGCATAGCATCAAAATAAAGACTTTTTTTTGTTAGAAATGACTTTTTCAATCTGACACTTTCACCACCATCAAAATGAATTCTTACATACAATTGATCTCTTTGTTCTTTGTCCATATTACTTGAGATATAATCTAAAAAAAATTATTTTCTTTAATTTTAGTTCATCATTGATTATTATATACATATTATACAACGCTAAAGAAGTACATAGGTACTTTAAAACAATGAAATATCTTGGTTTTTTTTTTTAAATTTCCTAATGTAAACATTTTAACAATGATATTATACCTATACTAACAAACAGTGTTAGACAAATCGTAATCTAATTAATAATAAAAGATTAAGATTAAAATGTGTAGTTGTTAATCATAATTTAAATTAATATACCTAATCAATAATCACAATTAAAAATTATTATAAATGATTTAAATAATAATTTAATCATAGTATTGATTACGATTACAAAATAATTTAATTCGTAATCATGATTCATTTTTAACGATTAATGATTAATGAATAACAGCTATATTTTGAGATAAACATTATTTCGTTATATAAAGATTTTCCAATTGAACAATAGTGAAAATGTCCCAGTCCCCAAAAAAATGTCCACTGTTGGGAGATGTCTATAAGAGGAGGTTTCATTGTAATATCTAAGGACATTTTATTCCATTATTCAATTATACTTATTCATCTAAATACTTTTTACTTACTACAGTTATTTATATGCATAATGTATTAATGTGTATGCATCCAAGGCCAATCTAAGAGAGAGGCTCTTAGTACCAAAGAGGAAAATGTCCCAAAGCATTGGATAAACCATAAATGTATAGGGCATCAGATTTTAGATGGATTTCAAGTTTAGACAATAAACATAGGATGATTACCCTAAAATGCTAATGATAGTAAACATAATACTGTATGCACATAATTCATTGTACAATTGTATCCCAATAAAAACTCCCAGTCAGCTACATGTAAAACCTTCTCTAAGAAAAAAAAAAAGACTAGAGTCAGAAAAGTTGTGATAACAAAAAGGGGCTAGGTAATTTCTTAAATTCCTTAGTATAGAAATTATTTATATTGTTTGTATTTGATGAAGTGCGTTAATTTAATACAAATAATTTAACTTAGCTTGGTAGCTACTAATTGTTACGACTACAAATAAAGATTCAATTATAAACAATTTAAGAAATTACTCAGCTCCTTTTTGATAACACAACATTTAGATTGAGTTTTGTTTTCTTAGCGAAGCTTTTACACGTAGTTGACGTAGGGTTTTTGTTAGGATATGACTAATTTTTTTTATTTAAATTTTGAATACCCAGTAGACTCTCGATAAATCGAAGTTGGCGTGTCTTATGAAAAATTTCGAATTGCTGCGTAGTTCGTATCAAGAGAAAAAAAATTTGAATTTTTTTTTTTATTATAAAAATTAAATATTTCAGCAAATTGGGCATTATTATAGTATTAATTGTTTTTAAAATGTAAAAATAAAATCATTATTGTAGAACTTTACAACCAACAAAACAAAACTAAAATAAAACTACAGCCGGCTTTCGACGAGTTAAAATACGATAAGAGAGACGATTATGAAATAAAATGCTTACGATAACAATTCTATCGTTATCGAAAATATTTAAGAAATACATTGTGAATGTACTTCGAATTGCCGAGCGTTTAGAAATGAAACCGAATTGTCACGTGTTAATAGCCAGTTTTCCCAAAATTTAATTTCGAATTATCGCCAGTCGATTGTAGTAACCCCTGTTTTTATTTTATCAAGTGAAAAAATATGGGGACACATCTTTGATGTTTTGTGTATTGAGTAAATTAATATATGATGTATGATTATTATACCTAGCTTATGAATGTAGCCGGAAAACGATACTATAGTAATACAGCGATAAAATAAATAGATAAAATTGTTTTTTATTCGCCGCAAACGGCCACAGTAGCCAACAGGTGGTAACAACGCGCACAACATATATTGTTGAATTGTTGAAAAAAAATAGCGTTTCGAAGAAAAACTATGCTAATAGCATATTACTCAGGCTGTTATCATCTGATCAACTTGAAATTCACAAAAGTATCATCTACATATCATAGTGTGAAACGCGTGTAAATTTCAAAACAATCAGTCAATTGGTTTAGGCTACAGAGGTCGGACCATTTGCCATAGTTATACAATACACAGGTTAAATAGGAATAGGCCGTCTCGTATAATGTACGATTATGGTTGACGCTCGAGCTCTTATTTTTTTTTTACTTAGCTCAGCGCCGCGATCGCGTCACAGTTGAAGTTAAGCGATCAATTTTTCAATAACGATTACAAATATTTAATCATTGATTACTTTGAAAAATGATTAAACGATTAATAACTAATATAATTCAATAAATCAATATTTGATTACGTAATTTAATCGTAAATTTATCGATTACGCCAAACACTGCTAACAAATGTATAGCATGTTTTAAACAAATTCTACCTTTTAATATTAATCCACACAAGTGGGGTGAGTTACTCACACTCCGCTATCCATTACAATTTATATATTTACTCTACATGAAGTCACACTTTCTTTAATTACCAATAGCTAATTTTTTTTTTTTAAGTATTTAGTAATTTTGCAGAATAATATTCTAGGTAAGTAGCAATAAGAATTTCTCACAATTTATTTAATTTTCTTTTAAATTGACAATGGAAAGTGATAACAAAACACTTAGAAAATAATTTTAATAATATTTTAAATGTTCAAACCGTTTTTAAAAATAATATCATATCAATACATTTTAGATAATAAATAATTGACCAAATTAAATGACCAAATAATTTATATTTCTCAACATATCTATGTAAAATAATAACTAATTTTAAATAATCTCTCCTATTAAAATAAATAATTTCTATATTCTATGTAAAATGACCAATTTGTATAATTTTTTTTCTTCTATGTATTCCATCATTTAATTTGAAACTGGTGTATAATACACTTATCACTATCATAATACTCCAGACCACACATTCATTCATTTATTTATTTTTTATTAAAATACGATTTTACAAGTTACTAAAAAGTAGTGTATTTATAAAGAATACCTAAATGAGGACTGTATTATGTCCCTAAAAAGAAAAATATATAGCACAACCAAATTGTGTCTGATAAGTTTACGCAATACATCAGAGTTGCGTTCACGATTTTTCAGACTGTTCATACTTTTGTGAATATCTGTGAATACAACTTAACATAACAACTTTATTGTTGGAAATCAATTTTATTCATATTAAATTGTACACCTCAGTTAGGCTGCAACATTCAGTACAATCATTTAAACATACCTAATCTTTTTAAATGTCACTTTGCAACAATATAATAATGAAAAATTAAAAAATAATTAAAATATTCAGAGGAAAAAATAAACAATTACTTATATTGAACAATTAATACAATACAAATTTTCTTTCCAAACATGGTAATGTTCACAATGTTTGTACCTAAATGTAATAATTTATAATACCTACCTAATATGCATATTTTTAACCATGCTTTTTGTATAAATGACAGTCCTTGGTCTGTAAAAATTGAAAAGAAAATATGTATATTGTACATATTAATTATTAATGGGGATGCAACTTAGACCTGTTGTTAAGAATTCATGGTACATCTAGGCTGTGTTGTGAAAAATTCAGACAAAATATCATTTTTTGGACACAATTTGAATACCATGAATATAATACATATAGACTGTTACCAATAAAATATCATGTATGATTCGATGGCTTAATTCAAATATGTTGTAAGTACAAAATGATTTTACAATAGAGCAGAATGAAATTTTCTAGATTCCTGTGTTACAATCCCACATGGATGCAGCCACTGTTGTAAGTGAAAATTTGGAAGGTAGTAGAGGGGAAATTTAATGTATATCTTTAAGAAATAATAAACCATTGCTAACGAAAAACAAATTCTAAGTGGAGTTCAGTTGATAGTGTTGGTTTTCAACAATAATTACATAGGCATTATATATTTTCTTTAATATTTGTTTAAAATTGTACCACTCACTTCTCTTCACTCAGAATTTAAAATACTTCTTGGTAACATAATGTATTAACAAAATATATTCATAATGTAAATAACGAATAATACCTAAAAAGGTAACAAATTATTTTCGATTGACTAACTAGCATTTATAACAATGTTACAAATAAGATTAAAGATATTTATTAACGTAGATAACTAAAATATAATTTAGTTCAGTATTTATAAAAAAAAAAAATTAAAATATATATATATCAATAATAATAAATTTCAAAATATTTGGAACAAATTCAAAATGAAAAGTGATTTTTAAGGATTTGTAAAAAAAAGTCACATTTTGCTAAAAAAATGACAGAGTGGCAATTATGAAAATTCATTAATATAAAGTACTTGAATCAAAAAAGAAATATAATAAAATCTAATCAATTGTTATTTAGTCTTAATTATAACTTTTGGTTAGGCATTTTTAAAAAATAAATAATAATGATAGTCTAACTCAAATATAGCCTTAAACATAAACTTTGGTCATATATTTAAATAAAAGTTGAATGCCACACAATATCAATTTTTTAACAAAATAATATTAGCAAATTAAATACAAAAAAAAAAAATCATACATGTGAAGATAGATATTATTGTATTATTGAGTATAGTATTGTCATGCATGTCAGAACTACTGGCAGTATGGTGTCCATGTGATCTGTACATATATGACCTTAAAGAGTAATAGAATGAACTCCACAAAATATCAAATTTTTAATCTGAGTAACTGAGTTCATTCAATTACTCTTAAAGCTCATACAGATGTATCAATTTTAAATTGTTGTTTAGCCTATGTACACATACAATATTTATGGTACAGTTTTCAAATTTGATATTTCCCTCATTGACAAAATCCACTGGTTAAGAAAGCTACCTACATACCTACATACACAGGCGAAGCCAGGTATTGTTATATTCTTGAAAATAGTATTGTCACAGGTTTCAGAACTGCTGGCAGTATAGTGTCCACATAATCTGTACATATACGATCTTAAAGAGTAATAGAATGAACTCCACAAAATGTCAAATTTTTAATCTGAGTAACTGAGTTCATTCAATTACTCTTAAAGCTCATACAGATGTATCAATTTTGAATTGTTTTCAGTTTTTCATTCTTCATGACAGCGAAGGGATTTATTGCTTTACTAGATATATCCTTCCTTGGCAAAATCTTAAATACTCCACTGGTTAAGAATGCTACCTACAGACACAGGCGAAGCCAGGTATTATTATATTTTTGAGTATAGTATTGTCACGGGTGCCAGAACTGCTGGCAGTATGGTGTCCATGTGATCTGTACATATACGATCTTAAAGAGTAATAGAATGAACTCCACAAAATGTCAAATTTTTAATCTGAGTAACTGAGTTCATTCAATTACTCTTAAAGCTCATACAGATGTATCAATTTTGAATTGTTTTCAGTTTTTCATCCTTTCTGACAATGAAGAACCTTACAGAGCTAAACCAAGTTTAGCATCTGCACTAAAGTTTAATTCTAATTAAAGTTAAAGTCATTGCTAATACAACATCTATTAAAAAAATAGAGATTTTGTCATAGTTAGAGCTACTGAATGTTTTCACAAAAATTATAAAAAAAAACTCAAGGAGGATTGTAGAAAAGTATAATACATTTATCATAATACTCCAGAAGACACATTCATTCATTTATTTATGATTATTTGCCATTTTAATAGTTTCTTATCTATTTAGATTTAGGTTTATATAAGGTGGATTAGTCCACCTTGAGTTTATGATTTATTCTACACTTAAGTATGTAACCTATCTTCGGTACAATATATCATAATTTCTCTTTCTCTTAAATACACTTAAATATCAATCTACTGTCTAGAAAAGGCAAATCTAAATTTTGTCCAAATTGTAAGTATATAGTAATACCCCAGTCAAATTTATTTTCAGAAAAGATGCACTTGAATACCAGAGCAAAATTTCTGGTATAAAAGTTATTCACAGAAAAAATAAAATAAAAAATAAACATCATTGTAAAACATATACATAAAATGTACTTTTAACAAAAATTGAATCTTTATTATTATAACATTTATAATTAAAATTAAAATTATAAATTATTTTTTATTTTATGTTTAGTATAATTGACATTGTTCTATTGAACATTGTATTTTAACAAACATGGGAAATGTGTTGCGTTATTTGTTTTAAACTGGATTTCTCACACTAGAAATTTATTTTCAAAAGATTTAATAAAGTTGAATAAATTATGAATTAATTTGTTTTGAAGTTTAAAATGGAAATTCAACTTTTTCAAATGCAATATTATATTCATAAAATAAGCAAAATCATTTATTCATTCAGAATTGTTTAGTTGTTCAAAAATTTTCCTTTACTTTTAGCAATTTTTAAATCGAAAACGTTCTTTTAGCTCTACTGAGCCAACGGACATTTTTTAAAATAATTTACATCACCTTGTTCCAGCATCTATTTTATTTAGAAAGTTTTTAAATTCTCTATGGTCATATATTTACTCTTGTTAAGGGCTAGCAAATATAAAATAAACTTAGAAATACATTATTATGAGGTACCTACTATCAATATTAGTTACTAGTTCTTCTATGAACCTTGCAACAGTTATTCTTGATAAACTCGATTTGAAAAATAGTTGTTGTGCTGGACATAAAATTTCACAGGCTGCAAATTTCTCCATGCATTTTTTTATAAACTCACCATCAGTAAAAGACTTCAATTTAGCTGCAATTTTTTGTCCTGTTATGATATATTTATTGTCTTTATTATGATTTGTCCTAGTTTTGATTCTATATGGCTTTTTTTCTTAAAGTTAAAGACTGACTATATTTTTCATTAATGATGGAATTTTGCCAAATCGAAGCTGTTCTTGTATCTTTTCATATTTTACATGTTTGGTACAATATTGTTGTTTTAAATTGTATTCTTTAAAAAAATTAAGCATATAGCCTTTTGTTTAACTTGAACAAAACAATAACTATTGGACCATTTTTATTGACATATGTGAATCGTCAGAGATTTTGTTGTTTACCAACTGATATATTATATTTACAATGAAAATAAGTGAAATATTCGAGTTATGTTCATTTCACAATCAATAACTTAAAGGCTACATTTATTTGTACGTAAGTAATTTAGTTTACTTTTGTATTTATTTTACCTTTTGTGTATTTTTTAATTTTTTTGATAGAAATATCTTATAGTCATTCTAATTTTATCAAAATGGGAAAAATATACTCTATACTTAAAATGTGATTGTGGGCTCCAAATAAAGATCAGACAGGCGATGAGTTGAATACCTCTTTGCTATATCTATTACTCAAGAATAACTCCTTAACACACATCCACACCTAAGCACATTCATGCAGAGCATACAAGTTAACTTTAAATCACTTACATAGACGAACCAACGACTTTAAGTCTTTGGCTCATACTATAAATCGGCTAGCCAGCATCTGAATATACTTAAAAGTTGATGTAGCTTTAGATGTTTATTCCTAATCCTATACAACCTGATAACACAATATATTCACCTTAATATTTAAACAAATTACCACATCAATTTAGATCTTATAAACAAAACAATATTATATTATATTATTACTCTACGTGTACATATCTCAGAATTAAATACTCACGTTTAATAAAAAACACAGTAATAACTAATAGGTAATGCAACATTATTATTAATTTCTCAACTAAAAAAAATTATCATAAAATATACCTATTGAGAAAATGGATACTTACAATATCAGTGTCGTCGAAGTTAGCAAAGTTCACGACTTTGCGTTTATTTGCTTACACCTAGATTTGTGAAACAATCTAATTAGTATTTTTAATACAATGTTGAGTAATCCATGTTAAGGTGAATTAATATAAATAAATGTATGTCTATGAGCACAACGCACAACCATAGCTTTGGATAATATCATTGATTTTATAATGTAATGTATATAATAAAATCAATAACAATATGTATAGCCATGGACACACCTATAATACCTACGCCCCACGACGACGCTACCCCTGTGATAATTTCACGAACTAAAATTACTAAGGCGTGTTTTCTCGATTAACCTGGTTATATTCATTATCAGTCGTGTTTAAACAATTTTGGTTATTGGTTAAAGACCCACGAAAAACGATGTGTTTGTGGTTAGAGATAGTAGAAAACATATAGATAAATGCTAAATGGTTTTGTGTTGTCAATTTTGTGTATAACCATTGCCCATTAGCCTTATAGGAGGTTTGTTTATTGACTATAAAAAAACTAGCGACTCCGCAATAGTGCTTCCGGTGTTCCGCGGTTTCTCAAACTTGCACACAATACGCGGCAATTTGGAATATTGCACGGTTTTTAAAAAATATGAATACAAATAATTATTTTATTTATTGTATAATATATTTTATTATACATTATATTATTTATTATAATATATTAAAATATACATTTTCTTTTGATGTTTTAACATTAATATTTACAATAATTATAACATTTTTAAATTACTGCGCTTTTTTAGTCACACGTTTAGAAAACCCTCATGAAAATCTGTCATAGGAAGCGCACGGCGAAGTCGCTAGTTTCGTGAAACGTACTGTAAGTTACTTTAGGTATATTCGTGTAGCTCGCTTAAACGCTTATAAGCGTTACCGTTTGGTTTGGCGTTCGATAGCGCTCAGACTACAACCATGACGTTACTGAATCTAAACGTTATGTCATTGATCCGCGCTCAAACAGAAACACGAAATAAGTGATATCTATTTGATTATATTTTCACCTAATAATAAATTATTATTCTTTGTAGAATACGACCACGCTGTTTAAACTACGATTAATATAAATGTATAGAAATAAAAATTTGAAGTACATAATATTTTAATAGTTTTTAAAATAACATCGTTAGTCATTACAATTATAGTATTCCTTGATGACAATTTACAGCTGATAACTGCGATAATCGTACAATCAATATGCTTATATTTGCGTTAGTCGTGAGATTTACCTAGCAGTGCTATTTAGCTATATGTCTAAACAAACTGTTCATAAGTGTGAGCGTTGGCATAAACACTGTAAGCATCTAAGCATGTTACACGAATGCACCATTTACGGTATAGATTGATAATTAATTTTTAGTTGTTACTGTTACTACTGCCTACTACTCCTACCATTAATAATGAATACTTAATCAATGCTGTTACTTACTGTACTAACTGCGACTGGCGACTAATATCAATTTAAGAAAATATTTAAATATAAAGCGTTATATTATTATGTACACATTAAATCATTAAAATCTAGGTATATAATTATATTATAAACCCATCTTTAATAATAAAGTAACTGCATCGTTTATTCCAGGTAAGCTAGTACTGATAAAACAGTTTATGAGTTCATGATAAGAACCGTGTATTTTATTAATGGTATAAACCGTTTTTTTTACCATCTGGTCCACGTTAACACATTTCCTATATCAATAACCAAATAACATTACCAATAATTTCGTTTGGTTATGTTTTTTCAGTAACCTAACCAAAATCGCCAAAACGACTTGTTTATAAAATACAGTAATCAGGTTCTTTTTTGGCTATTTGCGTTAGTATTTCGTAATTATTATATTCGGAGCGTAGCAAGGGATCTAGTGGTTATATTAGTTATACGGAAAACAAAAACCAAAATGATAATAATGTAATATAAATAATAAATAAATATAATTATCACTCTATTTGCTGTGTTATCAATATTATGTCATTAAGTTTAAAATGATAAAATTGTGAATTAAAAAAATAAAAATAATTAATAGATCTATACCTAATAAAAATGTATTTAAATATAAAAAAAATAGTAAAAAGTAGTGTTAACGGTTTCTAATTGCTTTAAATTGTTTTTAAATATTTTAGTATATCTTTATTTGTATCATTTTTTATAATGTAAACATAATTGTTTTAATTTTTTTTTAATGTCTTCATCAATTTTTTCTTTCATCTGCTGCTATTTCTAACCCTATTTGGTTTTCATTGTTTCAACTGTTGGATGATTTTGTTTAATAAGTTTACTAAAGTGATGATTCCAACCCTTGGTGCTATTGTTAGTTCGAATTTCGTCCTCAATAGTTACAGCATAGAATTTCCATAATTTTAATGAGAATAAAGGTGGATTATTTCGAAAAGCTGCATAAAGGACGTGCTTAAATTGTATTCATCTATATGTGCCGTTGACATAGGTTTTATCGAAATAATCTTGTAATTGTTCAGCATCAGAAGATATAATTGTACGTAAATATGCCATACTTTCCTTTACATTTTCAACTGGTAAAAATGCAAGGCCTTCAATTTTTCCACAAAATTCAGTAAATTCTTCATTTTCCCTATTCATAAATTGCAACCCGAATTCTTGAAATTTGTGGTATGTTGCTTGCATCAAATGACAAAGACCACCCTGAATATTTACATGTTCTCCAAGACCATGTTTAATGGTTGTTATGATGGCACATTATTTTAATAAAATAAAATAAGCTAAATTTTTGAAAGCATAGATTATTTTTCTTGGTTTTATCTATTTAATGTGGTCATGCCATTTAAGATTATGATACATTTTTATACTATACAATATAAACATATTATCATGGTTATTTTGTTTTCTTCAAAAATTGTTTTACAGGAATTAGGCGCCTGTCTATACCATCTGGCACTAAAGGATTTGGAGGTACAGAAAATACAATGGAGAAGATGAGTATACTGAAAAAGTTTACCGTTTTTCATTTGTAATGTTTATTTATGAACTGACCACAATGCATCAACCATTTGAAAATAATGAATCTGTAAAAGAAAGTATTGTAGAAGGACATCTACCTACATTGACTTATAGAGTAAGAAAGTCTTGAATAAAAGTGTAAATAATTTTTTTTTAAACGTTCTACACTGAATTATTATAATATTTTACCATTATTTTCTTATAGAAAATAACATATCCAAGTTATTCATTTTAAAAATGTACCAAATTTTATAGAATTATATTTATTAATTTAAAAAATATGCTAATAATTACTATTCTTGCAGTTATTTTCACCCCTAAACAGAGTCATACTCTTTTCCACTATTTGGGTATCTTTCAATAAATTAGTTGATGTAATGATTAAATTTTTTAAACACAGATAACCTATGTATAACAATTTAAAAAGGGAAGTTGTAGCATTTACAATTGAATCATCAGTGTATAATTATTTACATAGTTTAGAATAGGAATGAGTACATTCGATTTTTAAATTTTGAGTCTAATTATTCATTCTTTGAATAAATACATTAAAAATATGTTTTTAAATTTTCAATTTAACCATTTTAAGGTAAGCATTAGTCATCCTTGTAAGTTAATCACTATCATCTATTGACTACTATCTACAGTTCTATAACAAGACAATCTTGTTTACAATACATAGTTTAATCATTTTTGGGTGTTAAATAATTTTTTCAAAATGTGATTTAACTCTAAAATATGATGTTCCTCCAGGTTTAAAAAAAATTTATAAATTTTAATTTGGAAAAATGTTTTTCTTTTTTTTTGTTTTAAAATATATACATTTACATCACTAATCATAAAATTTAATTATACATTATTATAATTTCTAATACATTTTAAATTATCTTTATTTTTTCAAGAAATTTTTCAGAAAAAAAGTTATCCAGATTAAGTAAATTCAACTTTGACCTAGTTGTATAAGTTCCCATGTAAGCTTATGATACACATATTTATATAAATTAAATTAAATTAGGATTGGTTTATTTCATAATCTTACATTCAATTTATATAATACCAGGGATGACCAATAAAACATTGAATTATAGAAACCATTAAGTAATTTAACAAAGATAACATTATTATAAAGAATCAAGTATAAACTATGACTTTACTATGACATTAAATTATTCTGCGTTATATTGGACAGTAATATCTCTGAACTATTACTAGAAGATTCAGATTGAAATTTAAAAATAAACTATATTTATAAAAATATATCATTGAAAATAAATATAGTAGATAATCAGGATAGGTACATATATTTAATTAAAATCAAATAAAATACTGAAATAGAAAAAAAATGACTTCAAACCACTTCAGGTACCTGTTAGAATAATTAAATAATATTTAAAGAAAATAACATTATTATAGTGGATCAAATAGGCACCTACTAATTATAATAAAATATAACTTGCCCGTACATTAATTTCTATTATAAAACTGTTGGTTCAATACCACTATTAATACAAACTACAGTTTGAAATTAAAACAAAACATTTACTTGCATAAAAATGTTTCACTGTAGCAACTAGCAGCAAAACAGTACTTAATAAGTATAGATAATAAATAAAGTGAACCTACTACTTACTACTTACCAGTCTTGNAATTTTTTGTAGGACGCACACATTTATAAATAAGTATAATGACCTATCTATTTGCAATTAATGTTAATTATATAATAAAAATAAATATTTCAATATACAATTTATTGAACAACAAAATATTTCGTTTAAGTATTTTTAATACTTTCAAAACGTATTTGTATTTATATTCAAATACATTTAAAAGGAAGTATTTAAACACATATTCTAAATATCTACATTTGAAAAGTATTCTTAACAAGAAAGGTACCTACACAGTTAAAGATAAATAAATTTCTTAAAAGGAAAGTTTGCCAAAAAAAATAAATAGGTTGTTAGATAACTAATTATAATAATAACACTAATGCTCGGTTACATAAAAAATTATGACGTAACTATTAAACGAACGATTAACTAATAGCTCGTTAAAATTGTAATAGTTTATTAAATCCTTAATGAGTTTCATGAAAATTGTCAATTATCTTTTAACAACAGCAACTGCCATATTATCATGATGTTCAAATCAGAAAGTTGTTATCATAGACACTTATTGATGATAACCATTAACAAAATAGTAAAATTTGAATTTTGAATGTAATTTTTAATTTTACTTACCGGAATCTACGACAAAAGTCTACATCATCAAAATATGACAGTGGATCGGACTTATTCTGAAACACCCTTAGTTTAGGTAAGCGTCTTAAAACTTTCAATATGAATTAATCATCACTATAACTGGATGATGAATCATAAAGACAGCCATAGTGCATTCAATAAATTTTTTAATAATTGAATTAACAAGTTATCAAACGTTTATCAAAGGTTTTTTTGAAAACCATATTATCATTGATATATGGGAAAATTATTGTATTATATATGTAATTATATTATATATGTAATTAACTATATCATGTACCTCAGCAATAGTATAGTTTTCATACCTATGTCGTTTTCTGTCGAAGTAAAAAAATTAATTAAAGTTTTATAGATAATCCAATTTTGTTAAATTATTGTATCATATCATCAAGATTTTTTATTTTATTTTTTGGTTCAATGGTTTAAAACTATTGTTAAATTATTTTAACCATTTTTTTTCATGTGAACAAACTAAAACTATTATAGGCATATAGACATGAGCATTGTGCACATTTTGGTCGCTGGGTATTATATTCCTAAACAATTATTTTTAATAGATAACTAAATTATATTTTATATATTTTGACATTTTAAGAAAAATATCGATATTATGTTTGCCATCCCTAGGTACTATAGTGTAAGTCAGAGGGGGTTAATTTTGTAGTAGGCATGCACTGACTTTACTGACTCAAAGACTGCCCAGTTATTTAGAGTTCTATCCTTATTTTATCATATTATTGAAATTATCGAGCAAGTTACGTAAAAATAAGCTAGCGTTAAGTCTTGGTAATAAAAAAATAAAATTATGGTATTAATTAGGTAATGTGACTTTGTGATAGGTGGGTGTGTATTATTACCTCAAGTGTTACCTATTCTTAAACCACCAAATTAAAAACAGTCAAACTGCCTTCTGGTGTAAGTTGTAACTTATAACAATCCCATTTTGAAAATACCTAATAATATGTCTGTTATAAAAAAAAAAAAATTTAATTTTTAACAAAAATGTACTGTTCAATGGAAGTTGCGACTGGTCACCATAATGGTTTCGTGTAAAGGTAATATAATATGTACCTAAGTTAAAGAAATACTTACGACCAAAAACTTCAATGTATTGTTCTAAATTCCACGCGTTTAAAAAATCTGCTGCATCGTGGTCTGCCATTATATATAATTTGAAAAAGTAATAGCGATGACGCGATGAAACAACACTCAAGAATAAGAGTCGATGAAAAAAACAAAATTGAATAATAATAATAATGGTAGATCAGTATCCATCTCCCTTCCATTCAGTTTCCCTATCAAAGTACCTACTACCAATTAATAGTTTCTGAGATATTAACGGGAAAACCTTATTATAAGCTGATATTACCATACAGTTTTGTTGAAATCACTAAATAATATATACCTATTATAAATTGTCGGTTGTTGGTATATGTTAAAATTCCCAGACTAAAAATAGACTATCAAGTGAACATAGATTAAACAAAGAAAAATATAGAATGCTTATGTAATTATTTTACCATAATTTAGCATATATATTGTTGACAAAGCATCACTATCAACTGAATAGCGCTCAGAATCGTTTTATCGTTATCAATGGTTTATGGTTGCTTACAAATATACATTTTATCTAGGTATCTTACATTCCAAACCGTAGCTACGTCTATCCCCATTTTTCTTGGAAGCTTTTATTATTACATAATTAATATTAACACGATCATATTTATTATTTATCCTATCTCAATATTGAACAATATCTGGAAAAAAATATTTCAGTGGTTATTATATATTTAATAGAAATTAAAAAATCTTAAACTACTTCCGTATTATTCTGGTGAATGTAACATAATGGACATGACAGTAACCACTTTCTTATCAATGGTATACGAGCTAACTACGATGGAACCCTAGACCTTATACTAATAGTATAAGATCTATGGATGGAACTGTCTTCACAGACATTGTTTAAATATTAAAATATCTATGTGTTTACACTTTAACATGAAGTATTAAGAGTTTCGGAATGTATAATCGGTGAATTTACTAAACTACAGTTTGCCAACCCACAGTGGTGACTGATAGAAAAAATGTGGGTTATTAAAAATACTCATGTTTTATGATATTATTTTAATTAGTTATATACGAGCATAGATACATAAAATAAATAAATAATTTCTTGTATAGTATCTTTATAGGTCTTTGTCAAAATATTCTGTGGAAAAACTTTATTTTATTTTCTTATTACAAGCGTCATTCAATGCGATGATCGTCTTAATGACTATTGATTAACTTAACTACTATTGTTCAATTTTACAATTTTGGTATATTCTTCATTCTATTTATTCATTTTTCAAATTTTACTTATTATACATCATTCATAGTGTGTAGTAAAAGAAAAATATACTGTTCTGAGAATTTTAATACAACTGTTGTAATAGATAATAATAATTATTATTAACAGATATATTGTGTATATATATATAAATAATTAATTAATTTATCATCCATATTGTCTAATACAGTATTAATGTAAATTATGAAAAATAATTATCACTTTAATACAAGCCAGCAACCAAAACACAGTTGTTTGAATATTTTGAGTTATATAATATAATACGTGAACATAATCTATATTATTAAGATAAGAATACTAATTTTATATTATTTTAAATGGAACTTTGAGCAAGCATTGGCTGTAGTATTAATAACTGAAAAGAGTGATCATTTTAATTTCGAATACAATCGTTAGCAACCAAGACATCTAAATGTTTTTCTGCTTCTGCAAAAACTGCTTCTGGATTCTGTTCAGCTGATATAACCATAACTTTAGACTGGTATGCTTCAATTATCGGATCATTATTAGCATGGAAAGTCTGTAACCGTTTTTGAATTGTTTCCATGTTGTCATCTGACCGTCCACTGGTTTCTGCTCGTTTTAACAATCTTTGCACCATTGTCTCATCTTTAGACTCTAAGTATAACACCATGTCTACAGGTTTAATCTAGAAAAATACATAAAAAAAATAATAAATTCAGGGCCTGACTATAACAATTATTATTTTATAATTACACTAAAATATTTGAAAACTAAAATTATATTTTCTCTGATACACAATTATATTTTAAAATCGATTTTAAAATAAATCCTGTTGTTTTATATAAATATTACTAAATCAAGGACAATTTAAAAAAGGCTGATACTGACCATGACACTGCTAAAATATATTTTATTATATCTTATGTGGCTGATAGATGTGTCAATGTTTTAGGGAAAAAGTTGGAAGAAAGATATAGTATATAACAGATAAATGACCATCTCAATGCATCAATTACATCAAAAAATGCTAGAAAAATGTTATTATAAAGTTTTTGATTGGAACAAGATTTATGGTAATACAAATAAACGAAAAAAAAACTATAGTAAAAATAATACATTCCTTACTTCACTTAGAATTTAAAAGTCTTTACTTATAAGAAAATGGGATAAAATGGTAAATAATTCCAAAAAAAAAAAAACCAAACCTGACAATAATACACAATTTGTATAAAGATTTATCATGATGTTAGTTTGGTATCTAAAGGATATTAATAAATTATTAATTGTTTCTGTGCCTAGATACATACATACCTATTTGCTAGTATTTAATTTAAAATTAAATTAATGTTGGTTTTTTGTATAATTCCAAGTTCAGAGTTACAATGTGGCATGATTGTCTTTATTTATTAACTATTAAATACTTAGTTTAAATGCAACTTAACTGACAAATTGTGTTTTACACATAAAATTAAGGTATGCAAGTAGAAAGTTTAACAATTAAATTGTTAGTAGGTTCCATAGCTATCTAGATAACCACATGCAGTAAAAGAGTAATGCCTACAATGCTTATTAGTTATTATCTATTTATAAGTATTTTTTTTTCTTTCAAGAATTATATATTACATAAATTATTATGCAGTTAATATAAAAATTGCGAATGATCAAATAAAATTGTAAAAAAAAACTGTAACCTTAAGGGTTACAGGTTAGCCATGTGATAGAATGTAGAAAATTAAAAGATCATTAAAAAATAAAAATATTTAATTCACCGCTGTTTCAAATTCTTCTCCTTGCTGTTTTTCACGTGGATAACCATCAATTAAAAATCCTTTGGATGTTGCAATTTTACTTTTAATTTTCTCATTGAGTAATTCCATCACAACACACTGAAACAGACACATAGGTAGTATGTACCTATAAACATTAAACACTCATGTAGTAATTGGATTTATATTCTAATAAACTTACGGTAGGAACTAGTGCTCCTTCTTTCATAATTTTGACCAATTCAAGCCCACGTTCTGACCCTGTGTTGACTTCATCTCGTAATAAATCTCCAGTTGAAATGTGAGTGAACCCGTATTTGGCTACGATTTTGTCACACAAGGTACCTTTACCACTACCGGGGCCACCTAATTATTTGTCCACAACAATTAATAATTATTACAATTTTTATATTGATTATAAATGTTATGTATGGGTATTAGGTTAATTGTTTTTGTTCATCTTACCAAGAATCCAAACGGCTGGTAAATTGATCTCAGACATTTTCGTATGTATTGATTATGATATCTAAACAAATACAATTTAAAAATCAATTTTTAACTTGTAATAATGGTTATATGTGATTAAATATTTAAATGAAATGTGAGCTGAGCCTAATGTATCTGGATCCAGGGCTGTGCTTAGGGGAGTGCGAGAGGGGTAGATATCCGGCCAAAATAACGAACAAATAATCGCTAATTAATAATAACGAAAATAAAATAGCAAATTTAAAAAAAGCCTAAATATATTATATGTTTTTAATATGGTCATTATAATTATAATATATATTTATAAAATAACATGCCTTGACTGACTGATTCATCATCGCCTAGCTCATCCCACTGAAATCACTGAACAGATCGGGCTGAAATCTGATACACAGATAGCTATTATGACGTAAGCACCCGCTCTTTAAAAATTCAACCTCTAAGAGGGTAAAATAGTGGTTTTTAGGTATATTTGGTAAGAATATCTAATTTCTTATATATTTATTTTTGCATATTCAAAGGTTGCCACGGAAAAGAAAAATATTATTATTATTATTATTATTCTTATTTACACTATTCAAATTTCTTAATAGAACACATTTAGTCCATCGAAGTTGGACTATCCACTTCCCACCTATTAGTTTTCATTCAATTCTGACACAGCCAAAACCAAAAATGAATATGTGTAAAATAATAATAATACAAATTGACAAGGGCAACGCCGAGCGCGAAATAACTAGTGTAATATATAATCATTAAGTTCATTAGGTGTTTACATGGATACCTATTAATAATTTGGGTATTTAATGATAATAACTAATTAAAAAAAAAAAAACAAAAAACAATTAGGTATTTAGTGACAAATTAAATATTACAGCTTTTACAAAGTTCTTATTATCATTAAAATTATAATTTGTAATTTATGTATAAGTTTCGTTATTATGCATGATAGATTATTTTAAAATTCGTTATTTTTATTTTAACTATTATTAATTTGCGATTATTTGTTTCGCTATTTCGGCCTAGACGTATCCACGCACTAGGCGCTATAACCACAGAGGCGTTAATGAAAATGTTTAAAGCTGTGTAATTGAATATTTTTACAATAAACGTTTAAGTGAACGTCCAAAGGACAGGTTTAGCGATTTTGCTAGGCACGGCACTTCCTACACATTTCACAATGAACAATATAATACCTAGTATGAATTATGCGCACCCGTTACACCATTACCTACATAATAGCTTATCAAGGATGACTAAATGAGTAATAGTGAAGCTTATATAATTTTATTTTATTATAACTATAGTTAGAATTATAGGTACCTAATACCTATATTATACAGGTATGTCCCATGATTGCTGAAAGTAAAAATTTGGAATTTATTAATTTTTAGATAAATACTGTAATACAGTATACACTAATATGCCTACATAATAATATAATACATATATAATAATATGCGTTGTATAGTCTAAAAATATAAATTCATCATAGTATTTAAGACTTAAGTCTGGCTGAATCCCAAAAAATTAAAAATATGGCGAAAGCCAATTTTGCAAAAATAATAAAATCTAGTAGTACGTAGGTAGGACAAAATTCAAATGCTGTATAAATAATATATCTGGCATAACCATCATTAAACATGCTAAATGCATTCTGTAGATCAAGATATGTGCACTTTTAGGTCCCACTATTTGTCTCTGCCCTGAGCCCCCAAATTTTAAGAACGACCTTGGTGCCAGTTGAATTCCAGAATAAATATACCTTTAAAACGCAGTTATAAAAAATATGTAAAATTCCCATTAAATTCAAGAGAGCTTTAAAAGCCATTAGAACCATTAGAACACGAGCTATTTATATATATAGGTATCTCTTTCTACTGGTCGAACGATAAAAAGTTTCGAATAAAATAAAATAATGTGAATGAAAGAATTCTCTATAAATATTTTTAGATTCTGAGTGGAGAAGAAGCTTATGGTTTTATAAAGATGTTTATCTGTGCTCAACTTTTCTACCAGAAATTTTGCTCTAATTTTTAAGTGTAGCAATTTTTCTAAAAGGGAATCCGATTAAGGAAGTACTTTAGATAAGTAATTTTTCGATTTCCTCATCAAATTTGAAAAACCGGAAAAGAACATTGGAAAAACGGGAAAATATAAGAAATATAGGTATTAGTTAAAATAAATTACGGCCTTCTTTTTTCTTGTGAACAACTTGTCTACGTGCAGTTCGGCTCCGATTTATGATTTACGACATTTTTCCGAAAGGAGATTTGACTGGGAAGGTAGGGAGGTCATTTTTCGATTTTTCTAAGAGTTTCCCCAAAAAATGTAAAAAAATGGGAAAAAATAAGGAAAACTCGGGAAAAACGTAGGAAAACCAAGAAAATCTGTATAATATATATTAAACAAATATTATTAAAGAAAATACATATAGCCTATTTAATTCTTTTACTATAATATGACATATTATATATTGTTGATAAAGCATCATTATTAATTGAACTCCGCTCAGAATCGTTTTATCGTAAACAATAGTTTATACGTTGCTTACAGGTATAATTAAATTGTTCATAACAGTGGCTGCACCCATCCTTATTATCCCACGACATCTTTTTTTATCATGTACTTATGTACAAGTAACGGTTTTTGCGGTTTATGATTTGTTGTATTAACCCTTAAAAATTAATTCTGGGATAGGTAGCGAGGTGTAGATATATGTGTACTGCCCAGTACTCTAATAATTTTCAAAAATGAAATATTGCAGAATTTTGGTTAATGAGCTATATTACATCGTTTTCACAAGATTAAAATGCAGTAAAATATAATTTAGACTCCCAAATTGAGTTTTTAAAATGTAGTATCTACCTAGAAGAAAACGCAGTAGGTATATGTATGGTTACTGCTTATATGTTTGGTAATTTTATTTGAGTGATGGTGGCATTCATACTGCGTATTTATTAGTAAAGTAACCCTAAATCAGTAACCCTAGCCGACCAATATAATTGAATATCAATATTATATAATTCAATAAATTATACAGATTTCAACAAGTAACGAGATAGTTCCTAACTGTCATTAAATAATTAGGAAAAAAAAAACGTAAAGCACACACATAAACCTATACATTTAGACGGAACATTTACCCAGACTACTGGGAGTTGGGAGGCATGGACAGTCAAAACGGATCAGGATAAGCTGATATAAAGCCTAGTGAGAGAGAGAGCAAATTTGCACTTCGAGGACAGCCAATTAAAACACTTAGTTTATTATCTCACGTGTTTCTCTCCTCGAAATGAAACTCCACCCACCAGAACGCATTTTCATGCTGAATGTTCCATCTAGATGTATAAGTCTATGATCATAACATTCATAAGCATATTTTCTCATATCATTTACTATAATGGTAGATACTATCTTTTTAATTGCAATTATTATTATTTTGATCAACACAAACATAGTATCTAGATAGGTACTTAATTTTGCAAAAAGAAAATTATCCAGAACGATTTCTTTGGTAAATAACTGCATATATAAACGATCAAAATATTTTGATAATTTTGTTAAATAGCAAAAAATTTAAAAAATAAGAAAACTCCATTTTCCCAACATTTAAGTTTTTGTAGATAGGTGGTATACTGTCTCTTTCACTATAACAGGACAGTGTACCTACTTAAATAATATAATACATTGTTCAATGTCCCATTCAAGAGCCAGTACCTTCCTTTTTTTTAAACAAAACATGCCGAATACGGAATATTGTAATTATACTTACCTTAAAACACGTTAAATTAATAACAGTTTATTATTTTATATGCAATTACCTAACGTTATAAATAAATCGTGACACGGAAATAAAATAATTCAATTCTATAGAAGAACGTCCACGTGTTATTACTTAATTACGGATAAAATAAGATGCAGCAGTAATCATTAGAGAATACATTCGTTCTCTCATGATCAATAGTAATAGTAAACCATAGTACTACTATAATATACTAATAATACTATGTTTGATTATTTTTATGAAAAAATAACACACAGCGTATTATTATTAGGTATTAGAAGGAACAATTCTTAACAAATAAAAAATTACATAAGAGCTAATACAATTTTTGAAAATTAACATTTGCATAGGTATTAGATACCTACTTAATAGGTATATCAATATTCGACACATACGTGTCCCTGAGGGGGAGGATGAGATTGCCATTCCACCCTCTGCTGTTCACTGTATGATTTTCTACATTTTTATTACAATACTATACCTATAATTATAATTTTTAGATTCTAAGTGGAGCGAGAAATGTATTGATTTTACAATGATAAATAACTTTACTACCAGTAATTTTGCTTCGATTAACAATGATAGCCCTTTTTCTGAAAGGAAATCGGACCAGGGTGATCTACACGTGGTAGCAACATTATCAACTGAACTCCACTCAGAATTTTTTTTTGTTAGTAATGGTTTATCGTTGCTTACTGATATACATTAAATTTTCCCTCTACTACATTCCCAACTTCCTCCCTAAAATAGTGGCTCTAGTCCCCATTATCCTAGGAAAATTTTTTTTTGTGTTAATTTCGAGAAAAAACTATTTTATCAAATAATTTAATACCAGGGAAATGTGGAATATCTATTCTATGGTAATAGCAAGAGCTGTAGGTACTGGGTATAATATCATACTACATGAGTGGGTAAGCACATCAAAATAAAAAACTTTTCGTAATCGATGTCTGTTTAAATAAATAATAAATAGAGTAGATAATATTAAACCTTTAAGTATATACATATATAAATATGCACTAAAAATACAAACATATGCTTAAGAACAAAACATTAAAAATCATTTCACATCACATTCAATCACATTTCTAAAAATGTACAAAATCATAAAAAAAACATTAAAAATCCAAAAAACGTCATAATACTCGAAATAAAATTTTTTAATCGCGTTAATAGTTTTGTTAGTCCATAAAGCGAACTTCGGTATAAACTAGGTCACCTAGATAGGT